TAATAAAATAATATAATCTTTAACATGACTAATTTAAAAAGATATTACTTTTAACTAGGATCATACCTATACCAAAGTTTTTAAGATATTTAATAAAATATTAGTCTTAGTCCCTATTCTAGTCTATTATAATCCTATATTTCTTACTTATATTGAGACGGACACTACTAATAAAATTATTATAAAAATATTTTTATAACTAATAAATAAGGCCTAGTATCTAGTAACTTATTATTCTAAGATTATATTTTCTATAGAATATAATTATAATATTTATAATAAAAAACTACTAGCAATTGTTCGTGTTTTAAAGAAATAATAACTAGAATTAAAAGAATTCTAGTATATAAACTATTTTAATATTCTAACTAACCACTAAGTCTTAGAATATTTCATGATTACTAAGAGACTGAATACTTGTTAGGCGTAGTAAACTAAATTTTTTTTTAATATTATTTCTTGATTTAATTTTATTCTAGGAAGTATAATGCCTTAGTAAATATACTAATCTATAAAAATAAAGATAAGTAAGTTCTAATATAATACTACGAGTAAATCCTATTATTCCTAAAATATTTGAAGAATAGAATATATCTTTTTTTATTAGTTTTTAAATTACTAATAGTCCTCACTCCCGTGAAGAAATATTTATAAATTATAGACTATTTTTTAATAGCTAACTGGGATTATACCTCCCTAGAGTCTTACTAGAAATAAATCTATTATAATAAAGAAGAATATATCCTAGAAAATAGATTTATACTTTTCAATAATTTTTTAATAATCTTAAATAATAGAGATCTATATATTTAATTACTGGATAAAATTTACTATTAATTATTATTTACCTACCTAGGCTAAATAAAGATATTGGGTCTTATGAAATACTGATATTATTAAAATATCTAAAATTAAAATATATATTATTATTTAGATAACTATTTAATCTATAAGTAAAAAAATATAAAATAAAATCTTCCTTTAGGACTTCTATAACCTTTATTAATTCTAGACTATCTAGAATAATATTTATTAATAGATTTTTAAATGTTCCTAAAGAACCGCTATAACTTTAATACTGTATTTATTATAGTAAACTAGCTAAATAAGTGAGTTACTTTAATACTATATATAAAGACTATATTTATATAAGACATGGCTTGGCTTTTTCTGGAATACGTATATTCTTAATTAAGATTCTTAAATATAATTATATTAAATTAAAGAAAATAATTTATATTAAAATTTTAAGATAAATTATATTATATACTATAAGTAAAGCTCAAGCTTTTAATAGTATATTACTCTTAAATTAATAAATAAATTAAAATTATTAACTAGTATATGGTGCAGAGGCTTATTCTTTTTATAAACTATTATTAAAATAACTAATTAAAACTTTTACTATTAATTAATTTTATCTTCGCAACCCTACTCTAGGAATCTATAGGACTATTATTTTTTATAATTAAGTAGGAATATAAGTCCTGTATCTTTTTTAACTAGATATTTCTTTAAACTCTTATTATAAATACTATTAATTAATAATAAGCCTAAATCTTAGCCCGCTGTATGGAACAGATATAAAAACTAGTAAAAAAAAAATATATAAATTACTTAATAAATTTAGATTTATATAATTAACTAATGATATCAGCCTGTAAATTTTAATATTAAAAACAAGATTTATATAAATATTAAAAACTAGTATTAGGAATAACTATTCTAGAAACTATTAAAAAATTAATATAGTCCAGTAACTATTATTAAAAAAATTAGTCATGTATTTTAAATTTAATTACTTAATAATATAAAGATCTATTCTATTTTTCATCCTGATAAACTTTGCCTTCGTGGTATTTTAGAGCTGTTATCTAGATAGATCTTAGATTAAGCTTCTTTAATTAAAATTAATAACTATACTAAGTAAAAAATAGAATAGATCTTAGAAAGCTATTTACAGACAGAAATCCTACAGTACCATGTTAAATGGGTAGGTTCTAATAAAAATAACTACGAGTAATATCTTATTAGTAATTTTAAGAATATACTTTTCTATTTATATGATTTTTATATCTATTATCCGGACTATTCTAGATTATTTAAATAACTCTTCATATAGATTACAACCGCGGAGAATAATAAATTTACTATAGATTATAATAATAATAATGTTTCCCTGACTGAGGGCAGTTAGGTCTAAATAAGGAGATAATATGATAATAATCTCATTCAAGATTATATAACTATATTTATTTTATTTATTTTGATATTATTTTCTTCAAGCGAGTGCTTATAATACTTCTTATTTTCCTTTTTTCCTCCTTACACTTAAAGTTCTAGAGTAGTTAGCACCAATACAACCTCATTTTGCTGTGTTGAACGGCCGTCTCACTATTAACTTCCACTAGAAGATTATTAACTATTTAATCTTTTTATTTAAGGATAGATAGCTTACTGATAATTTTTTCCTATTAAACTAGATTCTTATAAATTAGCTTAAAATAGTTAATTAAAATTATAATTAAGAAGATTAGAGCTTTATAATTAATCTTTATCTATAAATTAATCTTTACTTTAATTTTCCTATTTAAAAGTATAAATATATACCAAGCCTATTTAGCTAATATACTAATAAATTATTAGTTAATTCTAATCTTTACTTATATATTATTAAACTAGCTCGGGAACTTGCTCTTATCTTTTCTATTAAAATTTATAAAAATTAATAATTTTAATTTCTTTATATTAATTAAATCTTAGACTGGTATTAGTGCTGATATTAATATAAATAAAAATATTATAATAAATACTTAAAAAAATAAAAATTAAATATTAATAATTTATTTAATCTATCTAAGACTAGCTCTAATCTTATTATCTATTACTATATTTTATTAGATAATAATATATTATATTTCTATACTCTAGATTATTAATTTTTTAATATATCTAACTAACTAATTAATAATATTAGCTTGGGTAGTGCCTCCGTAGTAGCTAGAAATATTTATTAATTTATTATAGTTATTATATATTACTAATTTATTATCTAATAAGTACTTCAAAAAAAAATAAATTTAAAATTATAATAGATTAAGAAGCTAGATAGACTACATAAAATATAATAATCTATAAAAAAATTAAATTTACTAGAGAAAGAACTATCTAATTTATAAACTAATTAAGTTTACTTATAAATAACTCTTTCTGGAAGATTTCTTTATAATATTAATAAGCTCCTTTACTACTCTAGAGATTTTTATTTTCTCTGGAGATTTCTATCCTTTCTTCAGATATCATCGGATCAAGGTCTAGGACTAGACAGGTCAGAACATAGATGTTCCAATTCCGGATGGCTGACAGGGCCTAGCCCTTTTCAGGTTGCTGTGCGGGTGGGATGTTCAGGTCCGTAGTAATCACACACTGTCAAGGATATATCTCCCGGGGTATGAGTGACGAGGAAGGGAAGCGCGATAGAGACCACAGGCGGGCGTTGGAGGGTGTGACCCGTTCCAAGCATTCGAACTTTAAAACGGAATGGCATAGCATGGGGTGCTTGGGTTCTGGGCCCACCCTCGTTGAAATCACGACCAGAGTTTACGAAAACATATCTAGGGGTGATTGAAAATACAAGGCTTCCGGCCTGAGGCTGCAGTTTCTCCGAGCGAGTCCCGATCCAAAGCAAGATTATAATCAACACCAATTTTAGATACATCCTGAATGCATTGTACCGTTTCAATGAGCACAAAAAGAACAAGGACGATTGTCTGAATACCAAAAAATAAAAACATACAACAGAAGGGATTCGCTGGTGGTCACCCACCCAACTACTAATCTCCCGGCGTGTGGCTTAAGTATGGCTGAGCGGACGGGAAGCCCTGTTCTCCACACCCTATGGTCGTATGTGCTAGATTACTAGATAGGAAGGTTGATATTAACAAATATTCTTGGCTACGACGATCATGCATATGTTGTAGGACTAGTGCATGGACCTAACATACGAACACATTGATACCATTTCTTCCTCAGTCAAAGAGGATTGTCGTCTGCGCATTTTGCATGACAAATACACCCCCTTGATGCCTTAATTCTTGTCTCTTGTTTAATGAGCAGGCCAGAGCCATTATTCCAACAGAGTAGACGCAACTCCAAATCGTTCCCAGCCGAAATTCAGGCTCATACAAGCGCACCCTGGAGGGAAATTGTTGGTCACATGATTCTGATTATACCGATCATGCATACTCTAGACTTACCGGAGTAGACAAACGCCTAGGTGCTTCAAAGAGGAAGATCTTTATCACCGATCATAAAGGAACTTTGTTGAAACCCCATTGCCAGTCATGCATCCGTTGAACTCCGTGTTTAATATACTTCCACTTACCCATCTATAGGGGTATCACAATGCTCATCATCCGGTCTGTCATATCATCCAGCGCAAGGATGATCTGGCTGGGGACTAATCCTTTTGGCCGAGTCGTCCGTTGTCAAAGCCCTGTACTCCGTACCCCTTTCCCAAATCCATGTGACATCCCTGACGCTACAACCACCAATCGATCCTATATACCAATAGCGCCTCCTGTCACCCGAATCAAGATTCGGACTCGGAGATATCCGAGTATTTGTGCTGCACGGATATAGCCAGGGGTCTGGACTCTTGTTGAAAAGGTAAAAAATCTCCTGACCAATTAGACGCGCCGGGTACCTGACCCAAACCCTGGACAGAGTAATAAAAGCCGATCTGGCGGATCTGCGTGGCTGCGCTAAGTTTCTGGGTAATTTCCGAGATACGAGCGGTCGAGTGGCGTTAGCATATCAGTCTATTTTTGTTGTGGGTTGTTGGCGGGGCTGCGCTCACTGGATTCTTGGAAACTTGGATTAGGTTATTATAGCCGAGGCTTAGCTCTTACATTCACGATTGACCTTTCTACGGATTCACGGGCAAACAAAGCGATAGAACAAAGAACTGTAATATTAATGTAATAAATACAGGTAATGAATAAGCTAGCTATTGAGGATCTCGTCAGAATCCACATCAACCCTGAGAACCCTCGACGCGGCCACAGTTGCCATTAGACATCTGAATAGTTGCCGCGGAGCTGTGCACCTTCACCGTACCATACGTCGAAGCCTGGGAACATGTGGTCGTCTTGATAAGATAGCAGTATTTGACGGAGGACGAAACGGCATTGTAGTACGACATGGCGCAAGTGGAGCTCTGCATGCAGCTGACACAGCAGTCATATGCAGACGCGGTGTTGCCGACGGTCAGACTTTCCCCGGGGATATTACTGAACGTGATGTAGTAGATGTACTGGCCCGCTAAACTGTCATAGTCGGAGGAGAGGGGAAGACCAGCGATGTTGTTGCTACCGCACGCCTCGTAGAAGGTAGTGGTCTCAACGGCAGCGATTGCAGTGGTCGTGGAAGTCACGGTGGTGGTCTCGGCTGCAGCGGAGCTGGTCTCGGTGATGGTGGAAGTGGTGCTGTAGCTCAGGGTGGTGGACACATCGGAGGGAAGCACCGTCGAGCTCTGGGTAATGGTGTTGGTCACTGTCACTGTGGTGGTAGGGGCGGTAGCAGTGGCCGTGATGGGAGATCCGGTGACGGTGGAGACGGTGGTGGTCTTGACGATGATCTTCTCGTGACATTCAACCTCTTGAGGATATTGGTAGTCGTCCAACAGAGGAGAGCAATCGGTGTCCTCGACCAGGGACCGCTTAGCAGCAGTAGCGGTGGGCAGCGTGTCCACAATAGGGGTGAAGCCTGCAGAGCTGCTAATGGTGGAGGTGCTGGTGCTGGTGGTGGAGATGGTGACCGAGACTGTGGCAGTGACAGCAGCCGGAGTGATAGTGACGGTCGCCGTCTCATACTCAGTCGAGGTGGTGGAGAAGGTATCAGTCACCGTGGAAGCAGTCGAAGTGACCGTGGTGGTCGCATAGTCGGTCACGACCACGGTGGTGGCGTCAGGAGTCACGGTGACAGTGTCCTGCGTGGTCGTCAAGACGACGACTGGGGTTTGGTCATGGATGGTGCGAGTGATGGTGGTCGTAGGCACTGACGCCAGGGAGATGGTTCCTAGCTCCGTGCGACAGGTTACGGTGGGCGCAACGGCTTGACTGCTGGCCACGGGAGAGCTGGCTGCGGGGGAGTTAGGGCTGGGAGTGCTGGCCGAACCCTGGCCGAGCAGAAGGCCCGCAACGAGGACAAAGCGGTAGAGTGACATTTTCAAGACACAAGAAAGAAGAATTCTCAATTGAGTGACGCTCTGAATATCCGACAGACTTGGAGTGTCCTCGCAATAAGTAGTCCTCCCTTGGTTGAGGCAAGAATTGCCGTCGGCTATTTTCACCACGACCGGACTCATGGCGACCCAGCGGGCGTCAATAGTGCGGCTGAATACGGAACTGCGCCACAGGAACAAGACCCTCATACTAGTTCGATTGGACTCCCGGTTTTCTGGGAAGCAATAGCCGACAGCGCTTTTCAAAGGATGTATATACAGCAGCTCGCCTCTCCGGGTACTCCATACGGATGCGGATTCTCACTTTCTTTTCCCCCCTCAACAGAACCAACCCTCAGTCATTCTTTACGGTGTTCATGTTGCTCAATCGCCTTTAATAATTCTTACAGTTTTCTTTCACTCCCGCTTTTTGCATTATTACAGTCAGTCGTTGAACCCTACGAATTCGAATTTTCGGTCACGATGGGCCATCTGCTGGTTCGAGGATGGATCCTCGCGGCCTTGTTGCTGCAAACCAGCGTTGCCTTGACCGTTGCTGATGAACCAACTGCGACTCCCACCCCTTCAGCGGCAACGTCCAGCCATCATCATTGGTCTTATATTTCAAGGTCCTTGCCCAGTCGCAAACCGTGCAGTGCTGTTTATCCCTCGTCCGTTCCTTCTTCCAGCGCAATTGCTACTCCATCGAGTACCGTGGTGCCCTCCTCAAGCGCAATCCGTTCATCCTCGACTCCGCTGCTAAGAGGATCCTCCACTCCTTCTTCAAGACCCGCCCCGAGTCATTCGCCGGGTTCCCAGCCGCACTGGAGCTATGTCTCCCGGCCTCTGCCACAGCGTACCCAGTGCTCGGCTTCTTCGTCCGCGGCTATCCCGGCCTCTTCCGCCCCGGCCTCGAGGCCAGCTACTAGCAAGCCCGTTGTCATCTCTGCCCCTAGCTCTATTGCAACTGGAGCTCCTCCACTAAGCATTGCCTCTGCTACACAAACGGTGACTGCCATTGAAACGTCCACGCTACAGTTGACCACATCGACGGTTCTCTCCACTCGCACGGCCACCATCACTGCATGCCCGTCTACAATTCCCAACTGCCTTGCCAGTTCCAAGACCACCTATGTGACCACGGAGACAATTGTGGTGTCCACCACAATCTGCCCGGTTACCGAGGCCGCCAGCGCGACCAAGACCGCCGCCATCTCCCCATCTGTGACCGGAATTGCTGTTGGTCACGACCATGGAAATGGTGGCTCGGAGTACACAACTTCCACCGTGTTCAGCACCCGCACTGCTACCATTACCGCGTGCCCTTCTTCTGTGACCAACTGCCCACTCAGATCGAAGACTACATATCTGACCACTGAAACCCTGGTTGTCTCCACAACGGTGTGTCCTGTGGCCGATGCTACTGGCAGCAGTGGTCCGGCAGTCACCCAGCATGCGTCATCTCCTTCTGTTACTGAAGCAGTTGGAGGGGGTATCGGAGGCTCTGAGCTCACTACATCTACCATCTTTACCACTCGCACCACCACCATCACCGCCTGTCCTTCATCGGTGACCAACTGCCCCTTGAGATCAAAGACCACCTACGCAACCACCGAAACCCTAGTGCTCGGGACCACCGTCTACCCGGTGTCAATCGCCCCGACGAACACTCCTCTGTCATCCGCAACAGGAGCAGGTGGCGAAGTGCCGTCCGTCACCACCTCCACTATCCTGAGCACCCGCTTTCCCACGGTTAGTGCCTGCGGAGATGATGCCAATTGCAGTGCCTTGTCTCAAGGCTCCTATGTCACGACTGAGATCCTGGTTGTGGGAACGACTACTTACACGGTATCGCCAGCCCAGACCACTATCCCGGCTGAAGGCGTTGATACTGTCTCTGCTTCCACCACGATTGCCAACGCTCAACCTATCAGCTCGGGTGGTGCATCTCAGGTTGTGTCAACCGGATCTCAGTCTGGATCTGCAGGCTCCGGCACAAGCTCGGGTGTAGGCTCGGATGCGAATACCAGTGCAGGCTCCGGCACAGGGGCATACACGGCATCAAGCTCCGGTTCTGTCTCCGGTTCAAGCTCCAGCTCCGGTTCAAGTTCCAGCTCCGGCTCCGGCTATGGCTCTGGCTCAGGCTCAACCTCAGGCTCAACCTCAAACATCGGACCTAACACAGGTGCAAATGCCAACGCAGTCTACACCACGACGGTCACTGTTGAATCCTGCTCCAACGACGCGACCTGCACCGGATACATCAGCACCATCGTGATGACGCAGACGGACATTGCTCAGCCCACCGTGGCCCCGTCCGCGTACACACTTACCCCACACTCCGGGTCCGGGGCTTCTGGTAACCTCAATGCCTCTTCTTCCGCCTCTCCCTCTGCCTCTGCCTCTGCCTCTCTCGGACACGTATGGCCCCAGAGCAGTCATGTCAGTGGCATACGCACGGCCGTTGCTTCTCCCACGAGAAGCGCGGTCAATCCGTTGTACACCGCAGCTGCGTCCGCGGGCAGTCGGTGGTCGGTGTGGCAGGTTATGGGCACGGTGTTGGCGATTATGGTGGCGATGGTTGTCTAGGAGGGGGGTGGGATTTGTAATGCTGATGTTTAATATTATCTTTCATGTCTTTATATTGAATTCGAATTTATTGTTACTTTCTTAGACGTATATATCTTCTGTGGTATTCTGCTGAGTACTGGAGTTTATGTTGTCGACATTACGATTGAGGGTGTGCCACTATTGTGCACGTGGAAATATATAACCCATCGTGTCTACATCCGAAGCCTATATAATGATCACCTTCAACCTTGAGGGTGGGGATGGTTGCATAGCTGCATAATGCGTATCATATTGATGATAAACGGAGAGAGTCGCTGTTGACAATGATGCTGCGCCTCTTGAACCCCTATGTCCATGGTTTCGGATGCAACAAATCTTGGACGGTCGCTTTGGTCCACCTCGTCCTCCGACCGATACTGCACTGACACGGGCACTGGCACCCCGGCCTCCCCTTTCCGTAGAGCCCGCCCAAGCTTCCCCGCCAACTCCTCCACCGTCAGTGCCTCGACCGCGAGATCAATGGCCCTATGAGAGTAGCGCTCGGGGTCCGCGATGGCCGCCGCGACCACAATTCCCACGTCGCCCGCATCCACCCACGGCACCTGCGTCTCGGGCCACCATGCCACCCGCAAGACCCGGTCTGGCTCAAACCCGGGAAACGTGAGGGCATTCACGGGCGACAGCCCAAGTGGGTCTCCGTATGTACCCGGTATCACGCTCACGGCAAGAGCACGGTCAGTCTACTCCACTTAAGAAGAAGCCGAAAGCAGGTCAATGTGGAACCTATCGGACTCCAGAGGGGCCAAGTCTCGGTCAATATAGATGAGCCAGAAGTTTATCACATCGCCGGCGTCGCTAGGTATTCGGATGTACTGTGTTTTGACTGAGCAAGGCAGCAACACCGGGGTCTACGCAGGGGTTGGTTGGATCGGGAGGATGTGATTTTCTGCATGAAACTGCATACACTAGTAGCCAAGTTACCTGACTTGAGGCCCGGTTAACGGACGGATGGTGAGCATGTAGTAAGAGTTCAGGGCTTACTATATGGACTACAGGTTTAAGCTGCCGCCCCTCCGCTGCAGCATAAGTCTCGCCCGGCCAAGGGTCTACTCGGAGGCGTGATTGGGATCTTCTACGTTAGGGCATTTGTCGTACCAGTTGGCGAATCGGTCCACACGTTCTTCCAACCGAAAGACGGGACCCTTGTCATACCCCCCCTTTATGCGATTCCATGTAAGCTGCTCACCATTGACTGTGCACTGAGAGCGACAAGACCTGATAGATACCTGGCTAGAAACACGAATTCGATGGCCTAGGAACCGTTACCGAGGCCCACCGGTACATGTTTGGTCATCTCGATCCCGAACAAGCCGCCAAATGGGCCGCCACCCTGACAGCATCACCCATCAGTATCGGGGTTTTGACCAATGATGCGTGCTCAGTCTTACCATGTGACTATGTGGTTCTGGGTAATGATTTCATTTTTACCCCGCAAGTACCAAAAGGTCATGATCGCACTGGAGGCCAAGAGGGGCAACGTGTTCACCGTTTACCACGCCGAATCGGGTCGCTCGCTGCACTTGAGCTGGACGGATCAATTGGTGGGCCAGGTGGCATGGTTTACCAGCCAGATGGAATTCAGTAGGCTAGTTGACAAATTGGGCTCTCTGGGTGAAATTCAGAGCACCCTTCCACCGTCAATTCGTTACTGTATCGTAGTAACTAGCGGAGTATGCATTTATAGTCGATAGTAGGGTGATATTTATGTAGTCTATTATTGTACGCCAGAATATGCCCAGTCAAAATATCTGGGGAACTGTAAATCTTCGATGTTGAAAGTCAATCGTGTTCATGTTTTTGGAAGCAGATTATGACATTTTTTCACAGACGTCCCCTAAATAGACAGTCATGGGACAGCCTAATGCATGAGCCTGTGCAGGAGTTCGGAGCGAAAAGCTGGACTCATAGATTTGACAGGTTAGAGGGATAAGCAGGCCGGCATGAGAAAACCAGCGTGATAAATGGCAATGATGCGATCTTGCGAGGAAGTATGCCTTGCACCCACCAAGATGAAAAATCAGAAGAAAGCCAAGAGAAAGAAACAAGAACAGCTAGACAAGATTCACACAGTTCTTTATTTATCGTGATAGCCTTGTTACCCGAGGAGGCAGTTCTCAGCCAGTCTAACAACCCCAAAGCCAACCCTGCTCCGCGGGTCCCATTCCTCGAAAAGCACCTTACAGTCACACATTGTTGCAAGAAAAGCCAAGCCATAGTGTAGAAAATTTGTCGGAAATTTCTAGCTTAGTAGCGATACGGCCCGCCTTGAAAACCAGGGTAGCAGTCGTCACATGGCATTGTACCAGGGGCTATATCACCCCTTTCCCCCCACCGGAGGCCCTCTTATCTTGTGGACCACACGTCTCACTCGGGGTACTGGCCTGCTTCTGTTCTCCGTATCGTTCATGCGGCCTTTTTCCCGACGACGCATGATGACCAGTCGTAGGTGATCAACACGCCCTTGGCCATCCCGTTGGTGAAGACCAGAAACCCTACCCACTCCCCACGCGGAAAGCTCCCACGTGGTAATCTGCACCCCGTCTGTGCACTTCATATGGCGGCTGATATATCCGGAAATTAGACGTGAAGAGACTGAAAATAACTGGTGTCGGATCGGTCCGATATATTGAGCTCGGGTTCAGGTCTGTTACACATATGTCCATTTCCTTACACTAGCCCTGGCCTCATTCTTTATTCTGTTAGCGGGTAGGCGCTTAGACGAGGGACCAGGTTTGATTGGCGATGACTAGATCTGGTACATCCATTAGGAGAACTCACCTAGGCCTTGCCTCATCCCTGACCGAGAAAGGAGATGATGGCATGACTAACGGTAAACGGAAGTGACAGCAAGAAGCAGAAAACGATGGCCTGGCGAGATACGTATGAAGGAACCGATGTTGATGCAGTAAATAGGAGAAGCGAGATGCAGAGGCTAAAGGACGGCATCACTTTCAGCCTTTCAACGGGGCAGAGCCCATGGGCAGCATAATGGGCTTTATGGCGATGAGGTGAGCAGTGTGGAGGTTTCTTTGCTAAGTGGGCACGATGCAGGGTCTTATTTCGCTCGTATGACCACCTCTTCCTGTCTGGCTGTTGGGCAGGATCCGTGAGTCCCTTCCAGGTCAGCGGTCAGAAGTACCAAGTGGAGACTATGCTTATCGACGCTTATCCAGTGGCTCCTCCGCGTCTTCGTCGGCTATAACGTCAGATAGCCTTGCCTAGTCAGGAAGGTGATCGGCAGAGAAGAGTGGGGTTGACAGGCTGGCCATGGCCGATCGCTTTCCTGTCACTAGCTGCCTCTCATGAAAGTCTATGGCCATCTCCGGGGCAGTCACCACGTGTGGGCTAGGTCTACTCCGTAGTAAACGATATATTGTTGATACTTCTGTCTCCACACTGGAGCTTGGTGAATAGCCATACAACCACACTCAGACATACTATCGCAGGTGCCAGACTGCAATCTTTATGGATGTGCGCACCTCAGACTTGGGACTTCATTGAGATATTTACCTCGCTAGACTAGAGCTACAATGGTTACAGCTGTCGAGCGTGTGTCGAGGTAGCTGTACACTCGGCCATCTCCATGTCAAGTTTGAGGGGAGCTCCTAACAGGCCTACGGGAAGGGCTCTTGTGATGACCCGACGGTAGCTGCAACTTGGTCATACTTCTTTAGTGGTCTGTCTTAAAGTTCTTCTGAAAGGTCACCTACCCAGTTACTATGCAGATTGCAGATCGAGGCTCTACTGACTGGCATGAGCGTCAAAAATATATATGCCGAAAGAGCTTTAACAACCTTGGTTTCCCACGACACTCCATCTTCTCCGTTGACTATATACCTAGGGCGGGTCGTTTTCAGACACTTGGAGCTACTTGTGAGAACTAGAATTCATAATTATTGATTTTCATACTTAGGTCCGGGAGGGAAAAAAAAGGGGGAAAGAAGTCAACGAAAAAACAGCGAGGGACAGCATGCGACGCGGCGACAAGGCTGGGCTCGATAAGTAAGCCCTAGCAACGGCCACTTAAGTATGGCGTCCCCCACTAAGCACTAAAAGCTTACCAGGCAGTCATCGCAAGCAATTTAACTGGCTTTTTAACCCCCCTGGTCCGCTCCTCTCCCTATCATCTGGCATCCTCCTCACTCGTGCATAATGCAAGGTCTGAACCTCAACCGGGAAGGCCTCGGCGGCCGCATCGCCCTGGCTTTGGCGGTGATTGGCCTCATTTCATTCCTTTACAAGATGGCTAGAGTGCGACTGCACTTTTATCGCCTTAAACAACAAGGAATGGTACGTATAATCCTAGTCGATTATGTACTCTCATTGACCATCTAGCCCATGCCTCCCTGGGATCCGATACTTGGACACCTGCGACTCATGCCAGCCCTTGCCAAGACATGTCCGAGTGATATCGTTCAATCTGAGACTTTCGCCCTTCTTTCGACAGAGCATCCCGGACTGCAATATGGGTTCTATATCGACGTCTGGCCATTCATGTGTCCCATGTTTGTCGTTGCCTCCCCTCCACTCGCGGTGCAGGCCTGCCAGACCTACAACCTACCCAAGCCGAGCGACCAGCTCGCCCCGTTCATCAACCCCATGGCAGGGGGGAGGAACTTCTTCATCACCAATGGGGCAGAGTGGAAGCATGATCGCGATTTATTCAACCACGCGTTCAGCATGTCAGCTACCATGGGTCATGTCGATTATATCTTGGACGAAGCAGCGATCTATGTGGAAAGTCTTCGCGAACACGCCAAGAAGGGAGACACCTTTTCTATGGACCAGCTCGCTTGTAACTACATGATGGATGTCATCGGCAACGTGGCATTGTATGACCCTTCCCCAAACCGTAAGAACAGTATCTGACAATCCCACAGAAACACCCGCTTCAACCACCAAACCGGACATAATCCCATCGCCGCCGCCATGCGCGACACCATCGAGCTAGAATGCGGCTGGCAAAACGACAATAACCTCCTCCGACGCTGGGATGTTAGACGGATGTACCGTCAATGGCGCAACAGCCGGACCCTGAACCATCACATTGGGGTGGAGCTGGAGAAGCGCTACCAGGAGTGGTTACAGCGTGATAAAACCCAGAACCGGGGCAAATCCATCATGGACATTGTCATTGCGGAGTACATGAAAACCCGACCTGCGAGTCAAGCCCACACCGCAACTCTCGACCCGGAGTTCAAGTCTTGGGCTACGATTCAGATCCGCCTGTTCCTGTTTGTCGGACATGATTCTACCGCCGTGACTATTATTTACTGTCTTTACCTCCTCTCGAAGCATCCGGACACCCTCGCCAAGATCCGTGCAGAACACGAACATCTCTTCGGTTCCAAAGACAATGTTGCAACGCAAATCAGACAACATCCAGAGTCACTCAACCAAATGCCCTACACTCTCGCCGTGATCAAAGAGACTCTCCGTCTCTTCCCCCCAGCCAACGCCCTCAGATTCGGCACTCCAGGTACATCACTCACCGACCCCAATTCTCCCAACAGCAAGACCTTCCCAGTAGAAGGCTGCGCGATCTGGATGGTCCATACCGCCATCCATCGAAACGCGAGCTACTGGCCCAAACCGCACGACTTCATCCCAGATCGCTGGCTCGTCGAGCCCGGACACGCGCTCTATCCCCCGACGGGCGGGTGGCGGCCGTTTGAGCGGGGCGCGAGAGATTGTGTGGGGCAGAATATGGCGTTTCTGGGAATTAAAATCACCCTGGCTATGGTGGTGCGGGAGTTTGACTTTGAGAGTATGTATGAGGAGTGGGATCGTGAGCATCCAGGGTTCGGGGAGGTGCGGACTATGTATGGGGAGAGGGCGTATTTGGTGGCTAAGGGGGCGGCGCATCCGGCTCAGGGGTTGCCGTGTAGGGTTCGATTTGCTACATAAGTGGTTGATGGTTTTGTGAGATGTATACTGGGGTTGTTGAATCATGGCAGCAGATGGTATATATCACTCTTCTAAGCCGATGCGAAGAAGTCTTCCTATGCCCTCATCCCCAATCTAAACCCGATAAACCAACACTTCATCCGGCTTCACCTCGCTCTGAGCGAGAAGATCCCAACCTCCTTCAATACCCTCCGCCCCAACCACCCCCTTACCCCAAACGAAGACGCAGATCCGGGGCAAACAACTTGCGATTCGCCAGCCAATGCTTCCAGCGCTCATCCAACTCCTCAAAGACCTTCACCGGATCCCTGACACCCAACACGGCATCCAGAATAGGCGACATGTTGAACTGGATCATCCCCAGCTGTTGCATCGCATTCTGACCCGCCAGGGCCTCTTCCATGGTGTAAACCTGCAGATTATCAGCATCATGCCTTCAAACAAGAAGGAAAAATGAACATACCTTCTGCTGAAACCCAACCCCCAAAACCACAAGCTTAGACCCCCTCAAGACCTCATTCCGCTGAATCAACCCAAACAAATTCTGATGCACTCCATCCCTACCCCCAAAATCCACAACCACGAGCTTTTCCGGCTTCCGTTCAACCAACCACTCCTCCGCCCCCCTCCAGACCATCATACCCTACCGCCAGCGTTTCAAAACCCGGCTTCATCTTCCTCACCGCGTCTCCAATCACCCCAGGCACGGAGGTCACCTGCAACAATCCCAGGGGGACCCTTGCCCTTTGGCCTCAGACAAAGATTATACGCCACGGAGCGGGCAGTCTTCCCACTCGCCGCGAGGGAAATCACCACCGCATTGAAAAGATCCGCCTCGGCGGCAGTCCATTCCACACCGGGCCTGCCGGGGAACGGAGCCGTAACAGGGTGTGTTGCAGGGTCATAAGCAAAGACATATTCACTGAATAGATAGCCAGCACTCAAGATCACCCGGACAGATTCCCAGGCCTGGGAATCTAGATCTCGATCCTTGATATCGAAGACAATGTACCGATTGTACAGCGACATGAGAGATTGACGATGTGGAGAGGTTTCAATGAAGTGGGTGTCTCGGCTGTTAGGGGCGGGGGTGAGTTGGAGGTCGACGGTGTGGGACGAGAGGGGGCCAGTAGCCCCAGAGGGTGGTTCCGGGGGTGCGATTGGGGAGGGTGCTCGCGGTAATGGTGGCGAGACCCCATCCTGGCACGATGCCCCAGGCGGAGGGGTCGTTGTAGGGGGCTGGGGTGCTGGAGGGAAGGGGGTAGGTGGACCACCAGTTTGAGAAATCACCAAAAAGGGCGTAGGTGAGGTTGTTAGTGGTTAGGGATAGGAGGGTAGATTGGACGCGGACGGAGGAAGGAGGGAGGGAAGTGGTGGGGTAGAGGATTTAGAAGGTGGCGTGTTTGGTGTTGTCCTATTTGGAGACAACATGTACGTCCATTTTAATGGGTGGGATTTGAACCGTTGGGTTAGGGCTTGGGGATTATATGAGATGGTAATAGGAGGGAGGTTGTGAGTCTAGAAATGGGAGTTATTTATATAAACACAGGATACTCCGTAGGCGAGAAAGATATTGTGGCACAAGGCTGAGAAAGATCTAGCTGCCTAAACGGGTGGCATGAGGGGTAAGCTGGTGAGTTACCAACTGTTAAGGTCTAGGTTGGTCTAGTGCTTACCGTCGTAGACCTAGCATTTGCCAATTCGAGTACGATTCTGTGTACTATGTGGTAGCGTGAAGCACCGTCAGAAATGGCTATACTAGTCGGGGCTGCTAACAGGGATTTGACCGGGGTCCTCAGCCTTGTCTCCAGTGGAAGAGCATTTTAGGACAGTATTGTGCAGCTGAAGCCGTCCTCTAACCTGAAGTACATTAACTAGACTGGTGCATCCAACGAATAAAAGCCCGTGATCCCATCCCCTTAAAAGCTGTAGCTCGCAACGACTACTAACAGAACAGTTAGCAAGGATAAGATATACCTCCCCTCCCCTGACCTATACTTGGACCATCCGGGACCCGATCTTGCCGGCAATGGTAGAAAGTCGATCGACGGGCTCCCTCGGATCGACCGGGACCCTATTACCGCCGGTATATCAGGAGCATATGGAATGCAATATCGCCCAAGAAGTTTGTTTAACAGTCCGTCTCGGGCCTGCAATCGAACCAAATACCGTGAAGCAATATATATGCTTTTGACACGGCTGTAGCGGATCGAGTGAAACTCATGAAGAAGTGCATTCACACCTGCATCACTGAGGCCCTCCACTTCACCATGTCCGAGCTTCTTATGTAGTAGGTTTGCTAAGACAGCCGCATCCTCAATGGCCATATTGGCTCCTTGTCCGATATTGGGTGTCATCTGCCAAGGTAAATATAAGTTACATCCCAGGAATCCAACACAACATACCTTATGAACACTATCACCAATGCAAACGACACGGCCACAGTGCCACGTGTGGAAGACATTCTCTTCCAACATGGTCATCGAAGACACCAATCGGGTCTTCCACACTTGAGCAAACGTAAGTCCGGCCATCAACTGAACATCAGCCACCCCCTCACACAAACGTGCCGCTGCCTCATCATTAAATCGGATAGTCTGAGGATATGTATATTTCCGATCTAGCTTCTTGATAACAAACCAGAATGCGCGTCCATCCTTCCCGATGATGGTAATGATGCTGAGCCCATCTTGAAAGGCATTGACTTGGTCTCCGATCTCCAACATAGGTACACTGGATGATATTCCGAAGACACAGCAGAACTCGGTTGACATACCTAAAGTATCTGAGCAGGAGTAAGGGAATGATATAACTCGCAGGAATGAACTTACTCCTCATCTCCTTCTGGGTCACTAGCCCCGGGTGCAACTTCTCCGCCATCCTCCATATCTCAGACCGCACTTTGCTATGAACCCCATCAGCACCAACGACCAAGTCGCCAATATACCGTGCACCCGAGTCTGTTACCACCTCCACATGGCTCCCCACACGATGAACCTCGCTAACGCGTTGATTCGTATAGATATTCGACGGTTGAGGGTACTGTGTATGCAGAATCTCAAGTACCTTCTGCCGATCGAAGAAGGCAATAGGGTAGCCGAATCTACAGCGTGAATCCTTCTTTCAGCAACCACCCCAATACCCACACGAGAAACTCACACGCACCTCTGCAGAAGTATCCTCGGATACAAACTCGTAAAAGCAAACCCATCCGGATAAGAAACATGTGCCTTATCAAGAGGCTCGATATGTTTCTCAATATGTTCGTAGAGGGATAACTGGTCAAGGATTCTGGCACCGTTCGGGAGGATACCGATCGAGGCACCTACTTGCGGTGATAGGTCGGTGTGTTTCTCCAGGATAATGTGGTGGATGTTCGCTCGATAGAGACAGTGGGCGAGTGTGAGGCCGGCGATTCCGCCGCCTACTATTATGACTGTAAATTGGGGTTTGGGCATGTTGGTGGGTGTAATAGGGGGGAGTGAAGTGGGGTTGTTCATAGGGTGAATGGAGAGGTCAATCGTTGAGAGGGTATGTATAGCTTGGCTTGGATGAAGGAGCATCAAGGAGGGAAAGGCCCATTGTGTATGATGGGATAGTGAGGAAAGAGTCCATGTGTACGACTGCCGGCATGGTATTGCCACCAGTTGACAAGATGGTCTGTATACTGTTGGTTCTGACCGTAAGGCTACGATGGCCGTGTTCTGTTTCCAAACAGACTTGATCAAGAAATGCCGCTGGCGGTTCGCTGTACCAGTAGGTACGGACGGAATTTCGTGTCCAGCTAGTAGTGTCGTTACGTCAGGTCGGTTCTATAGTACGCGTTAAATTGGAACTAGGCTAGCTGCTGGCCACATTCTGCCTTTGAAGAAGCATACCATGGCCCAAAGTAGCGATTGCGACTACCTAGAGTGACGGCTTTGTGGCCCGGCAGATTTAAGAGAAGAGAATTCGTAGGGAAGGTACGCCGGTAACGTAAAAGCACGTCTGCAATTTGAATAAATCTGTCAAAATATGATCGGGTATTTTCTTTCCAAGTAAGTGCCGGAAATATGCAATTTGGTAACGATGCTGCATGCATGAACGCAGGGCCGGAGTTTTGTGTCCCCGTGAGACAATGTGAGGCTGGGACCAATGAAATTCATACGGCCAGATGTTCTGGCACATGATCTCTATTCTCTGCACTATCATTGGTCGACCACTACACAAGTTTCCGGAACTGCAGGGTTGCACTGCTGGCCCGTTAGATGTGGCTGCGGTGACCCCGATATCTGCCGCTTAACATAGGGTTCAGGATTCATTGAACAGAAATAGCGACATACCATTAACAGATAACTATTCAGGATGGATCCTTGCCATTACGAAAGATAGTGGCAAGATCCACGTTGTATTATGCTGACCAGATAGCCCTCGCAAGATCCTGGCACCCCGCAACTTCGTTGGCAAGGATGGTTCCAGCTTAGGTGGATTGGCAATATGGCGACACCACTCCCGCCCAAGAGAAAGCAACGTCATCGCCACTGTATTTGATACCACTGGGATAGGGCTTCAGGCAACGGCGATGACTTGCAAATCGTGTGTTGTCAAGAAAACCAAGTCCAGATCCGATGCCAACTCCGAACCTCAGTTGCCCGAGACGCATGCTGCGAATCATAAGGCGAGAATAGTGACCTACTCGCCTGACAGGGGCTGCATGTTGGGTGGACATAAATGCCGCATACACTATGCCGAGGGCTATTTCCTTATTGTTATGTAATATCCCGAGATTACTGTCGAGGACACGAGCTATCTCCAACATAACCTCATACGAGGAGTATGATTGCAATGTAATACGCCCGATGCTTTGCTTCACTGGTAATGCTAACGTATCTTTCTCGCACCCACACAGAACGAAGTTATCTCTGGCCCGGTTGCCAATAGCCAATCGTTGGTCATGAAGTTCACCCTGACTGTGTAGCAAGAAGGGAGTCCGGACACGGAGTGAATAGCCCCAGCCGAATTAATTTCATAAGCGGTGTATTCAGCGAAGTTCTAACCCTTCCATCTCAATCAAATGCTCGATAATGTTGGATATGAAACTTTGGGTGTCATCAATCAGTAACATACAATGGCAAGCACTGCACCTTGCCAATTTGGATTCCCCAGTACCAGGTGGAGCCAGACGCAGCAGCTCTCACGGTCACTTCAAACCTGTATCAGTCTGGCTCTGTCGGATAAGTTGGCTTGCGGGAGTCAATATTCGTTCCATGCCGCCAACTCCGCGGATTAAGTCAACACCAATCCTAGTTGAAGATAGTGCTATATCAGGCACAGCTCCCATGTAGTTACACTGGACGCAGAGACACCCCATCCTTTCTTCATCATCACTCATGGAGAATATGTCCCTTCCGAACAACATGGCTACCACTGTGGACTCCATCCACCGCCATCTGCCCCAAATTTCCCTCATAATCTTAGCCGCATTGGCCTTGCCATTCACGGCGTTGGTATGGGATCGCATTCTAAACCCCTTCCCAACTACGAAGCGGGCCTGGCTGGTCGGCAAGAAGCAGCCGTCCCAGATCACCTCGCTGGAATGTCCCTATAGCTACATTCGTCAGATCTACGGAAAGCATCATTGGGCTCCTTTTGTCGACAAGCTATCTCCCAGCTTGAAATTCGACGACCCGCCCAAGTACCAGATGATCCTAGAGATCATGGACGGTATCCACCTATGCTTGATACTAGTTGACGATGTATGTACCCCTTCGACAACCAATCCAAAACCTAACCACTCCAGATCTCCGATGGCAGCAACTTCCGCAAAGGGCATCCCGCCGCGCATAAGATATACGGCCCATCAGAGACAGCGAACCGTGCCTATTACCGCGTGACGCAGCTTTTGAATCGCACTGTTCACGAATTCCCCACCCTCGCGCCATTCCTCATGCAATGTCTGGAAGAGATCCTGGAAGGCCAGGATCTCTCCCTTGTATGGCGGCGAGACGGCCTTTCCAGCTTTCCAGTCGATCCGAAGGAGCGGGATGCAGCGTATCGTCGAATGGCATCCCTGAAAACGGGGGCGCTGTTTCGTTTGCTCGGCCAATTGGTGCTAGAGGATCAGTCAATGGATGGTACCATGACCACTGTGGCGTATGTATTGACACCCAAGTTAAGGCAACGCTGACCAGAGTTGTAGGTGGTGCTCTCAGCTACAGAATGACTGCAAGAATGTTTATTCGACCGATTATGCCAAGGCCAAGGGCGCGGTGGCAGAAGATCTTCGCAATGGTGAACTATCTTTTCCGATTGTGGTTGCGTTGGATGCTCCCCAGGGTCATCTCGTAGCTCGGGCTTTGGAGTATGGTTCCCCTCGTAATATTCGCATTGCTTTGCGAGTCATTCAGAGGGAGGATGTCCGTAACGTTTGTCTGATGGATCTAAAGAAATCGGGGGCATCCGTGCAGGAGTGGCTGGCTATCTGGGGGCGGAAGGAGAAGATGGATGTGAAGACCAAGGCGTGATGCAGCTTGCTAGTAGCCACTTGTGCGGATCGAATATGATTGTCTAGTTGCGTTCTCAAACCGGTAGTAGTATCGCTGGGCGCTTCACAAGAAAGCTTTGTATGATCCTGATTTCTAATACCTACTCCGTATCACCCTGCAAGATTATGCGGTGTCACGCCATGAGTTACATCTCCGCATCTGCATCGCTGCCGAGTATCCCGCTGATATCTGGTCGCGATTGGCACGTTCGTGTCACTCGAAGAATGACCACATGGTGCATCAACCACCCGTCAGTCGCCCGCCATGTCCAGTCTTGTTGCAAACCCGTGTACGGTTTGTCTTGCATCCAGCGCAGCACCTACCAGCAGACATGCACAACGAATTGGGTATACGGGCGGGAAATTGCCACGATTCCTAATGTTCTGGTGCAGCTCTTACCTCCAGTCAGACATTAGCCTGAGAAAACAGGTCATTTCTGGCTACCTCGCTGACTAGATGTGCTTTTGACAGTTGCATTGCGTGGTGGTTGAAATCCGCTGATGACAGCAGAGCGACCTGCACGTAGCTGACCCATCTATGCCTCCGTGAGTTCAGAACTTCCTCCCTTATATGTATGCCCCTTCTTTCGTCCTGTGCACTGATCCTACAGTATTCAAACCTATCTCGTATTACCCCTTACTTCTCGGTAACGCAACCATGCTCGCTTTCCCTATGTTCAACGCAGGGTCACCTGACACTTGGAGAATCAATGCCCCATACCTCCCCTTTGTCTTTGCGGGGGGCTACCCTGCATCAGAGCCCTCATCTCTGTTAAATATAGATGACGAGGATGGAAGCTCCCCAGAACCGAGCACAACATCGGTGGATAAGGAAAAGGTCGGAGCCCGTGCTTTCAAGTTATCCATGTCTAACTCAGTCAGATTGTCCGAGGCCCACTGGACTACCTCCTCAAGTCCCCTGGCAAAGACATTCGACGCAAATTTATCCACGCTTTCAACGAGTGGCTACGTATTCCCGAGGACAAACTCGCGATTATCACCGAAATCGTCGGGTTACTTCATACGGCATCCCTTTTGTACGCAGCCATTCCTAGCCCAATATCAATTCAGGAACATACTGACTATCCAGAATCGACGACATCCAAGACTCCTCCAAACTCCGCCGCGGCCTCCCCGTCGCACACAGCATCTTCGGCATCGCGCAGACCATCAACTCAGCCAACTATGCCTACTTCCTCGCACAAGAGCGGATCCGCGAACTCAACCACCCCGAAGCATACGAGATCTTCACCGAGGAGCTCCTCCGTCTCCACCGCGGGCAAGGAATGGATCTATACTGGCGCGACTGTCTCACCTGCCCAACAGAGGAAGACTACATCGAGATGATTGCCAACAAGACGGGTGGATTATTCCGCCTGGCAATTAAGCTTATGCAATTGGAAAGTGACACCAAGAGGTGAGTCACACAACATCAACCCTGTGACACAACTCTAACCTTGCGCAGCGATGTAATCAGCCTCGCAGACCTCCTCGGCATCATCTTCCAAATCCGCGACGACTACCAGAACCTACAAAGCGGGCTATATACCAAGAACAAGGGGTTCTGCGAGGATCTGACAGAGGGCAAGTTCTCCTTCCTAATCATCCATAGTATTCACAGCAATCCGAATAATCAGCATTTGTTGAATATTCTGCGCCAGCGAAGTGAGGATGATGCGGTGAAGAAATATGCGGTGGAGTATATTCAGTCCACGGGGAGTTTTGAATATTGTCGCGAACGGCTGGCGGCTTTGTTGGAGGAGGCGGATCAGTTGGTGAAGGAGTTGGAATGTGAGGTGGGGGCGTCGAAGGGGATCTATGAGATTTTGAAATTTTTGGCATGAGGATTGGGCAGTATGCCGTATGGTCAGAATCTTTACCTAGCAACTGGTTTGCCTAACAGAATGGTTATGTTCAATACATTTGTCTGGTTCTGTTCACTTGTAAAGACCCATGCCCACAAACCACCGAACGATCGCCATCAGGTTATACCAGCCCATGCTCCTTACCCTCACAATGATTCCTACGTAATGAGCAGTCGCATTCAAAATCGCGCTCGGCCCGGATCCTAACCTCCCTATTCTATAGATGGAAAGTGTACCGCTGTGTATCTCTGTGTTCACGCGTGGCGCATATAGTTTCCATCACGAAGGATGGCGACGATTTTTCTCGGGGTAGATATGACGGACAGATTCTGTTGGCAGTAGTCGTAGTAGGATAGAGGAAATGATGACAGTAGTTTCTTGAAACGGAGTTAGGGGGTTACCGCGTTGGCGACGGTAGTGTGGGCTATGAGTGTACCGGATAGACAACATTACAGGAAGCAGCTTGGCTCTGAATCTGGATCCGAGGGGTTCAGTGGTTGGGTGTCACGGACTGAGGTGTATTGGATTGGATGGACCGTGTACTGTCGCGTTGAAGTTGGTCTGGGAGGAGTAACGTACCTATCCTCCATGCATTGTTTGCAATATACTGTCACTTGTTGTTCTTCAAGTGAATTTTCAACACCCTAATTTACACAATCCTTCCTCTCACACAAGATATCCAATCTAATTAACCATCCACCCCATTCCCAAAATCTCTCCCTGAAGAATCACGGAAACATCATGCATGTTTGCTATCAATCACTCAGCTGACCGACCCACCTGATTCTTCAAGACTCGGCAGAAACAGGCCTTGGCAGCGCCAGATTTAAAACAATCGATTGTACACTTTGTCCAGCAGACTCGTCTAAAGAAACTCGGAGAATTTGTCATCTGCGGGCGTCTGCGTGTTTGATGGTGGTCTTGTGGCTGGTCCGGTTCAATTCTTCAGGTTGTCGGATGTATGGATGGGTTTGGAATAATTGGATTGTTGGATGAGGGATGCGTGCTTATTGTGTCTGCATGGGCAGGTAGGTTGGTTGGATGATTACTTGAGAGATGGTAGTCACTGCTCCGTATGGTTTTGATGGTAGAGGTGACTTGGCTACTCTGTGTGGGTGAGTTGGGAATCCTACTGAGCGGTCATGTGTGACGTATCTTCGGGATGACTTTCTCCATAAGCAGGGAAAGTCTAGCGACGTAGTCAGTGCAAGTTTACCGAGGTATGCATGCTTTAGCAGGACTTCTCTATATTCCCTGGTGATCGATGGCTCTGTGCTTACTCTTATTGCGTTTTCAATTCTCTCACTTAATACTAGTATAAGCTTAGGCTACGAAAGCCATGCTCGTGACTGGGATATATCGCAAGTCGTTCGATATAGCGTTAAGTAGTGTTCTTCTTCGGGGATACTCTGGCATATATTTAGTCTTGTGCAGTAAATATCCAATACCACTTTGTGCGCACATATTGTGGTCAAGTACTAGTCAATCGCGCTTCTGCGCGCAGAATATATATTCCATTGACGATCGGCAAAATTGTCCGGGGAGGCATCAAGAGGGCGAGCAGAAGCATAATATGATGAACTATACTGGAAGTAAACCAAATAATTCATTTAACTGCCAGGATTTGGTATTTTCTTCTGTGGTTTGCGCACGGCTGGATTTTGTACGGTCGCTGATACGGGATATATTCAGCAATGGCTCTGCGGAGATTACTCAGTCTCGAGACAAGACTTGTCGTCTGGGAGATAACTTGTAAATATGTTGGCTTTCAGTGAAAATGATGCAACCAGACCTGCGGCCTCGTATATATGAAGCGAACGAAAAATTGTATACGAGTCTCCACACAACTTGAAGCGACTACAATCTTCGCATCACGCAGCAACCAATCCAGACCCGATCTAACCAGACCGCCGATATGCTCCACCCAAAAAGAGAGAATATAACCTTTTATCAAAAACCAAGCAACCACCCACCCAGACGCCAACCATGCAATATAACCGCTAAAACCAATACGAAACCCCTACACAGCCTCCCAATCCATCGCATCGACAATGAAGTCCCAGTCGGCATCGTGATACCCTCGCTCGTCCGCTCCCGCCCCTTGACTCTCCACGACGTGCTGCTTCGCAAGCAGATATGCATCTTCCAACCCTTGGAATATCGTCGCCAGGATCACCTCGAAATTATAACTCGCCAACGGCATCACCTTCTCCTTCCGCCGGGCTGTCGCCCACCGATCCCGTTCGCGTTCCTTCTTCGTCATATCTGCTGTTTTCCATCGATTGCGCAGCTCCTTCGCCCGGTGTAGCTGTTCGTGCACATCGCCTTGTCCGAGAACGGGGTAGAGGGGACATGATGGGTCCTGCAGCGCTTCCAGCACATTGGCATGATATCGATGACTCGAGAGCGGCGTCACTCCGGGTTGTGGGAGATGGGCTTGTCCAAATGCCGACGTAACGGTCGTTCCGAAAATCCCCAGCAGATGCACGATGGCGCGCTCGAGCAGCGCGTAGTATTCGTGAAAATCGATCTTGAACATGATCTCAGCGTGGCTGACGTCGGTGTCGCTCGTGGAGGGGTCGAGCGTGGCGAGGCGGTAGCCTTCGGCGAGGAAGGGGAGCTTCCATTTGAGACGGGCGACAATCTTCATGAAGCGGGAGAGATCGTCGGACGCGGAGGAGTGTGGGCGCTTGGTGGGTGAGGGGGTGCGGCTGGGGCGGGTGGTGTGGTTGGCGGGGCGGTATGGCGTGCGATTCGGGGGGACATAGCTGGTAGTGGCAGGGGAGGGTGCCAGTGAGATCTCGCCGGGACTAGGAGCCCAGCGTGATCGGGCCAGGTCGTTCATGGTAAAGATATGGATGGAAGTGGGCGATGGTGATGGCGTCGAAATGCGCGGGCGGCCGGTTCGATAGCGCGATAAGAGCGCGTCTTAGTCAGCCAGTTGATCCGGAAGTGGATTCCCGGCATTTCGATGCATGCAGGGCCGGATGCAGGAACCGTTTTAAGTAACCCCAGAGAATCCGACATTTAGTGAAGCTCCGCGAATTCCTTATCCAGATGGATTTTGTCTTGCAACTCCCCGTGTGTAGGTTGCATGAACGCGAGCCTACATGGTGAAGAGAAATGTTGCCACCGTGGTGGACAAAGGTTGGTTTCGATCGGCATGGCCAAGCGATGATTTAGGAAATTCGTCGGATGCTGCCGCACCCCAGAAAGCAGCAAAGATGAGCTACGCGACATAGTGGACGGGTGTTGGCGGCGGGGAGACAACGGCTGAAACCAGACCATGCAAGCCGACAAAAAAGGGGGGATGAACAAGGGAAGGGAAAGGGGACAGTAAATGTACCATTGCGAAGACCCCGGCCGTAGCCTAAGCGGGTAGGCACATTCCTTGGCAGATCGGACATTTCCGATCTAGAAGATGAGGTTCGGAAATTTACATGGCTGGCTGAAGCTGAAGACTATGGACTTGTCAGTGGCCCTGGCAGACGGCTGGGAAATGACAACCGCCGACTAGCAATGGGTATAACAGCGGGTAATGATCGGGTTCAACGTTCACCGGGCAGATGGGAGCGGGCCCGCATGACGACGCTCCAGATGATCGGAGAAGGCGGCATCATTTGTACCCCGATGACCGATCGGGATCTGATATGGTAGTCCAAGATCTCGCAGGATCTAGCATCCGACTCCTTCCCATCAGATTGATGCATGTACAGGACACCAAATTGATGGATGACTACAGGTGAGCAAAACCCCTGAAAGATTCTGGATCAGCCAATGGGTTGCCAGGGGCAAAATTGCGAGTGTCAGAGCGACCCAGAGGGCTGAACCGAGCCAAGAGAGTTGCCATCTTCTGTATATTAACCGGTTATTTTTGGCTGATCGGCCCTCCAAGGGCCGAATTCGGCATGACGGATGGTGGTCATTGCAGCGGAGGGATCCCGGCGACTAGGTTTGGGTTTTGACAGATGGATGCTGTTGGCGGGTGTGTTTTCCAGCAGTTCAATGCCGATGGAAGAAGTGTGGAAGCAGAAGAGGAAGATGCTGTTTCTGATATATCAGCGCCGCGTCAACAAAGGCAAGTGTCTGCCTGAACCCTACCGAGGCTCCCACGTGGATTGTAGCCAACGCTAGCCCGAGTGGGAGGCGGTGGAGACGAGGACATCAATTCCAAACGGCCAGCCCTTGGCGCGCTAAAGGTAAGCTTATTATTCCCTGTTCCAATTCCAATTCCAATGCCCAACTCCCACGCACAATTCTCACCAGTCGCCACCATCTACCGAGGTTGTCGCTTCGTCTACCCAGGAATTGGCCCCCGTTTCACCACCAAACTCAACTTGCACCTTAGTGCCGGTCACCCCAACCGGAATGGTGGTCTGGGCACTGCTCCCCCGGAGCAATCAGCGCAACTGGGCTGACTCGCACCCAAATTTCAGGCCTCTCCAAGCGACATGGCGTCAGGCTGGGCACGGGAGACGCACAGGGTCGTGGACTTCCCCGAGTCAGAGAAACGGCAGATTCAAGCCCGGCGCCCGGTGATTGGCGGGCGCGGGTGGACATCGGCAGATGATGCCCAACTGGAAAGCAGATCCGGGCGCGAGTGGAGCCGACCACCGCAACCAACCGGAGGCTCCTCACCGGCCGATCGCCGAGCCAGCCCTGGGCCTCTCGCATTGGTCCGTCCCCTCGTGGAAACGCCCGTGTTTCACTCCTCCCATGGTCCGCTGGCCGATGGTTCACGCACATTCTGCCTGCCAAGTAGATAGGTTCTGCAGGCAACCGACCTGCGTCACAACGGAGCACATCCCAGCTCGTCCATCTAGTCGATACGCCCGGAGTCCTCGACCCTGCGATCCGGGATGGATCTGGACCACAGTGGTGGGAACCTGGACCAAGCACGTCCCCGGGTAAAAAAGCTTGCTCCTGGCGAATCTCAACTGCGGTTTCACCATCCACGTGGGGGGCCGAGGTGTTTATAAAGGGTGACCAGGATAAATCCCTTTTCCGTTGCCCTCCCGTCTTCCCACCTCTGCTGGGATGCTGCTCGTCTGGGTTGCATCCCCTCCGCCATGAAGATCCACCAGTGTTTGTTCGCCATCTTGTTGGCCTTTGCTGCTCTTGTTGCGGCATCGAATAGCACCGAATTTCCCCAGTGTGCAGTAAGTGACTTGTGGGGAGAGTAAGACTCTTATTGACAGTTTAGGTGTCTTGTTTGGCCCAAGAATCCTCCAGTTGCAGCATCTATGATGCGTCATGTGTCTGTACCGGTGCCGCCAGCAAGTCGGCCCTCGTGAGCTGCGCGGAAAGCAGCTGCACGGCGAAAGATTACTACAGTGAGCATCTCGACCGGCACGATGATCGTTCCTAACCCTCGCAGTCACCAGACATCTGTATGAGCTCGAATGTGGTCTCCCCATCAAGAAGGGGCCCCTCCTCGTCGACCCCGCCACTCTCGCACCCGCCATCCTCGCAACCATCTTTTTCTTCATTCGGATAGCAGCGAAGCTGGGAAATCTTGCGGGTGGCTGGGGACCGGATGACTATACTGTGACTGCGGCATTTGTAAGGCCATTGCCAATTTTTTTTTTTTTTTTTTTTTTTTTTTTTTGCATGCGAGTTCTAACATGTGCAGATACTGGGAGTGGCCTTGTTTGTTGTGAATACCTATAGTAAGTCACATGGACCCTGTATCGTACCATTCTAACCAAACAGTGATCAAATACGGTTTCGGCATGAACTCGTGGGATATTCTCCCCTTTCACCACATCACCCTGGTGTTTCAGTACTTTGAAGGCCTCGCCATGATGTACAAGATCCAAATCTCGCTCTGCAAAATCTCGGTACTGCTGTTCCTGCTCCGCATCTTCCAGTCCCGTGTGTTCCGCGTCCTCGCCTACATCCTCATCGGCGTCAACGCCGCCATCGGCATCACGTTTTCCTTGGTGGATCTGCTTCGGTGTACCCCAGTCCACCTGGACTGGGATGGGTGGACTGGTGAAAATATAGAAGAGGGAACCTGTATCAATTTCATCGCCGCGGTCATGGTGCACTGTCTCGTCAACATTTTCGTCGACGTCGTTATCGTCATCCTGCCGATCTACGAAGTCACCAAGCTGCAGCTGCCCTTTACCAAGAAAGTCACCGTGGCATTCATGTTCATGATGGGTCTCATGTAAGTCACTCATCACCTGCGTGGTTCTATGCTAATTATCCAGTTTGACTATCGTCGCTATCATCCGAGTCGTCGTCTTCTGGGAGCACCGTTGGACCAACAACCTGACCGGTAAGCCACCGCCCACCTCTTCCCATACACAACAGCCTCTGATATGATTTAGCCGGCCTCCAACCCCTAATCCACTGGTCGGTCATCGAATCCCAAATCGCCATCATGACCACCTGCCTCCCCGCCGCCCGCGCCTTCATCACCCACTACTTCCCAGCCTTGGGCGGCAGCTCCGCCCGTCGGACCTACGCCCGCACCAATTCCTTGTACAACAACACGCCGTCCGGCGCGAACAGCAAGATCTCCAAGTCGGTGAATATCTCCGTTGACTACACGACGCGGTCGGCGCGGGATTCTACCAGTGCTGTTCATCTGGTGGAGATGGATGGGCGATACGAGCGGTTCTGATTTACTCGTTCTTTTATTTCATTGTTTTTATATTTCTTGGTTTTGTTTTGATATCCCCGAGCCTACTGTAATTACATACGGTGTATAGTATTCTTGCTTTTGATAGAATGTTGTCATGACATGAAGATTACAAACGATCCTGAGATTTAGAGAGGAATCCATACTCAGGTACGATGGTGTCCGCGGGCTCCTCACTCCTACCCTTAGAACCTCTTCCCAGCGGCGGTAGCCGCACCTTATTGTCCTACTAGCTGCTAGGACTCCATCAGCTCAATTGGATTCAATTGCTCAGGAATAACGATCAGGTCAAGCAGGACCTGAATAACTAAAAGTCGTTCATATACCACGATCTCAAATATCCCGAAGAGAGCAGAATCAAAGCAATCGAAGATACAAAATGGACAGAGAAAGAGACACAGAATATAAAACGAAATGTGCAGAGGCACAAAAGCTACACGGCCAGAAATAAATGAATAAATAAGAAGATAAAACAAGAAAGAAAAGAAAATATACCATCTACCACGCAACGCTCCCCCATCTCCAGCCCCAATCAGTCTACTTGACCCGAACATCCACGGTACCTGTCATGGCCTTGATATCATGAAACACGTCCTCAATGTGGGTGAAGTAGGTCAGCTGGCTGCGTTCGTTGCCAGCGAACAGCAGCCCAACCACTTCGAGGTCGTCGTTGTAAATCAGCGAACCCGAGTCCCCCTCTTGGGAGAAGTCTCCCAGGACGGTGTGTTCGATGGTTGGCTCGATGCACTCCTTGCCATTTTTCACGTAACTCTGGATGAGCGCAGTTTTCAGTGAGTGGTAATGGCCAACGGTATAACCAGTCTGGCGGCCGACCTCGTAAAGTCGGGCAGCTTCATTGATTTCAGTATGAGGCCATTGTGCCAATGGAACAATCCTCATCGACGGGGGCATGAAATTAGGTAAAGGGTCATATGTTACTGCCTGTGCCAGATGAGAATCGTTCAATACATGTTGAGTATACGCTAGGTCTAACCATGTTGGTACCAACACGAGGTGCTATGGACGGAGATCAGAGACCAATCAACTGTTGTTTTCAGGTCATGTTTGATGGTTGTAGATGCGATGGTCCGTTTCCCGAGCACGCAATAATAGCACCCCTTGTTAAGGATCTGGTCTTTTAATACTTGTAGTCGAGAAGAGATATTATATTATAGTAGAACAGACGATTTCCTTCGATTAACGCAGATAGTCTTCTAGATAATCATTGCTAGGAAATGGAATGCGGTATTGCACCTCGTAATAGATACGAGAATGGTTTTGTGTCTGGCTATATTTCACCGGGCCAATGATTCTGCCATTAGATTATAGGTATCGTCTGCTTAGTAGGTAGGTTCGATATAGTGGAGACTATATTGGTCAGGATATAGATATAGGATCGTGCTTGATATCCATGGTTCGTGTTATGGATACCCAGGGGGCCTTTAATAATATCTCTGTAAGGAATATGATCAAACAAGAAGGTAAAATCTCCAGTGAGGAGGTTCTCGAGGAAGATGTTGGAGGAGAAGCCTTGAAGCTTGTTGATTCAGATGGCTACGGATCCTAGCTAAGGGGGCCGAGGGTCAGGTGACTCTTAGTCATCCAACAGAAGAGATGTCAGTCGAATAAACACGGCAACTTCAAGCACCCGGCCTCGACCTCACGCAGATACCACTGGTACTATGACTATTTTATCAAAATTTCATCAGTTTTTCATCAAAATCTTACTTTGGAATCACTTTGGAATCATAAAAAGTAATATAAACAGTAAATAAGCATTTAATAAGTAATAATACTTCATTCTCAAGCACTTGCGCCATGGTTGAGGATGTGGGAGGGGGGAAAGTGATTAGTAGTAGTGGTGGTATGTAAAAAGCATGAAAGAGGTGAAGTGGAATGAAATTTTGAATTAGTATGGGTAAGAGGTCGCGTGGCAATCAGGTGACCAAACCGCTTAGTAAGCAGTTTTCATTGCACGCGACGCTAAAAAACAGCACAACTGATCTGCAACCTCAATAAACCGCGTTTCTGCTCTTAGAGTAGAGATGTGTCAACAGACAAGTTGTCTTCCTTCTCGCCTTCTCAGAGGGATGGAGATTGAGTGATATACTTGTCGGTATATCCAAATAATATGATACAGTTCTTGAAGATGTTTGTTCCTCAGTCGAGTGTTGCAGACTTGGATACGCACAGCGAGAGTAGCTTTTTCAGTATCCAAGGGCTACAGTGTGTAGCTGAATTTCCGAGACACAATGTATACATTCTTCAAAGCGTACACAATTATTCAGAGCTTTGAACATCTTCATTGATCTTAATTGTTTTGCATATTGACCGTTTGTTTGCAGGTCTTTTGTGCTCTTGTTTGTCCCGTGATATGACGGATTGTCGTTTTCAAGGACATTCTTGATCCTTTGGAACAGGTCATCCCTAAGGTCCTTTTGATATGCGGCAAAGAGAGCTGTGTAAGTTCAATTAGCGTTGGTATAATGTTCTACATAGCGGATAGAAGGGCATAGAGCTGTACAGGTGGTCGACTATAAATGTACAAGCGAGTCTGTTGAGTATGACAGGCAAAAGGGGAGAGAAAGCCAAAGATAAGTAGCAACTGAGAATGAGAGGAGGCGAAACGCTGGGAGGATCCGAGGTGGGATTTATAGGCTGTGGAAGAGGTAAATTGTGATATGGTGAAGAGCTTATCCGTGAAGTAAAATTTAGAGTGACAATGGGTATTCATTACCTCTCATTCATCAAGATTCCGAAGTGCTTGTTACGGGGCTATGAATTGCTCTACAGTCAACGATTATTATCCTAAATGATCGGGGAATACACCAGAGGATATTATAAGGTTGAATGGCTTTGGGCCACTCCGATTGCATTGTGTTGTCGTTTATATTTATCTCAGCATGGAAAGGCAAGTACTTCACTGTAAGGTAGCTAAAACTCGATCGGTTGGCACATTCGATCAGGACGACTAATTTACACTTGATGAACTATGACCAGCATCATTTCAATACCCTTCACTGTATACTAGGAACAGTATCAAACCATGAATGTCACTTACAACTCCCAAATACCCACTACACAGCCGAATAGAATAATGCCGCTCATTCATCTACACATTATTCCTATCGTCGTAACTAGTCCACATCAATAGTTATATACATCTCACACGTGACACATCCATCAATCATAGCCTAAGGCAGAGACAGGAACAACTCCTTCATCAGGGGGTAGTTAGGCGTACCCAAGCCGCTGGCAGGGTCCCATCTGCAGTTCGTTAGTAACACCCTTAACAACAACGCGCTTTACTCACCCCTCAATAGCACTGAAACCGTAGGTTCCGCATCCGGCATTAGTACCGTTGGTAATGTCGTTGAGAACCTGGGGATAAGCGTAGAGGACAGGGTTAACGAAACCGACAGGCCCCTTGCCGATCGCAAAGCGCTCCTCGTTAAGCTACACTCGTTAGCAGAGTCCTTCCTAGCAGCAGGCTGACTTACCAAAGTAAGGACCGACGCAAACAACGGCGACGCCAAACTGGATCCATACCAGTGGTAGTCGTAGCTGTCCATGTAAGCCCGGAAATTGGCGCCGTTGGCAGAGACGTCAGGGTAAGCACGTCCGAGACGGTTGTAGCGACCCTTGGTGGTGTTGACGTCCACCTGGAACTCGGAGTAGTACGGGTAGGACAGGTTAGCCGTCTCAAAGTATTGCGCGACCGCAGCCACCTGGTAGGCCGGCTGAGGGAAGTAGTTCGAGAAGCCACCAGAGGTACTGAAGTTGGTTGCGGTGCCGCCGAGGTTGACGTGCATCACGCTCTCGCTGTCGTTCACAGTCTGGTAGCCGTAGAGCATTGTGCCTCCGACGGAGGTGACGTACGGGCAGTTCGAGGGGTACTGAGGGTTGAAGATCTTGCCCTCAGGGCCGAGACAGCCGTTCTCGTCACCATCGCCAGCGAAAGAAGCAACACCGTAGTCACCAGAGGCGAACAGGATGGAGTGGCCCTGCAGACCGAGCTTCATGAACTCGTTGCACTGGCGCTTGGTGTAGCCGACAGGAAGATCGGCCTCCGACTGGCCGTAGGAGGCGCTGATCACGTTTGTGGGCTTGTAAACACCACACTGAAGCTTGCCTGCGACAACTTAGTCTCTGCACCGCTCCAGCTCCACAGTGGGCATACCTTTGTAGCCGCCAGGGCGGTTGTCGGGGTACACGGGGTCGATCTCCGGGTCGTCGCCAGTCTCGCCATAGGCGCTGTAAGTGCAGTAGGACTGGACCGTTAACAGGAATCAACAAAGAGACGGGATAACTTACGCCATCCAGAGCATCGAGGAAGGTGTTGAACAGATTGGTGGTGTCGACCTCCACGGGCTCGTAGAGCTGGTCGTCAACCTGGTAAAGGGTGACCTCCTGCGGGTAGAGCAGGGAGTAGCTTCAACTCATCAGCAGCCGCATAGCAAATTGGCAATGGATACTCACGCCATGTCAATGTCAATGTCTGATTCACCAGTGTTGAGAGAGCTGTAAGAGGGAACCGAGTAGTTGGCGCCGTCAATCAGGGCCGGGATGGGATAGGTACCCTGAGGGACCCATGGAGCATACTCCTTGTAGAACAGGTCAAGGTCAGACTTGGCAAAGTAGTCACCCTGCTCATAAAGACCCAGACTATTGCCCGGAGTCGCCGTGGTAGCGTCAGGGATCTGGTACAAGGCCTTGATACACGAGGGGGTGATGTTGTAGCCACAGGCCTTGAGGTCGTCCGGCAGAAACTTGGCCTTGGCCGGCAGAGGCTGCGAGCCCGACAATCCGGCGGATTTGGCCTTGGACGAGTGCGCCAGCTGGGACGCACGCTTAACCTTGTTCCTCTTCTTCACAACCTGAGTGAGCTTCACTCCCGGGGTGATGTAGTCGATGTGCTTCTGGATGTGCTGGGGGACATGGTACCTAGAACAGTCAGTAGTGATCCAGGGAGGCTATAAAAAACCTACTCATCACATCCGACCTTGATGCTGGCACTGGCCTTGCTCTCGTGTTCATGGAACTTTGTCAGGAGAAGACTCTCAGCTTCATGAGCGTAGGCATCGAACGCGAGCCAGCCCTTGTTGTCCGAATGCACCACTCGCGATGGATGGATTCCGGAAGCGGCGAGCCACTCTCGCACGGCTTCGACAGCTTCGTCAGAGGGTGCGAACATGTCGTGCACCTCATCGGCCGACCAGTACTGGCCGTACTTGGGAGAGGTAGGATGCGAACTGCAATTGAGTCAGCATATTCTTATTCAGCTTCTCCAGCTTCTCTAAGGGTCCCCTGGAGCGAAGTGGAGAACAGAACACATAGATTCACTTACACTTCCATCAACAAGTCATAACCCTTGTCCAAGTTGTTTTGGGCGAGACCAATGCGCATGGGCAAGACGGCATCGCTGTCCACGCGAGCCCCCTTCACCCAGTCGGATGCGGGCTGGCTGCGCTTCTCGTGCAGGACGTGCTTAACGGAGGTCGGGATGGCATTAGACACAGCCGCAATGGCCAGAGCCACGGCAAGCTGACGGACCAACATGATGAGCTTGATCAGCGACTGCGATCAGACACGAGGACTGACTGTCGGCAGGCCACGGACAGTCTTAAATAACGACGCAATTTCCGGTGGGCCCCTTGCAGTGACATGCGAGAATTAATTGCGACATACGACCTGCCGGCCACACCGCCGGCTGCAATCTACGGTGGATGGTGTGATTGGAGGATGGGCTGGTTCACGCTGGGAACGGTGCCTGGAAAGTCGGCTGGGAGGCGGTCATCGCTGGATTGCGGGGGTGTCCACAGGCACCAGCCAACCCGGCCAGCTTTGCTGCAGCTTATCGAGGGTGGTGTCCCACGCTATAGAGGCGCTAATGCTGCTGTCTCGGCTAGCTCTCGCGTTATCGGGCGCTAAGCAGGAGAAACGATTGCCATTCGTTGGGGAGGACTGAGGGGCACCGGGGTTGCATCGGAACCCCGACTGAGCTTCCTGATAAGCAGCCATTCCGCGCCATTTCCTTCCTGTGTTCCCGATCACCCGCTTCCTGGCAGCTTCGTGAATCCCTTCACCCCAGCAGGGCCGCATTTACGCATTTCGGAATCCTGTGGAGTCCGACGGCCTTATCTACCTTGTGTAGACACTTTCCCTTGGACTGCCATTGAAGCAATCTCTGAACATGCGGCTCATGTGTGACCCTGATCCATTCTGCTATGGCAGCTACACACAAACAAAGATCTGACTGTCCAGTCATGGGTGTGGAACATGACGGATATGCTTCGGGGCAGGCACAGGCTTGCCTGCGATTGGACCTGCTAATTACCAGCCTAATCAAGCAGCTGCCTCGTAAACACGCCCTGGGCATCCCACACTCTCTTCAGCTGCCGGAGCTTCTTCAAGCGAGCTTCTCCCCGGTATCGTCGCTGTATAGGCCCTGTTCTTGTCGCATTTTGAAAATCGACGTACCGGGTCTCATCCGGTCCACGCATCACGGCGACACTCCTCGTTGTAGTCATCAACCTTGCGACGATTCTTTACATCCGTGTGCCAGATGATATTGACCCTTCATCCAAAGTTAGCATTGCAATCATGACGCGACCAAAAACATACTGCCAGTAACGAATATCATGTGAAGACATGGCCGATTCTCGCTCGGGTGTCTTGACCGGCCGCGAGTCCCACTGGACATTGAACGTTGTGTTGATCGCATCTGGGCATTCATGTATCAATCTCTTCCAGACCTCGGTGGCTTGGAGGAACGCTTCAACGCTGAATTCGTGCAGGCCTACTAAGCCAAAGCGCTTAAAGTCGCCTTTGGCGCATAGCGCTTCTCGATCATCGCTCACGTTTTGAATTGGTAAATCCCTCCCGGTGGTGGCAACCGGTTGCAGGTCATACAAGGCTTTGAATGGCACCTCGGGAGCCTCGTCCCCCGTATACCGGGCGGAAACCACAAGGGACGGGGTACGCGCAGGAGGCGGGGCAATGGCCATCATGAGGCCAGCGGTTGCATGCCGGGGGTCATCCATAATTTGCTTCATGACTGGAACCACCTCTGCTGCCCGGTCGAGTGGGTAGACAAAGGCCCCAACCCAGACCAAGCCCTGTTGCTTTCGTAGTGCCGACAAGGAGTGTGTTCGCACCGTGAGCTGTGTGATAAGACCGAAGAACTGCCCAGCTCCCTTCACGGCCCAGAGCAGGTCCGACCGTGTCTCCTCGGTGACCTCTATCAACTATCCCTTGGCCGTGATCAACCGTGCCGCCACGATCTGATCTGAGCCGAACCCGGTGATGGAGTTCGTGATGGAACCACCGCCACCGAGGAAGTAAGGAATGGCCCCGACGCTGTTACCGTTTCCGAGTGCTGACATTCCAGGATGTCAGAAATGCCGCTAAACCAATACCAAGAACAAGATGAGGATAGTACCTGTGAACAACCCTGCTTCTGCAAGACACACGGACACTTGCTTGGCCAGAATTCCTCCGACTATGGTGGCCGTCCCATCCGGATTCACGCGCACGTCGGAATAGAGAGTGAGGTCAATGATGAACCCTTCAGCTCCGATGGTTGACCATGGGCTATGGCCGCCGCTTTTAGCCACGAATGGAATGGAAGACTCCAGGGCCCATTGCACTTGCCTGGCGTTACTTATTATTCCGGGAGTTTGTGTATCGTCGGAGCGCATCTTACTGTCTTCACGCAGTCCTCTTCCGACCGCGGGAGGACAATGGCAGCTGGCACTTTTCGGTCGATATCGGTCCACCGAGCCAGGCGCTTCTGAAATTCGGGGTCCTGGGAATCGTGTAGGATCTGACAGTCGGCGGCCACCACGGCCTGGAGGGCAGAGAGCTGGGAAAGGAGGTGGTCGGACATGTTGCACCAGTGAGTCCATGCAGAGTTATTTGGGAAGAGGGGAGTGGGGTTTGCTTTATGATGAAAGTCTTCGCGCAGCTTGGTAAGCATGAGACCAGGACACACGTCAGCCATCTGGTTATCAGTAAGCTTACTTAGATGATGACAGGATTCTGGGGCTCGGCCTTTGGAATTGCCGAGTCTATCACAATGGCAGGTGGTTCGCTGGAAAGTTCACGCAAGCGACAGTGTCAACCAAACGACTAATAGTGTAAGTTGGCAAGCACCATTTTGTTCGCGAACTTTTAGTTTGAATTAAGCAAAGTGTGCCTTCAAACTTGTATCGCGATGGTGGAAAATACTGATCCTCAGTAGCAATCAGCTGGTTGTAGGCCCGGAGATGGTCCCCACCGCACTCCGGGACGCGGGAACCGGGCGCGAAACAGCACCTCCGATGTATGCATGCCTGGACTCCATCATACTTTCATTGTGTCGCTTTGGTACCTGGGTAGGGGGAAATAGAAATTCATAAGCACTATAGATGAGAGATGAAGTATATAGCAGACAGGCCAGATAAGCATGATGCGGGGTGGATGGAAGAGAGGAGGAAGAGGGGAGCAGCAGAGAGCGAGGCAGTGGGATGGCCGGCGACGGGCAATCCCAATGGCATGGCAGTAAATGCCAGCCAGAGACACCCGATTTACTAGGCGGTGTGCACCAACCTACCGCTTTCGAATACAGCCAAATCAACGGCAGAAAGATATGCTTGTCTAGTACTACGGAGTATTTCAAGTAGACATGGCTCAACGAACCATATCAGTTCAGCGGCTTCGTGCGTGCTCAAACTACATCTGCACTACCTCTGTCAAATCTGTTGCCTAATATCACTCGGGAGTCCATCCACTAGTCCAGCCCCGGGCATTTTTTGCAACTGTAGTCAAGATGCATATATTTCCCGGATCCAGGTCAGCAAACCTCACCTCTTCCCCCACTCACAACCGACCTTGCCCCCTCACACCTGATTAGAGCTTGCAAGAACTCTCCAACATCTTGTGCACCATTTAATGCCACCGCTGTCTCTTCCTTTGCATTTTCCCCACCAATGCGAAACCACGGCACACCGTGAATCCCCTCACTCCTCGCCCTCCCCGCCATCTCCTCTATCTCCCCCACCCCCTGCCCTGTTTCCAACCAGCTTCGAACCCTTCCTTCATCCAATCCAACCCCCATCATCACTATCTCTTCCACAATCTTCACCAGTGTCTCCACATCTGTAATATCCCGCTCCTCCTCAAAATGCGCCCGAAATAAACCCTCCACAACAGCCGTCGTATAATCCGTACCCTCCTCCACATCATATCTCTCACACAACAAGATTACCTGGTGTGCACGAAGGGTACTCCCAATTCGACCTCCAAATCGAAACTGAATTCCGTCCAGTATCCCTAATCGTTGCAGGTGGGCTTGCGAGGTGGCCACTTTCTCGGGGCCAAGTTTCTGGGTCCTGCGGTCTGGATGGGAGGTTAATAATTTATCAGAGTCGATGAAGAGATTGATGTGTCCTACCAAGGTATGATATACTCTGCATTGGGGCATCATGGTCGAGAATGTAAGGTTTCCAGGTGATGCGGATATCATCGTGGCTGCCTCCGGGGTAAGTTCGTTGATAGAGGTGGATGGCTTTGGTAAGACGGCGGTAACCGATATAGCACTAGTTTGGGGGTGATTAGGATAGGGATAGATGAGGCGACGGGGACGACGTACCCATGGACACACGGGGTCCGAGGTGATGGCGATGGAGATGAGGGTCATAGTAGTGTTAGGTTGAAGGAGCGAAGCTGGTGGATGTGATCTGGCATTGGGGAAGGGGGGACTGTGGTTTAAATAAAGAATCAGGACTCTTCAGGAGATACATGTCCGAAAAGTGGAGATCGCGTCTGGTATAGATAGAGAGAACCAACTGGAGATGGAAGTATCATTTCTGGCTCGTCCTGTATGCTCCCTGCAGTCTGACTGGCATGTCCGAAATATTCGGGGTGGGGATCCGATTCGGGGACGAGCTGGTGTGGCGCAGTGACAGAAATTCCATACAAATGTCACCCAGATAATCCAGGTATCGGCGGGGAGCGAGTGGTGCGGTGGTAGGTCTAGCAAAGGAGTCCAAGAGATAGGGGTTTCCTTTGTTCTTCTGTCAGGCAAATCTTCATGAATGAGAACACCCGTTGAGGAGCTGGTACCTGGTTGTGTACCTTCATTCTTCTCGACCAATATACACCGCGACATGCATCTAACCGATCCCCAGACCTAAGACCTTCTTTAGGAAAGATGGGAGCCATGCGCTGGGCCACCAAAAGTACCACAACCTGGACTGAAATCAGTGGGGTGGGTAGGGGGGGATTGAACTGAGAGACGGGAAACAAGCGGAAAGCAGGAATGCCAGTGTAAAAGGTGATGCTTGGATGCATTGAAAGGCGATCGGCGCTAAAGAGCCAAAGTCTCGCTGGTCCCTCCATCATCAATCTGGCGTCCGAGTAAATGAAATATACGATGCTAAGTGCAACAGTACTAAGGTGTTCGCAGTCTTCTCAGTAGAGCGGATGGTCTCCCCGCTGATTGGAGAAGGACCCGACGGGTCTAAAATGGCGTCTTCCCCAGCCTGGCGTGGCCTCTTCGGTGCCATCCTGTCCCACTTTACCATCCAAATATTTGTCTTTTCATCATCATGAACCCTGACTCTCGCCGGACCGCATGCGATCGATGCAGAGGACAGAAGCTGCGGTGTGTGCGACCGTCCGCAGCCAGGGTCCCAAGTCCCTGCGAGCGCTGTCTCAAGGCGGGAGCCGAGTGTACCACAGTCTTCTCCGACCCCCAGCGTCAGCGGCAGGATGCCAGTCAGTCACAGCACCTAAGTACGCATAGAGGCGTGAATAGTTCCCGAATCTACGAATCCATCTCCGCCCCATGCGGTCTCCCCGAGTCAGTCCTGGCGAAGAGGAAGGTGTCGCAATTGTCTCCTGTGATTGAGGGTCGGAACGGGGAGAACATCAGGCACCCAGGCTACGAGCAGCCCGCCAAATCCATGAGTGAGATCGACTTTCCAAGATGCTGGAACGCATTGAGAGACTTTTGGGAGTCTCATTAGTTTCGTCCGCATTACCCGGATCTCCGGATGGGAATGGAGATATCAATCTGGGACCTCCAACCCAACGCGATGAAGGCATTCTGGACCGTACATCTGCGTCAGCGTTGTTAGAGCTAATGCTCAAACAGAATGATTTGGACTATTTCAAGGAGGTCGACGGAGGGGCTGCATCGGTGAAGCAGACTCTGCATGATATGAAGGAAATATTGAAGCGTATAGCATAAGTTGAGATGGGTGATTTGATTCGACTTATTTGGCAGCACCTTCGCGGATAGTCATGCTTCACCGTCGACGGAGCAGTTGGCCCCTGTTCCCCCCAAGTAAGAAACTGTTCATGGCGGCTCGCCTTTTGCATAGACTCCTAACTTGACTATCGCGAGAAACTCTTGTAACGGTTCGTCGTCAGGAATGCCTTGCATGACCTGTCTCCCGAGATTAAGAAAGACGGCTATTTCTTACTAAGACACAACCCACCGCAGACATCATACAGTCGACTTATTCATGCCGGATCTGCGAGGATTCAATAACTCCTGGGACATTAACTTCGTCAGGCTGTCAAGCTGCGGGAGTGGGCAGATCCATCGGTTAATTTGTCAGGGCGGGGTACGCATGGACCCTAGCCTACAGCCCGAGACAGTGTCTCTGCAGAGGGGAAGATCAGCAGACGTACTCTTCTGCAATGACCTCATTTCTCTTGCAATTATCCGATCTCCGTTCCTGGTCCAGTTATGAACAAACTCAATCTATCTCTTCAATCCAACAGATAAGCGCATGCATGTGACGCACCATGAACAGCCGTTCACACGGAGACTACCGTATCCATAGGCGGATAATTTCCCCCGCATCATCGTCCAACCACCCCTCCAGTCGGTTATATTGCGACGCGTGTTCCTCAGCCCACACGATGCTTGTGCCCCTTTTCCCCGCCTGAAGAACCGGATCATCCGGGGCGGTCCACGAATCGCGACCAACAGCAGCGGAATTGGCTTTTCGTGAGCATTCTCATTGGCGATGAGGCCAGGAACCAACCCTGATCATGCGGTCATTGACAGGGGTCGGAAATATGCTACATGCAGACCTACAATAAGAGGAGCAGGGAAAGCATATAAGAGTACCTGCAGGACCCCCTCCCCAGACCCTCTGCTCAGGATCGCAACACAGTGAACAACATGCAGTTCCGTAGCGGAATCGGGCTCCTCGCCCTCACCTTCCCCTCCCTCATTGGGGCCATATCTTCCTCCCCCCTCTCTACTTCCGGGCGATGGATCGTCGACTCCGACGGAAACAACGTTACCTATGCGGGTGCGAACTGGCCCGGGGCTGAAGTGGCCATGTTACCTGAGGGTCTGCAGTACCAATCCATCGAGTATATCGTCGGCAAGTTGAAGGATTTGGGGATGAATGTTATCCGACTTACGTTTGCGATTGAGATGATTGATGATATCTATGAGAATGGGGCAGATGTGCCTATCAAGACGTCGTTGATTAATGCCTTGGGGGAGACCAATGGAACGAAGATCTATGAGGATATTGTTGCCAATAATCCGCAGTTTGGAGAGAATACCACTCGGTTGGAGGTGGGTTGTCCATGCTAACTTAGTGGCATGGTGCTAAGGGAGGTATAGGTCTACGACGCAGTCGCTACCGAATGCTACAACCAAGGTATCTACGTGCACCTGGACAACCACGTCTCCAAAGCATCATGGTGCTGTTCGACTACCGATGGCAATGCCTGGTTCGGAGATACCTACTTTAACGTTTCGAACTGGCATCGCGGATGGAGATATATGGCTGAGCATGTATGTATCCCTTTGCACTTCCCCCAAACCTATCTCACTCATCAAACAGGTAAAATCTCTCCCCGCGGTAAAAAGTATCGGGATGCGCAACGAACTGCGCAGTCCCGACGACGACACCACCCTCGCCGACACCAGCTACAACTGGGATAATTGGTACACCAACATGGTCGAGAACGCGAACCAAGTGCACGAGGTGAATTCCGACCTGCTCCTCTTCTTCTCGGGCTTGGACTACGACACCACGCTCTCCCCTATCCCCACCGCCTCGAACCTGGGTAACTCGACATATTTTAAAAAGAGTGACTTTAGCTTTGCGGATAAAATCGTGCTCGAGCTCCACAATTACGATTCCTCGGCTACCAGCTGCAGCAGTCTTTCTTCCAGTTTACTCACGGATGGATTCGACGCCCTGGAGACCGACGACTCGAGCATAGTGAATGTTCTGCCGGTGGTCATGACGGAATTTGGATACGAGCAGGATGATACTACCTATACGGAGGTATATGCGAGCTGTTTGAGGGAGTGGCTGCCTAGTGAGCATGCCGGATGGATGATTTGGGTGCTGTCGGGGAGTTATTACATCCGCCAGGGGATTCAAGATTATGATGAGACATGGGGTACGTCCTTCTTCCATACTGTTCTTGAAGTGAGTGTGTGATAACTGACGATAATAACTAGGGTTGTTGGATCACACATGGTCTGACTGGCGCTCAACCGAGGCGATCGAGAACGGGATCATCCCAATGGTAGAGGCGAGTCTGGGATGATTGCAACCAAATCACATAGCTTTCTTCATCCATCAACGATAGCGATAGTGCTAGCACAGTAATAGCAATCTCCACAACCCTGCTCCCCCACCCAAACAACACTAAGTAACCCTCACCACCAAACCCCCGCCGCAAACCCCTTAACCAACACAAAATAGACCGTAACAAAAGCCGCCATCACCAGAGGCCCAACCACCAGATCCCAAATATCCATATTGATGATCGCATCCCGTAATATTTTCCATACGCTTGCTAATTCTTGTACTCGGTGGTTTATTTTCTCCTCGCAGCGATCGCAGTGCTCGTGGGCAAAGGAGAGGGTTGCTTTGAGGGCTTCTTCGGATATTTTGGGCTGTTGGGTGGGGAGGATGGTTTCGGTATGTTGGTGTTGTTGTTGTGTCTGTTGTTGTTGCAGGGTCTGTTGTTGCAGGGTCTGTTGCTGGTGTTGTTGTTAGTCATGGTGGGGTGTGGTTGGGGCATGGGTATCTTGTAGGGGAGCGGGTGACTTGCCTTTGTCACGAGCCTTTCGTGGGAACTTGGTTTAGTGTACTGGGGTAGAGACATATTGTCTTGATGAGAAGGAGTGTCTGGAGGGATTATGGGGATGAGGAGGTGGGGTTGTTTGAGGTTGTTGGTGAGGTCGATGGAAAGAGCTCGTTGGATGATTGTGAGAGTAGTGGATTTCCGTTTCTGGGGATTTCAAAAAGATATCCGGTGATTATGAGAAATTTAAGGATGTGAGAGATCAACTGAAACAATAGCTCAGGTTGTAGTGTGAGAAGATGAAGAATTAAGTCAAATTTCTCGCTTTTTAAACAACCCAGTAACGTGATGACATGTTTTCTGCATCATGGTGTTCATCATGACGAGACATCAATTATTCTAAGACCATTGTGCGTACCAGCTGCGTTCTCGTTTAGGATTGTAGTCGGTGTGAGGTCATCCCATATAGGGGTTACTTCATGGATTGGGACATAGTCTTTGAATCCGGTCACCTCGCTTAGGAGCCTGTCAGGCCGAAAAACAATTTCCTATATTCATCGCACCCAAGTAATGTCTCCGAGCCTTCTATTGTCGAACCCACTTCTATTTTCTTCAGGTGGTCTCACAAAGACTGTTCATAAGTTTACAAGTCTTGTAAAACGATTCATGAATGACCTTACTGGATGCTCACAAAGAGAGTTTGGTATAGACTCATATTGATGCATATGGCCACTCAGATCCGACATCTGGCGGGAGAGAAGCAGGCACACTTGTGCGAACCTCAGGCATCCAAGGGCCCAGGGATGAAGCTCCTGTGAGGCATAAAGCGTACCTTTCATAAAGCAATCCTACAAAAATGATGTAGCCATGGATGGACGCCAATATAGTATTAGTCCGACTGATGTAGCTATAGTGCTTCTCTAAGAGTACGTTGCATTCTATCTCTTTTTACCCCTCCCAAGCCATTAACTACCTTAATCGAGCCAAGTAATCTCCCAATACCAGTACATCTGCCTACGGAGTAAACAAGTACGGTCATCCAACATGTTGCTGGGTCGCATTGAATCAGGGGTCCTCGTCCATCGTTTCTGGTACCAGCCCAATCCTAGGATTGACATGCCCTGGCTTAGAGCATGAGGCCTTGAGCGTTCCTGGGATACTGCCATTATGACTCTGTTTCTACATCATTATTCTCATCGGTTTAAAAATTTGAGTGAGGCATGGTCTACCATTCAAGTGATTTTGTTAGTGCTACGGCAATGAACAAAGTTAAGCCGTTTTATTGGCTTTTTTGAAGAGGTATTAGGGTCTGATTTCATACGCTACAATCTATATGATCTATTCAACTAGAACATTCCAGAGAACAAGCACTCGGCCATTGCGTCCGCTAAGGCAAAATCAATACCTTCATAATATGGATGAAAGTGACTACAACTGAAACAGGTTCGTAGTGTTGTTGGAGAATACTATATATTTCCAGTATCCACCTTTTCCAGAACAGAGCGTCCCAATCCAAATTCGCCCGGAGACTGGTGGCTAGTTTTGATCAATGTCTCACATAACTGCATAAGTTTGTCTCAGCTCAACATAAATGAATGTTATAATCCAGAGCTAGCATTCAGCACAATAGTATGATATTATGCAAAATGCACTGCTGAGGGATATGTTTCGGCGACAGACATCTCCGAAAGAGCCGACTAGCCTATTTCAGGCTAGTGTCCGAGCGGTCGGGAATCGGGATGTCGGGAGCGATTTATGCCGATTCCGATGAATACAGTCGGAAGTGGAAGTCAGGACCTCCGAGGGATGGAATTCGGAAATGAGCGATGTGGGACTGAAGACCAAAGGCTTGGTGTGGCTGGTCTAGATTTGAGGGATTTCGAGTCGCTTTGTAGGTCAAAGAAAACTACGTCATTTACGTGAGGAAGCATATACTGGTTGGTATCAGAGAGGATTGATCGTATATATTCTATATGTCGTTAAATCGCATGCCTGGCGTCACACACCCCACCTATCGAGAACGCAGATGTGGAAACAAGCTGAGGTACATGATTAGTCCAATACCAGTGCCATGCTTCCTGTCCAGGTCATCTCCATGGGAGAAGCCGTGCAAGGTCATCGTAGGGACAATACGCAGTCACGGTCACTCGACTAGTCTATTATTATAGCTATACTGGACGGTATTCGATGCCTTCACGGTCATCGTCTTGGGGCAAGCCCCGGAGGTTTCCGGTCGTCGGAATGGGTTTCTCCAGCCGCAACACCCACAACAGCATGTCCTCCAAAGGCAGCAGAACCATCCAGATCCGGTTGCAGAAGAAAGAAAAGGTGACGGAGAAGGTAGCAACGGTGGCATCGAGCCAGTAATGGTTGGCGGTGGCGACGATCACACACAGGACCAGCAGTGGATAGATGAAGCCGAGGATGAAAAAGATAATGTCCTTCACGGTTGTGCGGGTGGTGCGCTTTCCGAAAAGGCGGTGTAGGATACCGGAGTGGTAGAAGAATGTGCTGCCGATGCAGAAAGCGTAGGTAAAGTGCAAGCTGGGCATGGCAGCGAGCTGGTTCACCATTTTCCCTCCCACCCAGACACTCTCGGCGTGCTCCTGACGCACAGTGTCGTGGAAGCCGTAAGACTCGGGCAGTAGACGTGGAGGCATCAGAGGCCAGAAACAGAAGATGATGAATGCCATGAAGTTACCAAGGGTCATGGTGCGGCGGACAATGGCGAAGGTTTCAAAGTCAGGAGCGGAGAAGTACCACCAGGACAGGAAGCTAGGAACAGTTAGCTGGAAATCCATCACACGCACGGTATCACTCACGCGACTGTTCCTGGGATGTGGACAAGGGAATAGATGCGGTTAAAGAAGGTCATCCATCCCGGGTGACCGTTGACAAAGAAAGCCTGGAGGTCGGCCTCCTCGATCGGGAAGAAGATGCTGAAAAACGAATGGTGTTCAAAGTTCAAAACTCCAATGGCATGGTCCTGGGCGAGCTGGACGACGTCACTTCCGGCGGGAGAGAGCGATTGCGCGATGGCCTTTGTGCACGAATAGAACAAGTAGTTCATGACCCAGTAAAACATCTCGACCAAGAAGGGGAATTTCTGCAGAATCCGACTGTGGAAATGGCGAGCGAAACGAGACGAGTTCGGTGTCTGGATGGTGTACCACAGACACTTGCGGCTCTTCGGGGGATATGGGTTGGCATTGGGTTGACTCCGGGGCTGGTCATCGCTCTCTCTCTCCGAGTATGGGTCGTAGGGATCAGCCTCCTCGTCCTTCACATACAACGGGTGTGATGCCCCGAGGTCCCGGTTATTGTTCTTGCCGAAGATGCTGAAATCTCTGCGACGGTTGAAATATAAGGAACTGAGCATGATGCTCACAACTATCTGAAGCGAAAGTCAGAAAAACGGCCGACAGCTATGTCGCACGGGCGATATCAAAAGAGACCACTCACGATCGGCTCAGCCCATGAGTGGGAAGCGAACTGGGGCTTCCCCAGATCGACGGAGGAGTTGTTGTTAGTCGACGCCATGGCTGACGTGCGATGACGGGACGACGGGACGGTGCTTTATATAGGATCGCAGATCGGGAGCTACCAGGACGAACGAGCTAGCATGGGAGGGCGATGTAGGGTCAAGCGAGGGGTATAAGCAGCTCCGTCGGTGTCGCGTGTCTGCCCCTATCCGATAGATTCCAGGGTGGAAATCTAGATGCTGGAATGCGATAATAAAATAATAAATCGAAGAAATGCCGAAAGATAAGCTGAAGCTCCGAAACACCGATGCCGAATGCTGGCTAATGCTGCGATGAAACGGTATGTACAAGGGAGTGCGCACGGCAGGCGGGATTCATGGGCGTTTGACTACCGGCGGAATGAAACTGGAGGAGGGAGAGAAAATCCAGGAGCAAGGAGAAAGCAAAGGAATAGGGGGTGGGGATGTGAAAAAGAAAACAGCAGCAGCAGGAGGAGAAGCAGAACGGCGCCGAAAAGACGTCGTCAGCCCAGCGCGGAGGAAGAAGAAATGAATGGGGGAGCCAAACCGGCTGGTGGCCGTGGAAACTGCGACTAGCACCAACTGGGGCCGCGGCCACACCTCAGGCAAGGCAGAATGCCGCTTGCCCCCATCCGGTCAAGACCAGCCCCCAGAGGAGCCTCGGATTGGTCGGAGCCCCTGGTCACGGCCGTTAGTGCATCCCGTGACTGGCCTCCCGATACGCGCTGGCCGTCTTGGGCACCGCCTCCACCTCAGCCCCTCTCCGATCTACGAATACGAGGCGTCTGCATCTCTGCCTTTCTCAGTGTGCCCTCACGCGACAGATCGACCACCGCCACTTTAGGTATCGGACACGGATACGTCCGGGCATAGGTCTGTGGTTGTGAGGCCGCAGCGATGAAACGCCAATGTCACACCCGCATGCTTTTGTTACGACACCGTGACAGTGAGAAGGGCTACATCCGCAACTCCGCCAAAAGGGGTCCAAAGGGGCACTCTATTACAGACATATTGAAAGTCACTCTGTCGCCTCAATAATAGTCAGATGTGATGTGGATCAGATATGAGATAACCCACATAATGCCAAGCAAATCTTGCCTGGGGAGATGATGAGGTAAGCTCGGTGACCCTTGTCCATTTCATAGTAGGGTCTTGAAGGAAGACACACTCGTTTATTCGTATCAACGATTTGACCATTCCAACTGATTCCGATCTGTTATAGATCAAAGCGCCACGAGCCTGCCAGCTTGCATCCCTTGGAAAAGCCGGAATTCTCCTGACTCCCGATCAGGAAGAGCATGCGAGGCTAGGCCAAACCCTGTCAAACACACGCTAGCCGTATACAGGATGGAGCGATCTTTTAATACCCCATTGCTTGTCTGGAAATCCCTGATCAGTAATCGCTCATCCGTGGTTGACGACGTGGCACGCCTGGTGGGTCAGCCATTGCCTTCCCTTGGCACGAACTCAAGGGATGAGGACAAAGGGTTGGACCTTTACAGCTGCCAGAGAACACATTAGCATGAAATCCCCACCGATGTATGGGCTATGGGCTCCATGGACGGGAACATCAGGGTCGATAGTACGGCCCTGCTTGGCACACCCTGTTGATCATCTCAAGTAGCAGATCCGCGGAATTGAGAGGGCATCACGTGATGTTTCCGAGTCTCGCTCCGCTTACACATTTCGATAGTGTGCCTCTGATTGGCTTTATCACTGGGAATTTGATGACATCTCCACACGGAGAATTTCCGACACTATTTACGACTCAACCAATAGTGCCGGACTAGTTGGCACAACAGTTGATGATTTATGCTTATTCTGCCACAGTAGTACCAAAAGTTGGATAATTATGCTAGATGCAAGCGCGACCGATTGGTGAGGCTCAGCCAGCATACTGTATGGCTGTGCTTGTGGCTGTGACATGCTTCCATCTTGACTGTGGAACAGGGATCGTGTCAGCCCGTGCATCCCGGCTGACTTGACAGGATTATGCTTGTTGCTAGCTACTTCAGGCAACCGACACCCAGATTGCTCATCACGTAGGCCCGCCTGTGAATCTCGTCAGCATGGAATATGTCTTTTCCGCAGGCAGAAGCGCTACGGCGTGCGATAAGATCCGCGATAGACAATCTGGCTGGCTGAAAATGATAATCCCACCGTCGGATTATGGCTTGATTGCGACAGACTATAACGCCCTAGGCTAAGATTTTAGGTGAAAATTTAGTATTAGCTTCATACGCACTCTACTACAAAGCCTCGGGATGATGTGCGGAGAACCGGTCGCGAGAGCTATAGCTTAAATGCTGTTACCTCCACGAGGATACAAACAACGTCAACCCCGCACAGGACACTTCCAATTCAACCACCATTCGGATCCAGCTAACCTAAAGGGTATGGAGATTCTTCTATCGGGGACAATGAATGACCAGAAAACAACTGTCAGTGGAGAGATAGATCGACAAAGGCGAGACTTCTTAGCACCTAGCCACCTGCCAAACCTCCAGATCATTGACAGACTTGTTTTGTATGCGCAGAGGAATATATAATCACAATCACCGCATTCCACATGCCTTCTTTGACTCACTCATTACTTTGTGAAGAAGTATGAAGCCAGCGGCTAACACCACCTCAAACGAAAGAATAAGCTATACTAGCGGGCCACGATGCAGCCCGACGGGCCGAGCGCATCGGCGAAGAAGCCGAAAGGTGATCATGTCGGCCAGGGCTTCCGACAGTTTGATAACGATCTCAGCAACTATAGCCAGATAACGATACTGAAGATACCCCGCATTTAGAATGCCTTAAGCTATGAATGTTCGCAGCAAGTGCTAGCAGATATAAATCAATTCCTACATTCAAAATGGCCTCAAGCGCCGGGGAGACCTTCACGCCGGTATATACATCAACGGGATGGAGAGATAATGTAAAGGATCTTGTGGCAGGGGCGGTGGGCGGAGCTGCTCAAGTGGTGATCGGTAGGTTCATCGCTCCTATCTGAGAATTAATTCTAAGTATTGGTCTCTGTATCTAGGACAGCCGTTTGGTATGTATCACAATCTAGATACATATGAGCAGATCTTCTAAGGGTGCTTGATATCAGACCTCGTCAAAGTCCGCCTTCAAACGCAAGGAGGCAGTGCACTCTCCTTAACCCGACAAATCTGGCAAAGAGAAGGCCCATTGGCATTTTACAAGGTCCACCACCACCGCACTGTACCTCCAACACACCATCAATACTAACCGTCACCCAGGGCTCACTCCTCCCCCTGCTAGGCGTCGGAGCATGCGTGAGTAACCCCCAACCCTCCTTAACCATCGACAAAGATCCTAACCCCCGCAGGTCAGCATCCAATTCAGCGCCTTCCACTTCTTCCAACACCAACTCACATCCCCCAACCATCGAACCCGCCCCACCCTCCCCCAAACCTACCTCTCCGGCGCCCTCGCCGGCCTAACCAACAGCATCCTCTCCGGCCCCATCGAACACATCCGCATCCGCCTCCAAACCCAGCCCACCACCCCAACCCCCCTCTACACCGGCCCCTTGCACTGCGCCCAAACCCTCCTCCGCAAAGGCGGCCTCCCCGCCCTCTACCGCGGGCAAACCGCCACCCTCCTCCGCGAAGGCCACGGCATCGGAGTCTGGTTCGCCACCTACGAGTACTCTCTCTCCCTGGCCGCGAAGAAACAATCCCTGACGCGCGAGTCGCTGCCGAATTGGCAGATCGCGCTGTGTGGCGCCCTCGCGGGCGAGATGTTATGGTTGTTGAGTCATCCGATTGATGTCGTGAAGAGTCGGATGCAGAGTGATGGGATTGGAAAGGAGCAGAGGTATAGGTCGTTTCGGGAGGCGTGGGGGGTTGCGGTGAGGGGTGGGAGAGGAGGGGTTTGGGGGGGGTTGGGCACGGCGTTGTTGAGGGCGGGGCCGGTTTCGGCGGGGACGTTTGTTGTGTGAGTTCTCTTTCTTCCCCCCTCTGTTATATTCTTGGGGGTGTGGTGGGTTGGTTTCTGATATATTCTGTAGGGTTGAGATGGTGAGGAAGGTACTTGGGTAGGTTGTCGTGTGGAGGGGGATTGATACTGAGGCCATGAGTCGAGACCGAAGCACGCCTGGATTGAGGTACCCGACGTAGGGAAATATCAGGTTGAACAAATGAGAGAGTATTAGGAATTGAATACTGGTATAATAAAGGAAGCCACGAATACTAGTGACTTACTGGGTAACTATACGATAAGTCATGGCATTGGATCTAGTTAATTGTGTTGTCTGCATTACAATCCTCACCTACAGACGTGGGTTTCTACTACGAAATATGGGAGTTAAGATATAAAATGTTCTCGCTTCCTATCCATGCTCCAAAGAGTGAAAGCTTGCATTACCTAGTATCACACCTAGTACTATCAATTGGCCTAATAGAGTATAATCAATCTTACGTGACCGGTTTGACCATATGTTCAAAAGAATAGTTCTAGCAGAAAGTATGAGTTGAGGCTTTTAAGGCATGGGTACAATAAGCGGTCCTCCAACAAACCCATCTCCTTCCCAAGAACCAAGCTAATAACCCTTCAAACACTCCGCAATCGACCGAGCCACATACTCTACATTTGTCTCATTGAGGCCTGCAATAGATACGCGGGAGTTTCCTGCCATGTAAATATGATATTCCTCTACTGGGATATTAGCGCCTCACATCATCCCTACTACTTTTTGGAACAGAATAGCTAACTTACCCTTGAGTTTCAAAACCACATCCGGTTCAAGGCCCAAGAACCCAAACATCCCAGATTGCCGGACAAGATGGTCCCAGTTTCCGGGGGCGCCTACACCACACCACATTAACCAAGAGCCAGAGAAACAAGGGGATAATCTCACCATAATCATTCAAAGAATTATACAACGCCACCCGCATCGCCCTTATCCTCCCACTCATCGTCTCCAGATCCTTATACCAAAGATCCTTCAACTCCCGACTGGAAAGTATCGTAGCCGCAATCTTCGCCCCATAAGCCGGCGGATTCGAGACTTCCGAACGTTGAAGCATTTCAAGAGTTGATTGAGCATTCACCGCTGTTTCTTTGCTGCGGGTAACGAGGAAAAGACATCCCGTTCGCTCACCTATACCCATTAGCCAAAACCCACAAACCTAACCTCATCTAAGAACAAAGGGGGTGAGGGGAGGGGTACCATAAAGTCCCATATTCTTCGCAAACGACAAACAAACCGCAACCTCCAACCCCAACTCGCCGACAAAATACCGAATCGCAAAGGCATCATCGTCCACATTTCCCGAATTGAAACCTAGATACGCTGCATCGAATAGCGGGAATAAACCCCTTTCTTTGATGATCTGGCCGAGCTGTATCCATTGCTGTTTAGTTGGATCGCAGCCGGTCGGGTTATGTGCGCAGGCGTGCAGGATGACTACGGAGCCGGGGGTGGCGGTTTTCAGAGCGGAGATGTAGCTTTCGATGTTGAGGTCTTTGTGGGAGGAATCGTAGTAGGTGAATGATTCGCAGGGGAAGCCGAGAGAGGAGAAGACTTGGTGGTGGTTGGACCAGGTGGGACTGGGGATGTAGATTTTTGGGGGTGGGGAGTGGCAGCTGCGGAGGAGGAGGCCGGCTGTGTGCAGGGAGCCGGTGCCGGAGAGGGCTTGGCAGGTTGATAGCTTTGATGCGATGGTGTGAGATGGATGGGGTGTTGTAGAGGGGGTATTGGTGGGGGTACGTACTCTGGATTGCACCTTTTCATAAAGGTCTGGTCCTAAGGCCATGAGAGTGGCATTGTCACGGAAGGATTGGAGTCCTAAGATGGGGAGATACTCGTGATTAAGACCCTGGGTGAGAAGTATCTCGCGACTCTTTTGGACGGATGGGAGGACCCATGGTTGGCCGTTTTCGTCGCGGTAGGTTCCCTGACCGAGATTTACTTTGTTAGGCGATGTGTCGGTGTTGTATTCTGCGGTGAGGGCGAAGATAGCATCCGGAGGGATGTATGTGGCCGAGTCGAAGAAGGAGGGGGGTGCTTCGGTTTGTGTGACGGTCGTGGTGTGAGTTGTCATTTTGTGCAGATGAGGTTTACTTTTTCGAGATGAATAGGTGGGAGGGATTGTGTTGATTGATAGTGAGGTAGCATTGTGTGACAGTAATCCCATTTAAGCATCGCAGATTGGATATCTCGGTGACCACCACCGAATGTCGGCTCTGTTGTCCGAACACTTCCCGCTGGGATAGATTAGCCCTATGGAGTGTTCCGAGCGATAAGGTAAGCCATTGTAGCAAGCTTGTAAGATAGTCAGCTTATCTCGGGGTTATCGCGGGTGGTGAGGTGGTCGTGCGGGGAATGAGGGGTTAACTTCGAGCTGAGGGGAACGCTGCACTCAATATCTCCTACTCATAGGAGCTTGAATGGACAAAATTACCTCAACGCTTTCCGGGATAAAATGCGGGGTGCGTGGCCAGTAGTAAGCTAGTGCTTAACCGATCTCACTTCACGCTAGATATGTTGATGTCCCGTGGACGAGGACAGCAGGGATCTCGGAACCTTACAGCTCATGGGACGGTTGGCCAGGATTGTCGAAGTTTGCACCGTAGGAGAAATCTCCATCAATCACAATTTTATTATCATCGCCATGAATGAGCATTCGTTAGGCACTGGGTATGAAGTAGGTACATGTACGGAGTAGGTGACACTAATTTATCAGACCCTATATATAGTAACCCTGCCATGCACCCCACGCACTATCTCTAGTGACGAATAAGACCATCTTCTAGTGATGCATAGTAGTACACCAACTAACAGTACGGAGTACTATCTATTCATTGTCATCCTTACCCTTCCACCACAGCCATGCAACGGCAATGAGCCCCTTAAACAACACCGCCGTCCACAGCGCGCCCGGCAAACCAAGCTCGCTCTTTGCCCACACGCCTCCCAGCACCGTTCCCAGCAACAACCCCAAAACTGCCCCCGCCCGTCTCCACTCATCTGCGTCCTTGACCACACTGGCAGACAAAAGAGCCGGGTTCGAAAATAAATCACAGTAGATACTGGTCAGCACGACACTAGTCAAGCTACTAAACTTCAACACCCGGCTCGTCACAGCCTGTCCGCTACTCTGGAACGCGACCAGCGCCAACGGAACGGCAATTTTCCACGACAAGGGGTCGTTTTTTCCAGTCTGCTGCACAGTGACAATGCTGGCGGCGATGGCGACACAGATCATCTGCAGCGTGAAAGAGAGCACGAGAGCGGATCGTTGTCGAGGGGTGCGGAAGAGGCGGTGAAACAACGCGAAGCAAAAGGAACCCATGCAGAAACTGCCGATCGAGATGAGGGATTTGAGCCAGCGTTGAGTGTCGTCCAGCCCGGCCAGACCCAACCCCAAGTACACCGTATTGCCGGTCTGCATGCTCACAAATGACCCCCAGATGAAGACGGCCGAGCTGTCCAGCAGACCTGTAATCACATAACAGAAAACGAGGAGAAGGTCGGCCCTGTGGGGGTCGATTTCCGTGCGGAGATGGTGCCGCAGTCGACCCAGGGAAGAGGCTTTCGATCCGTGTCTGGGCCCCAGGAGGGGGTCGCTCTCCTGAGCGGGAAATTGCTGGTAGTGTGTGTTGTCGCTCGCCATGGTTGTGGTTGGACCGTGGTGACGGGGGAGAGGAGATGGTCTGTGTGGTGGCTGGGATCGAGATCGGCTGGGGCAAGGAAACGGGCTAGGCAGCAGTTATCCTGGCAATCACTGTAATATCAGACGAGGCAAACTGCGACGAGTAACAGGACTTATAATTTGGCCACGGATGGGACGGCAGAGGAGATGAAAAGGGAGGGATTTGGAGATGGTGGAGAAGGCCTTGGGCCCCCAACCGCGCGCCGCCCATCGCCGCGTGACGTCGGCGGAGAGCTTCTAATGACGTGGATGCCGCGGCCCTGTAGGGCTGAACGCTCCACCAATGCTTTCCCCTTCTCCAAACAAGCATACCAAGCTTTGCCCGGCTTTATTTCGCGCAGACGGGTCCACCGTCTCGCCTGTTTTCTCGACCTCGGGTTGACATCACTGGCTGGTCGGAACAGTCGGATGGGGAAAAATCCCTCGAGAACAAGGAAACCTTGTCCCCGCCCCAGCCAGTGGATATAAGTAGCCTCCTTTCCATGGCTGAGGGAAAGGACTGTCCAGCTCTAAACCCATCGCAACCATGCAGCTACCCCTGTCCTCTCGTCAGCTCCTGCTGACCTTTGCGACCGTGGCCACCCTCGTCGGCCCCGGTCAAGGAGGTCCAGTGCCTAATGATGCCTACCAGCAATTGCTGCGCATTCCTGCCTCTTCTCCTTCATATTTCTTTCAAGATAAACCATTTACACCTGACCACCGCGACCCTTATGATCATAAGGTCGATTCGATCGGGGAAGGCCATGAGCCCTTGCCTTGGCGCATGGGCGATGGAGCCACCGTGATGGGGCCACGCAATAAGGACCGTGAGCGCCAGAACCCTGACATGGTACGCCCTCCCAGTACCGACCATGGCAACATGGCCAACATGCGATGGAGCTTTGCCGACTCCCATGTCCGCATTGAGGTGAGTGCATTGTTCATCGTACAGAGCTAGAAGATGTAGTGTAATAACTGACACCCACTGCAGGAAGGTGGTTGGACACGCCAGACTACAGTGCGTGAGCTACCAACCAGCAAGGAGCTTGCAGGTGTCAACATGCGTCTAGACGAGGGGGTTATCCGGGAGTTACACTGGCACCGGGAAGCGGAGTGGGCGTATGTGCTGGCTGGGCACGTGCGAGTGACTGGCCTGGACCTCGAGGGCGGCAGCTTCATCGACGACCTGGAAGAGGGCGATCTGTGGTACTTTCCCTCGGGCCATCCGCATTCCCTCCAGGGTCTTGGTCCCAACGGTACCGAGTTTCTGCTCATCTTCGACGATGGTGGCTTTTCCGAGGAGTCGACGTTCCTCTTGACAGACTGGATGGGTACGTTCCCACTGTCTGAAATCCAAAGACAATAACTGACCATTGTACAGCACACACTCCCAAGTCGGTCCTGGCGGAAAACTTCCGTATGCGACCGCAGACCTTCAAAAACATCCCGACATCAGAGAAGTATATCTTCCAGGGCTCGGTTCCCGAGTCCATCGCCAAAGAGCTACCCCGCAACTTCAAGGCCTCCAAGCAACGTTTCACGCACAAGATGCTAGCGCAGGAGCCCGAGCACACGACTGGTGGTGACGTCCGCATCACCGACTCGTCCAACTTTCCCATCTCCAAGACTGTGGCAGCCGCTCATCTGACCATCCACCCCGGAGCCATCCGGGAGATGCACTGGCATCCCAATGCCGACGAGTGGTCCTACTTTAAGCGGGGTCGGGCGCGAGTGACCATCTTTGCTGCTGAAGGCACTGCTCGTACCTTTGACTATGTCGCGGGGGATGTCGGCATTGTGCCTCGGAATATGGGTCACTTCATCGAGAACCTCAGCGACGACGAGGAGGTCGAGGTGCTGGAGATCTTCCGGGCGGACCGGTTCCGCGACTTTTCTTTGTTCCAGTGGATGGGCGAGACACCGCAGCGGATGGTGGCGGAGCATGTCTTTGCGGATGATCCGGATGCGGCGCGAGAGTTTTTGAAGAGTGTCGAGGGGGCGCAGAAGGATCCTATTCGGAGTCCATCGGAGTGAAGACTGCGCGATATCGAATGTGGTTATCTTGAATGTGTTACTGAGCGCGCACCACGAACACTGGACGTGTCCTCATGGACGCCGAGGATCTCAAAAAGACTACGATAATTAATCTCTGGTGCAATGTGAATTGACTTGCCATTTTCTTCCTATGAAGCATCCAAACGGGGCCCGGATATCCAGATTAGTGTAACCGATATCGACGTCATGTGTCGATCAGGCCGTTGTTATCAGGCTATGGCCATCGCGGATCGTTGCTCGTGGTTGGACAGCCGCGTGTTAGTAGTGGTCCTCAAAAATCGGAACAAAAATCTTGACCAGAACAAACTCTCCTCTGCAGCCACGTAGCCACAGCCACATACCCTGTCACACCCCGATAGAATTCCGAAGCACCAACTGGACTGGCCTAAATGTGGCAGCCTGTTGAAGGAAATCCCTGCTGTTGCGACGGTCGGATGGCCCCGCCCACTAGCCGCAACCAGCAAGATTTCACGATTACGACGACTGCGAAGGCTTAGCCGGCCCGGGCGGGTCGGCGAGTCGCCAATGCCCCGCCCGATTGTTGATGCCTTCCACTTCCCCCACCGACGTCAGCCTTGCTGCGGATGCATTTTCGTTTGTTAAAACCTACTGCTGCTCCTACTTTGGCTTTGCAGAATCACTATTATTTCATCTATATACCCTCCCTAACTACATATACCGGAATACCCGCTACTTCCAATAACATCCTCTACCTCCCCGCATACCTTCCTGCAGATCCTCACAATGTCGCAACAACCACCGGCCAACACCGGCAGCTCCATGTGGGGAAAAACTAAAACCTACGGCAAAATGGGCTTCGACAAAGCCTGGGGTGCTCTCGATAAACTAGGCGGCCCTGTCAACCGACTTAGCAACAAACTCGGCTCCGAGGCCTTCTGGCCCATGACCCTCGATAAGGAAAGTGAGAAAGTCGCTCGTATCCTCCGCAGTTTCTGCAAGGATGGTGTGTACGTGGACGAGTCGGCCGCAGAGGCACCGCCGCCTGTCGACGCGAAGAACGGAGCGAAACCGAAGATCGATAAGCCCCGCGGAAAGCCGAAGGTGCTTAAGAAGATCCCCTCGGAGGTGATCAGACAGGCCAAGGGGTTGGTTATCTTTACGGCGATGAGAACAGGGTTGTGGTTCAGTGGTGCTGGTGGCAGTGGAATCCTGATCTCGAGGATCCCAGAGACTGGAGAGTGGAGTGCTCCGTCGGGGATTTTGCTGCATACCGCTGGTCTGGGCTTCTTGGTGGGCGCGGATATCTATGACTGTGTGATGGTGATCAATACCTACGAGGCACTGGAAGCCTTTACAAAGATCCGAGTCACGCTGGGTAGCGAGGTCACTGTCGCTGCGGGCCCGATTGGCATGGGAGGCGTGTTGGAGTCAGAGGTACACAAGCGGAGAGCCCCGATCTGGTCCTACGTCAAGAGTCGGGGATTTTATGCGGGTGTGCAGATCGACGGAACAATCGTCATTGAGCGGACAGATGAGAACGAGAGGTTCTATGGTCGAAAGATCCCTGCCAAGGAGATTCTGGCAGGCCAGGCGCGTTCTGACAACCCGTCCGTGCGGATGTTGACGCACACGATTCATTCCGCGCAGGGAGATGCGAACTTCGATCAGACGCCTGCTGGTGTTCAGATTCCTACGGGTCCGACCCCTAGCGACTATGCGCCCGAGGACCTTCAGCATACTCCCATGGTGCAGACTGGAGCGGCCCCGCCTCAAACGCAATATCAACAGCCTCATCAATATCCTCCTGGTCCAGGTGGTCAATATCAACAGTCTCAACAATACCCAGCTCCGGGTGGGCCGCCTCAACAATATAATGCCGGCCCCAGTGGTCAGTTTCCGCCGCCACAGCAATATCACCCGGGTACAGGTGCTCAGGACTCATACTATCGGCAGTGATTGAGTTGGATAACGGGATAGCATGATTTATTTTTCTTTCCGGTGATACCGCTTTGCAATGTACCTAGTTATAGAGTTTCCATGATAATCACGATTTATGACAATGCCTCCATTCACACTATTCCATTGCTTTGCAGATCCTCGTATTCTCTGCTGAGCTCGGATCTGCCAAGACAGGTAATTAGCTCCAATTGTCCCCTATTGGTGGTGGCTTACAAAATCAGGTGACATGCGTATCAGCACAGCCTCGCGCTCTCTGACCTCCACCGCGACTTTCTCTTCATCTTCGAACCCCTCTTGCGTCCCACAGTACCATGGCTGACAGCTCAACCACCGACCGGCCATATTATATCCTTGAAATATGAATCCCGAAAGGTGCACCCTCTTCTCTCCTGATCTGACTATATCTAAGTAGACGATAGGCTGAAAAGACATGCCCCATGCCAGTCACTCGATGAGAGCTGGAGAAAGCGACAACGCATTTCCCCGCCTGCCTCCCCCACGCTATCCCCTCGCTGCTACAACCCCTTTCAAGCACAACCGGCTGCGCTCTCTCAATGTCTACCTCGAAACAATCGCAAATCACTCTCTCATGATGACTACACAATCGGGTGGATCTGCGCTCTCGAGGTTGAGCTGGCAGCCGCAGAGGCAATGCTGGATGAAATACATCCGACCCTTCCTCGAGTTGGGAGCGATCCGAATGCGTACAACCTTGGGAGAATCGGGAGGCACAATATCGTTATCACCTGCTTGCCCACGGGAGGCATGGGAACAAACAGCGCTGCGACTGCGGCGGCTAACCTTCTTCGAAGCTTCCCGAAGGTACGGTTTGGGCTGATGGTTGGCATTGGTGGCGGTGTTCCTGGGGTACCTAGTGACGATCCAGAGGAGGATATCCGGTTAGGAGATATAGTGGTTAGCAAGCCTACGGACTCATTGGGTAAGTGTGCACACTTGAACGTGATGAGCATGGTCTGATCATGCAGGTGGTGTCATACAATATGACTTCGGCAAAGCCACCATGGAAAACGAGTTACAGCGCACCGGATGGCTCAATGCGCCTCCTCATGAACTCCGAACTGGCGTATTGAAGCTACAGGCACGACATCGCAGGGAAGGAAGTCTGACTTCTCACTTTCTTGCAGAGATGCTGGATCGATATCCGCGAATGGCGAAAGAGTTTCGTCACCAGGGTGCTGAGCAGGACAGGCTGTTTCATGCAGACTATGCTCACGAGGAGAATGAGAAAGAGTGCACCAGCTGTGACCCCACTCAGGCAGTAATGCGAAAGCAACGCGAGAACAATGATCCCGTTATCCATTACGGTCTGATAGGATCGGCAAATAGAGTAGTCAAAAGTGGTACTGTTCGAGAGAGACTACGCCAAGAGATGAAGATCCTTTGTGTAGAGATGGAAGCAGCCGGACTCATGAACAACTTCCCTTGTTTGGTGGTGCGAGGCATTGCCGACTACGCGGATACTCACAAGAACAAGCGCTGGCAGCCGTACGCCGCTGCAACGGCTGCAGCATATACGAAGGAGCTTCTTCAGGTGATTCCTGCGGTGGATGTTGAGTGCATGACTGAGGCTGCCAAATTACCAGGGATACGTTCGTACATCTCAGAGATAGACCGTCCATTTTCTAACCTTTCTAGTGCGCGAGGAATTCGATAATGTCAATGCTAAGCTTGACTCTCTAATACAAGGTATGTGCTTCTTGCATCTGTGTGATCATGCTAACACCGTCAAGTTGCGCGACGATCGAGGTGAGCTCACATTGTCCAGATGTCGAGGCACGATCAATAATGTCGCTCTAGTGACAATACAGACTTGGCGCAACAGTTTCGGACTGAATCAGTATCGCAGATGCAAAGGATGGAGGATAAACTCGAGCAGCTGGTCGATTATATGGAAGAAAGTCGCTCGGTACCCCCACCACTTAAGATCCTGTTTCGAAAGATACGAAGATCTGGCGACAGCCGGAAGGAATCACACAGGGGTGATATGGGGGATCCTGTGGCTGAAATTCATAACTGGCAGCATATAATAACGCCAGGCACCAAGATCATCATGGATATCACATTTAGGCGTGGGAAGACCTCCCAAAAGCATACCTGTCCTTGGTGCCATGCAGTGCACAGCGAGACAGTGCCACAAAATAAGCGGGTGACATGGTAAGCTGCCAGCTCAGATCTGCGGGGTGTTTCTAACAGGTGTCATAAAGCCACAATTGTCGGCTAGATTTCAACATTGAAGAGGCAAATCGTGTGGTTGAGCTGCCAGATGATGATAATCATACTATCCCAAAACGGAGCCGCGATGGGCAAAGTACTGTTTTTCAAGGTAGCAGGCAAGAAACAATTCCTGGAAAGAGCTATATTTATCAGGGTACTCCGTCGTTAGCTGGTTCATCCATCATGTCCACGCCTTCAAACGCCATCGCCCCGACCACAGACGCGGAGAGCCATGGCAGTTCAAATGCGATAGCATGTGACAATATACTAAGCGAGCTGTTCAAGGGCGTTGACATGACGTCCTTTAGCAACTTGATGGAATCATGCTTACACCATCCCCTTAGTCACACGGAACCAGCACCAGGCCCAGAATTGGCTTTCAACGTGCAAGCAACAAATAGATATGAAGCTGAGGATTGGCCACTAGGAGCCCCTGCAAGTGAATCAGAATCGACACATTCAGTTTCTACGACCGCCAATGCACTGACTAGTAATACACAGCTAGAAAATGCGTTTGCGTCCTTCAACCACAATTTCTTCGACGTTATTACCGATGACGTACTCAATAACATTCTGGCGGAGATGTCCTCATCGACAGCAGGTCCATGGTCTGAAGACCCCTTTACAGACACCGCTTCCTTGTCTGGCGCGAGTCTACCTTTGGATGAGAAACCAGTAACATACCCGGGAGAAGTTCCAAGTGATGTGTTAACAGAGAACGAGGTTCATCGAAGTACACAAATCAGGCGTGGAGGACCGACATGAGTACTACATACAATTGCTTAGATCTAAGAGAAAGCTATATAATGACATTTTCTCCATCGCTTACTACTGGCAATAACACGCAATGGGAATTAGATACGAGGTAATATCAAGTAAATCGATAGCCATGTCTAACGGCATTCATGACTGGTCTCCTTCAGAACCAAGATAACAGATCACGATAATGTACTTCTTCACTCGACCCAACATAGTAAGATATCTCCAGCTGACTTACAATCTACCAACTTCGTTAACACGTAAGCCACCCAGTCAACAGACCCAAGCCAGATGCAACAGTAAAATGCGACTGACGCCTTAACCCCGTTATCTCCGACCCCCAATACATCACCAACCGACCACCCATCTCACAACAACCTCTCACAACAATTCATCTCCACAAACCCCCTCTATCTCCTAAAAACCATGAAATTAATCCTCACCGGCACGACCGGCTTCATCGGCCACTCCATCCTAACAGAATGTCTCCAAAACCCGTCCATAACATCCATCATCGCTCTCTCCCGCCGCGCCCTCCCCGCGACCGTCACCTCGAACCCCAAACTCACTGTCCGAATTCACGATGATTTTCTTACGTATCCGGATTCTTTACTCCGGGATTTAGAGGGCGCGGAGGGGTGTATTTGGTATGACCCTCCCCTATAATCTTTTTTTTTTTTTTTTCCCTTTGAACATTCATAGATATCATCATGTGTATTGGATGTATTGCTCGTGGTTAACAATACTATGTATGAGAACAGGGCCCTAGGAACCAACCGAGGCGACACCAGCACTTCCCGGCGAATTAATATTGAGTATACAATGGCCGCGATCCGAGCATTCGACAAATATCTCGCCCCTGATACCCCAGGGAAAAAGTTCAGATTCGTATACATAAGTGGCGGCATGGCGGAGCGGGATCAGAATCGGACGTTATGGGTTGCGGGGGGGTTGAGGAAGGTTAGGGTATGTTTTATCCCATTTCCCCTATCTCATTGCCGAGTATGGGGTGTGGGTCTACGATTTGAAAGTGGTGTTAAGAGAAATAGGGCCAAGTTGAGAATGAACTCATTGCGTACGAGAGGGGTAGTGAGGGCGTGGAGGTGTATATTGCGCGACCGGCGATGGTTCTGGAGCGAGGCTGGAGTGTCAGGACGGTGGTGTTTGGGTTGGGACCGTCGATTTGGGTGGATGTTTTGGGGAGGGTGTTGGTGGATGTTGTGGTTAGGGGTGCGGATGGGCAGAGGGAGTTGGAGAATGAGAGGTTGGTTAGGTGGGATTGCAGTTGATGGTATAATATCGTTGTGGTAAGTATATAGTGGCTATTGTTATGTGTTGTTAATGGTATATGATGATTTGCGATCGCGTATTAGATACGGATATGGGGTGTAATTGGGGTAGGTATAGGATGGCCTAGTAGCAATGTTAGCTTTGCTCACTTGGTAATGGTGTGATATATGTATGAAGGAGAATTTCAGAGACCCGTCTTGAAAGGAACAGTTTCACCATCGATAGTGATACATCTTTTAAGAATAAAGGGTTCAATCATCACGGCAGCATTGCAAGAAGGGAGGTGGCAATAGAAACATACCGGTCCAGTCGGGTGAGTCCCCTGGTCCTGATTCGAAAGGGAACCTTGATGGATGGTTAATCCTATTATAGTGTAGATTTAACCCTGGCACTATAATTGCATTGTGTGGATTAGTTCATGGTTAGAGTTCACTGGACATCAACGGCAGCGGATAGGTGTAGCAGATTCTGAAGTGAGTATTGGACTGCAGCTACGATGGTTGCAATTATTTCGTTCAACAATTTACGGTTGGGCTTTATGTATGTCTTCTCGTGCCCCGACTAGGGTCGGCCCTATCTTGTTTTCATTGTTTTCAACCTGCGTGGACCCTGCCATAGTGATGGATTACAAATCAGGTACTCAGCCTGAACCAGCCATATACCAGAATTGCAACCGATATGAACATCAGAATACAGTAAACATATGTGGAAGATATGCAAGACCATCCAAGCTTGTGAACCGACCTTTTCATATCAGTGTCTGGCACTGGTTCATCGCTGATGACATACTGCGACAGCACTGCCTTGGCGGTTGCTGCTGCGGTCGCAACAGCGTAGTTTCGCCAGCGCTCAGTATAATGACCATCTGCATAGTTGCAAACACCTTTGATGACAATGCAGAATGGAAATGCAGCCCACACCCCCAGACTGGTTCCCTCCATGTCGAATCCAATCACTGACTCCTTCAAGACGATGCTATCCCGCGCTTCGCCAGTTGTCAACAATTCATCCCCAGATGCAATCACGCCAAAATGGATGGATGGCTTTGGTGAAACATCAGAGGATAGCGAACGCCTCCGACTGATCTGTGGTTCATCCAAGGCACACTGAAACTGCTGGCAAGTAGTCTGAATAGCACCAGACCCTCGATATGAGGCTTTCAGATGCTCTTCCATAAAACCACTGCCACGAGCCCTGTGACAATGCGTGGGCGCGAAGAGAATCTCACTGTTCTGCCCAGGATAACGAGGTATTTCCGGTCCGGCTGCCCGCTGGAGAGCAACAAGATTTCGACTCACTGCAGCCTCCATGCAATGACGCCGCTCCGGGACACACAACATCTCCATGAACGAGGCTACTTCCCCCCTCGGTCTCAGTAGGGAATTCCTTAAGAGTATCCTTATGGACATACCCCCCAGGAATTTTCCGTCCCAGGTCATACTACACCAAACCCTTGCTCACCAAAACATCGCCAAGCCATATATTTTCTCCATCATCTCGAACTGGACGTCCGCCACAAACACCCACCACCAACGCGAGCTTGATGTGACGATATTTTCTGCGAAGATTCAAGGTTACCTTTGCAGCTATGACCTTGCCGGCTCGGGGAACATGGGTGAGAACGACATTGTGGAATCCGATTCTTCCGGTAATATATTCGTGCGAGGTGTCGGATGCCTTTTGGTCGGAATTTGCAGTATAATCGAATTGCTCATCAAATAAGGTCATGACTGTAAGCGCGTGGCTTGCACAACCGCAGATAATTGCTATGTGGAAAGCCTCGTTTTTGGGGGGGTCTGGATATGGTAGTTTACTCGCCCTTGGCCAGGCTTTGGAGACCACTCCGCCCATGTGTCCGTGAGGACAACAATGAGGTAAGTGAACAACAAACACTCATCTGGAAGGTACATGGCGTTGGCACAACTGCGACGCTTTAAGGTGTCGTTTTCTAAACTCTTGTTCTCCAACCTTGCAACGTGGACCAGTCGTAGCAACCACTTTGGCGCCAGCCTTGCATCTTGTTGCCGCCCAATCAAAACGTCCATGACATCGCAGACTGTGCGTCTGAAGATTATGAAGAATACATTATCGTCTTTATTTCAGCTTTGACATAGTGTTAGCCAAACTATGCAAATTCTGCATTAGACATGAACAAGGTATTCTTCTATATGCTTCCCATAAGACATACTGGACACATTCTCCGTGGCTCAATTTTTTATCGAAGATTCAATTCCAGAATTTTTACAATACAAGGATGGATTCTATACAATAGCGATGCTGGAAGGGCCTAAAACTACATATGGTACAGGAACATGATTCCCTTACTACCAATCTATCGGACTTTTTGAATACCCCCAACAAAATCGAAACCTGATTGATACCAATTCAGGTCCTAGCAAAGATATAAGCGGAACTTGAAAACTCACGATTCCATATACCTAGCTGTATCTAGATTGGAGTACAGACCACAGGGCATATATGTACACAATATGTTTGGAGATATCCCAGTTAACATGGGGTTGCTCATTCATGGACACTCGAAATTCGTAGTACTGCGGCTGACTCGAGAGCGAAAAGCTTGGGCGGGCGCAGTGTTGAACCGTAGAACCGTAGCGAGAGGCTGATCCAGACTCCACACCCGTCGACAGACTGACAACCATCAGCGCTAGAAATATCCATCGGTCGCTTTGACAAACAACCGTCGGATGAATATATCCGGTAATATCACCACATCCAAGCAAACCAATCAGGACGCCCAACGGTCAGGCACCATGGGTTAGTGTTGCTGGTGCCCAGTGTGCGCCTTGGAAGTTGTATCACTCAACAACTCCTCCATGCTTATGCCAGGTTTCGAAATTCACGCGCAAGCCGCATTGCAAGGATTTCTATTCTGCAGAGACCAGTCTGGATGCATCTATCTCGAAAGATTATGTCTACGGGGATAATCAAGGGTTCCGTCGCGTTGCACAATCCAGCACTGCCTGAACACTTGTGACCTATTTCAGTAGCAGCTCTACAAGCCCACCTTGTCATATTGCGAGATCCCATTTTTGACTACGGGTGGAGATGCAGCGGCATGGTACGATGCTCCACGGACTTAACACCGAATCAACGTGGTTCAGTGATCACTAGTGGTGAGCTAGCTCGACCTAAATGCTTACTGTGAAAAAACTGTTACTCTCACGAATCATCACCTCCCATCTTCTCCATGGTGTGGGGTAAGCTGAGCCTCAGCCTGGCGGACTTCCCGGAACGGAAACAAAGTGACAATCCTTCATCGGCTTTGCTCTAATGTTCCCACAGTGCACGCGATTTAACCTATCGCGTCCTTGCAATCAGCACCCAAGCCGATCCTGTCATGCTGTCCAGGGCCGATCCAAATCCTATGCTATCATGGCCCACCATGCAGGGCTGGCTGGCTTCCGCCAGGTGGACCACACTTGGGGCTGTGAGCGAGGCACTGCAAGGATTTGGGGGCCAGGATCCTGTCCACCGCGCTAAGCAGGCAACAATAGCCACGATTGCTTCCAGAACGCGCTGCTCTTGGTGCTGGATCTCCATGATGCACCCCACACATGGATTTCTGTCCGCGATGATCCGCTTTGCAGCGCTGGTGGGAAAGGATAAAGAGTGCTTTGTCCGACGTAGAATGCCATGTTTTTCTTCAGCAGTCAACAAAATCAAATATGTTTCCCCACTTAGCACCGTTTACGGCTGTTACATGGGCACTCGCTGTCTCTGCTGCTCCCACCCGTAGCAGACAGTCCGAGAACCCATGCCAGCAGATCGCTCATCGGTACGAGCAGGCGACCAATGCAAACCGTGCGTTCGTTTCAGCTCATTAAGCCATCTTAATAGACTAATGGACAATAGAAACGAGAGGATTTGTGGTTCCCGGAGAGCTAGCACATGCATGTCTTCTCACAATGCCCTTCGAGCCCGAGAAGGGCGTCTCGTTTGTGGAGACGCTGGTGGAATACCTGCAATGGCAGTCGACGAGTGATGTTCTCAAGAGTGAGTCCATCGACATTGAGCCATGAACCAGACTAATATCGGGCAGACCCTCCATCTGGTTACCTCTCAAACCGCACAGACATCTTGGGTAGCATGGAAGACATCCGCATCAAGGCTGCCACCGGAAACTACTCGAGCCAGTACGAGTTCGATAACGATATCACACGTGTATTCCAGTCCGCAAATGACGGGCATCTGAGCACCACATTATGCTCACAGGAAGTCTTTCAGTTTTACGTCAACTTCCCTATTGTGTCAATCTCTAGCGACGGACTGCAGCTCCCCAAGCTTTACACGACACGTATGACCTTGAATCGATTGTATTGACGACGCTAACAGCCACAGATGATGCTGGCCTTCTTGCCACGAACTCCACGCGGATTTCCCCTATTATCACGATCAATGGCTACGATGCAGTGATCTACCTGATCCAGCTCGGATCTACTCTGGGATTCCAGGACCCAGATGCACGGTACGTATTCCTTCCACTAACTGTCGTATCGCCATGTTAACAAGAATCGGTGCAGGTACAACGAGATGTTCCCATCAGCAGCCCGTGAAGTCGGTGATGGGGTGGAGTATGGTGCCTGGACTTCCAACAATGGCCGGTGGCCCGGCAGCTCCGAGTTCACCGTGGCATTCGGCAACGGCACGGTCGCCCAAGTACCCACCATGGCCGAGGTGTACGAGGGCCAAAAGTTCACTTATCCCAACGGAACATCTGTCTATGAAGCCTTCTGCTCCACTATCGACAGCACCTCCAGCAGCAAGGCCACCAGATCCACGGTCCAGACGAAAGCTGCGCCGACAGCCTACCCCGAGCCAGTCATGCGCGATTCCTACAACCTCATCTCTGGCTACTACCTGAACGAGACAGATATGCAGGACGTGGCCGTCCTCTTCGTCCCCTCCTTTGACACCGCAGCCATGGGCCTCAATGAACCCCTAGCCTTCGCCAACCACGCCACCCAGTTCATCCAGGCCGCCGTGGCCACCGACAAGAAGAAGCTCATCATCGACCTGTCCGGCAACCCAGGCGGTACCGTCTCCTCCGGAATGGATCTCTTCAAGCTATTCTTCCCCCAGAAGCCCGTTTACAGCGCTACCCGATTCCGCGACCACGAAGTCGCCAACATCATCGGACAAGCCTTCAATACTATCCCTCATGACTCGGATGCCTGGCAGGTGGTCTCCGAGCTCCCATTCACCGGCGTCACCCCCAACCAGACCTACGCCTACCAGACCTGGCAGGAATACAGCGGTCCGCACTACCAACTCGGCGCCAACATGTCCAGCCTCGCCGCCGTCGCCAACCTAACCATCATGTCAACCTGGACCACCCCGATCCGCAGCTACGGCGTGTTCAAGCAAAACACGACCACCTCGCCATTCGCCCCCGAAAACATCCTAATGGTGCCCCCCCCCATCCCCCAATCCCCTCCCCCCCAACTCATCCTAACCCACCAACTAATATCTCCAGATCACCGACGGCTTCTGCAGCTCCACCTGCACGACCTTCATGGAACTAATGAAAACCTCCGGTGGCGTAAAAACCCTCGCCTTCGGCGGCCGCCCACAATACGCCCCCATGGCCAGCATGGGCGGTGTCCGCGGCGGCGAATCCCTCACATCCAGCACCATCGACGAATACACCGAGCTGGCGCTCGAATACGCAACCGAGCAATCCACCGCCGGGACACCCATCCTCACCGAGCAACAAATCGCCCGACTGAACTCCACCCCCGCGTTCACGGATATCCCGTTTAAATGGAACGGGTTGGAATTGAATTTCCGGAATGCGTATGCGCCGGGGAATGGCACGGTACCGTTGCAGTTTGTCACGGATCGGGCGGATTGTAGGTTGTTTTTTACGTATGAGAATGTGGTGAGGCCGGTGTCGATGTGGGGGGCTGCGGCGAGGGCCGTTTGGGGGGGTGGGGGGTGTGTTCCGTTTGAGGTGGGGGGTGGGGAGGATGAGTGATGATTTCGTTTCTTATGACTATGAGGTTTTATTTTGTGGGTTGGAGATATCCGCTTGGGCATGATACAGGCAGCAGGTGTTATGAACTAATAGAATAATGTGAACGATACAGAACGCAGTGAACTACGGCATTATTATGAATACTTTACAACATGGTGCATTGTGGATTGAGTCGGCTATTACAAGTAATGTAAGGAGACTTCGTGACATGCGAAGTATGATACGGGTTAGTACATCTAGTCAGGGCGAAAGGTCCACCAAACCCAGAGGCCAACAGCTCTGGTATCAGAATTTGCTCCTCACAGGGAACAAGTAAACCTAAGGTATATTTCAGCTACATCTAGAAGCTGATCGAAAAAATAAGGTCAGAGTAAGTAAGGAGTAGTCCTAGGGAGTCTCCAATATCATAGGATCATCTAAAGCCTACGAATGATGTATCAAATACACATAAGAGCACAACTAATCCATCATCATCATGAAACGACTGTCATCTTGTAACCTCATTCTATGGCTTATAACCATCGCAAGCAACTTCCGGAGCACGGATATGCCTGGCCTACTGTTCATTAAGTTCAATTTCGCACCTGAATCAGGCCAGAAATCATTCAACGGAGGACTAGGAAACGCATACTCATCCAAGATGGAAGGGTTCTCAACAAACTCGGCACCTTTAATCTCAACAAACTCAATAAGATCGCGGACATCAACCTCCACGATCACGCCTTGCGCGGATCGGTGACGTGCATTGCTGTTGTATGCACGCGACATAAACATCATGACAGATTTAATCGCACTTACCTGCTTCTCCTCCGAGCAATCCGCAGTCAAATGCAGCACCTTGCCGAACAAAGCAGACATATAGTAAACAGTTATCGGGCATTCATTGCCCAAGCCATCGATATTCAGCTCAGTCACGAGAGTCTGGTAGGCTAGATATGGAAGCTGAGACCATGCGGACAGGAACCGTTCCCCGAGCTCTTTCGTCGCCACTCGGCCCATCGCACATAGCCGGAGGAAAGCCCGATCGTGCGACTCGCGCAAATCAAAGGTTTTCTGAAGGCCCGTGTGAGTCATGATGTCGCCTCGTTGGCGGAGGACTGCATCGTATCCTGTTGTAAGCCAGCTATCATCACTGGCAGGCTCGCCTGGGATCACGCGCCCGAGAATGGGGTAACCAAGGAGATAGGATTGGCAGACCGGGCTCGGTCATGGTTGTGGAACCACGGGAATCTACATGAGCATTCGCGCCAGCTTCATCGAATAGAGTCTCGAGGTACTTCAGCGCGCATGCCTGAGAGTTTTGTCGGAACTGAAGCAGACTGCTGAATCTTCCCGGGACATTCTCTCCTTGCATCAGCTGTATCATTCAATATGGACCAGTCAGGCATTTCGTCTATATGTTTGCGGATCTAAACCATGCCGTCAAGCGCTTGCCTGGAGGGAATCACTCATAGACAACCACATGGCTTTGGTGTAATCCAGCCTCGAGGGTCTCAGCTTTGTTGTTCACGTCAGCCTCGTGAACTATCCGTCGAGGCTATTCTGATGGGACTTTGCTAGTCGCCACGCAAAACCAAAACATAGTTGTGGAGGATGTTTGGCGAAGGAGACAAACCATCGTGACTAGCCCACGAGCACGTGATGCTCGGTCCGGAGTATAGTCATTCCATGCCGAGGGGGCAGCAGCCCATCACCGGCTTTAACTTTCTTTGATGAGCAGTCTACCAGAGATGACAAGGGCTGACAATAACTGCCCGTGGTGAGACACCTCGCAAACACAGCAGCCCTTGCCATCCCGAGTTGTGCTGTGGAAAAGTTTGTCCGAGATGGTCTCCAGTCCACGGTTGGAGCCCAGTATAGCACCAATCAGGTGCTGGATTGTCTCCCTGTCTCACCGGGATCGTCGAGCCAGAGAGCCGGTGGAAGGATGCACGGGGTCAAATCTTTATAGGCGATCGTCCATTGAGGTTGCTCAACGTCGATGTCCTGCATGCTGGGCTGAAAGGATGACACAAACCCAAGACGTTTCCATCCCGCTGGGACGACGTATCACACTTCCAGTCCGAATTCCACACCCATAGCCGGTGGTATCCCGCAGTGGCGCACCCCGTATTTTCACGAGGCCTCGGACCATGACCTTAAAATAACCAGGCTTCTCTTTACGCACCGCTTGAAGAACTCACCGTTGGCTTTCCTGGAGTGTGCCAATAATATAACAGGGCTTCTCGCTTGTAACGAGGCAACGCCGACACTGTAAGAATATACCCCGCTCAAACCGGCAAACATCGGCAGCAGTCAAAACCGCCTGTCACAATCTTCTCCCCACAAGGCTATGTTCATTCATATCCTACCCCAGGTATGGTTGATTCGTGTAGCACCAGACGAATCCTTGTCTGCAGTGTAACACTTGGCAGCGTCGTGCCACCATATGACCGTCACCGGGATCGAGTATAGAGGCTTCAAGATCAGCTCAGGCGTCCAGCTAGCTTGTCTCTACTCTGGGTGGTCATGTTTCGACGGTGTCGATGCTTTCTCAGCTCGGTTCGGACACATCACATCGTTTATTGAAGCAACATTTTCCCGGCCTCGTATTGTCATGTCCCGTTTGGGCTATACGAGGTTGCAATGCATCCAAGGGCCTTGTATGCATGAGGGACTTCCAGTAATTGCCTGAGGGATCAGATGGTCTATCCTAGCCAGTTTAGATGGGTTCGCAAATTCCGGGTATAAATATGACCATCAATCCCGACTTCATTCCGCTCAACATCACCGAAAACAGGATTCACTACCTCGCTCAACCTTTTGCTACCCTCCACACTAACATTGTGATTCTCTCAATCCCTACAAGATGAAGTCATTCACCCCCATTGCTTCCCTTGCCCTGCTTGCCTCCCTGGCCCTTGCATCTCCCACTCCCGTCGACCTGGCTGCGCGAGCCTGCACCACCATTTCCCCGACCATCATCGACGTGCTGGACAGCGCAAACCCAAACACCCCCAGTCCCGGCCAACACTTCTCACTTGCTCGGTCCGCCACAGCCAATACCAAGGTCTCGGCCCTAACCTTCACCGGGATCCCCAACGACGCCACCGGTTGCATGCTGGCCGTCGATATCCCCGCCCTCACCCAGCCCATTGCTCAGGGCTCCAGCCAGGCCGACATCTGGTCCACCGACCCGTGGGACTCTAACTCCCTTCCCACATGGGCCAACCAGCCCAATCGGCGAGAGATGGTGGGAACGTACCAGTTCCCCAACGCACCAACCACGACGCCCGCGCATACCATCGTCGCATCCAACGCGTGCTCGACTACAATGAGCTGGTTGGCGCTGCTGTCCACCTGGCAGAGCACTGCGGGGTCGGTCGACTTTGACAATTCGGTCACCGGATCCAACCCTATTGGATTTAGCCTGGTCTACAATTGCTGATGCTGCTGACATTATTGTAAAAGACGGGAGTAGATGGTTACGCAGGGGGGGGGTATCTATCACGAAGGAACATACTGCACTTGAATAATCTGCCTTACTGTATTGTTGCCTTTCTGTATTGACTCTATTCAACATAGAGACTTGTTACTAAAATTCCAGATAGTCAATACATTGTACGTAATTCATCCCTGTACTTCTATCACCATTGTCGTACCATACTCCATAAGCCCTAGGTATCTGACACGTACTAACGGTCTTTCTTTCACATCATCCCCGATACAGCCAATAGATTCCCTCGCACTTCCTTTTCTTCAATTCCAGTCATCACTGCCGCCAGCAGAACAAAAGAAAAAGAATCAGAAGAAAACGATCAAATTAGCTTCATTGAATTTCACCGACACGTATGTATCTACCCCAATTTACTATTACTCTTTTCCCCAAAGGAAAATCATTTCTGAGACTAGATCTCGGCATTATTGTGGACATGTGATTGTAAGGGCGGATTTCTTGTATATAGGTGCCGGGACGACAAATTCCTGCATGGCATTCTGGACTAGTAGCGGGTTTTCATATATGTATATACTCACTAGTCACCCAATACATCGATTCTATTACGGTAGTGAAGACATGATATTCTAGAGGAGATAGGATAAATAGGAGAAGGGTTGCGATCACATGATATATTTATATCGAAAGTTCATTTTCTCTTATTATTGTACTCTTCCTTGTACAGGTTTAGCCGTGCGTGTTGAGAGATGCTATTTTCTAGGGTTTAGGGATAGTGCTGTGGGTCTCGATTGATAATTTACCTAGAGGACTGGTTGCAGATACTGTCAAGAACCACGCAGGCCAAAAGAAATATATCCCTTCTTAGCCCCGGGCGTAAAAGGTAGAGATATGGCATGTCTCAACAGGTACTATCAAAAGAACAAACATAGATAGGTGATATCCAGCATCTAGCAGACTTCCTATCTCTCATCCTAGTAGCTATAGCCTATGCTTCAACCCCATCCTCAACATGCACAGCCCCTGCTCTCTCCCCCGCCATCTTACCCTTCTCATCCACCACCGGGTTCCGAAACACATGCGTCTTCCACTGCCGCGCCGGGACACCTTCCGTGAAAAACATCGCAACCTCTAGGCGTGTCCGACCCTGCGTCTCACCGACGCAAAACCACACCCAAGCCAACGAAGTCAGCGTCGTCCCCGCGTACACGAACCCGACCATTGGTCCGAGTCCAGCATCATCGTACAAATACGGCGCCGTGAAAGAGATCAACCAGAGGAAGAAATACAGCGCGACGATAGACACAGACATGATTTTATTCTGGTTCACGCCGACGGATAACTCACGGGTGACGGCGTAAGTAAGAGGTCCGAGACCGAAATTGTACGCGCAGATGACGACGTAGGAGAAGACGACGATGATGTATTTCGAGGCGGTGGAGAGGGTAGATTGGGTGCCGAGGGCGCCGATGATGATGAAGGCGAGGAAGATGAGGCCGGTGCTGACGAGGAGGTTGATGCGACGGGAGAGTCGGTTGCCGGTGAGGATGGAGACGGCAACGGCGAAGATTTGCAGGATCATGGTGATGAGGGTGATGGTGAAGGGCTGGGAGACGCCGAGGGCTTCGGCGAAGACCACGCCGTAGTTGTAGAAGAAGATGATGCCGCAGATTTGTTGAGCGTACATGCCGCCGGAGGCCCAGAGGAGCTTTTTGCGCTCGACGGGGTCGAGGAGGAGGGAGAGCCATGAGGAGGTTTCGCCTTGGGTTTCTTCATAGCGTCGGGCTTGTTCGAGGAAGGCAAGGTCGGTGGTGGGGTCGTAGGTGCGGTCGTTGCGGTGGATCTTTTGGAGGGACCGTTTGGCGTCGTCGGGTCGGCCGCGGAAAACGTACCAGGTTGGGCTTTCAGGGATAAAAGGGAGGAAGATGAGGAGGATGAGCGGGAGGATGACCAGTCCGCCCATTGGGAGCTTGTAGGATAAGGAGGATTCAATGGAATTGGTGCCTTGGGTGAGGCCGGAAGCGACGAGCTGGGAGCAGGACTGCAGGAATTGGTACATGTATAGGGCTGGGCTGCGTATCTCGAGGGGTGCGACTTCTCCGATGCTGTTGAGGTCAATTGGGCGTCTTGTGTCCTTGTAGGAGAGTACTTACTAGAGAAGCGAGGTGACGGTAAAGTTGCCCACTCCAAGACCGATAAGAATGCGACCCAGCACAATTACGCCCTCAATGTTCGTGTCGGCGACCTGAGTCACTCCACCTGCAAGCACGAAGGCTGACGCAATCCACAGGACTATCTTCCGGCCGAACCGATCGTTGAGAGGACCTGCGATCAATGCTCCGACCATGTCTCCGATGTAGATGCTTGACGTAGTGAGCGAGGTAAAGTCTGTCGCCAGGGCTTTTGCTCCATCTTCGTAATGATTGCCAAAGTCATTCTTAAACTGCTGCATGCCTAGGATTCCACTGTAGTAGGTGTTGTCATAACCGAAAACCAAGGCCCCGATGGCGGAGATGGAGCAGTAGATCAAGGCCCATCGGTGACGGCTAAATTCAATATCGAAGCTAAACATCATGCGTGAAGCATTGTCTGCAGGATAGATGTGACATTGCCGATACCGAAAGTGCGGTCCAGCCCAGTTTATATGCTTTTCGGCCGGATGCAGCCAGTGTGCGGAATTGCCGCTTTCGAATGCGTCGAAAACATACAACAAACACGGGAGGATAAGGCCCCCACGTCACCGTAGATGCATTGTAGGCAACAGGCAACCATTGGCTCGCTTGGTTCCGATGCTGCCTCCCCCGGATGCCACCCCCACGGGATGCGCCTTGGATTGCGGGGAAATGCGGGGGATTGCAGGGAAACTGATGGGAATCCCTGCTTGTCAGCCAGTGTGGCCTGATCCTCGGCATCCCCAGCGGAGTTTAGTCCTAAAGCGGGCAGATGACGCAGTCTATCACGAACAATTCCCCTCACTCGGTTTGAATGAACTGGAATCGGCTTCTTGGTCGAAGTTAGCCATGACTGAGTAGCTTGTGCAGCTAGGTAACCCCAGATCTTATCAAATCCCGATGAGGTAGAAGCAACCGGATTCCAAAGGTATGAGGACGCTGTATCCCGCTGAACAAAGCTCAGCTGCCAGATCATCCTCCAAGCTTGTCGACACTGCGAGTTATTGATGGCGATTTGAGGGCCTTTATTGACCGCAAGATCATCGGCGTTCGGGTTTCAAGCAAAAGAGCAGGCTATGCTAGATGGTGTTTTCATCGAAGCGATATAGCTGGTATTTCTGTCATACATGCGGAATGAAATCAGTCCACTCGACGGTCACGAATGAACTCCACGGCAGCCGTCGCAAACTGATAAAGGCCTCGATAATTATATACATGCGTGCTGGGACCAGGCAGGCACTGATGAAAGACATGGTGACGTCCAGCACCCAGGCCCGCCAGCCACGCTCTTCCTTGCCGCTCGGTTGAACCCAGATCCACGTCAAGGACTGGTGGCCGTGGAAGCCACATGCCGTGAGTGTTACCCGCAGCATACTCGACAAAGGGAGACCAGAGGCGAGAAACACGCTCATAACGCGCCACATCGTTTGCTCCGTGGTCGTCGGAAACACGTGGTTCCACCCTAGCAGATGGATGGCCGGGTGCACCATAGCCTGGATGGACACTAGCAGCCAGGCCCGTTGACTCAGGCCGCTGAACACAATCTTGTCATCGGGTATGCGCTTTAGGGGCTGGCCTTGAGGGCGGAATTGCTCCAGAGTTGGTCGGCGATGCCACCGCTGCAGGGGTTTCTCGACAAAATCAAGCGGGGTCTCCTGGAAAGGTTCCAGACTGATCTCTCCTGAACTGTTCATCAGGTTGGTGACAGACCCAGTCTTCAACTCAATAATCGTCGGCACACCCACATTCTGTGGCTTATGCAACCAGAAGTAGTACGTGGTGATGGTGGAGAGCACAAAAGCAATAGTAAAGAGCTCCAGTGGGGAGACCGCGAGGCCTTGCACCGCCCGGGCGATGGATTGGACAACGAGCCACACTCCCTGCACCAATGCCACGCATTTGGCGAACGTATCGGCCTTGCTCTTGTCCCAGATCTCCGCCTCGCCGATGGCGGGGCAGTCGATATGCTGCTTCTCGACGAGGTAGTGAATGGAGGCGGCCGTGATGGGAAAGGGGGGGTAGTCAGTCGAGTGGAGGACGAAGCCACCACTGTTGGCGTAGAAGGCGTGCTTGAGGGTCCAGTCCTTGTAGCCGAGGTTGTGCATCTTAGTCACCGACTCCTGCGCCGACTGCCACTGCATGGCCGAGAAGCCGACTAGCATGTCGGGTGCCAGAATAGCAAACGTGCCCCAACGGAGCTTGCGCCAGAGAACTGTCCACATAGTATCGTCAGGGGCTGGGATGTTCAAGTGCAGAACCGTCCACAGAGCGGTCGAGAGCACCAAGCAACAGCCCCAGAGAATGTCGATAGTACCTCGATCATTGGGTCCGTCCACCCAGCCGTTCATTTCTTTCTCTGGTAGTGGAGCCATGATGAGCGATGTTTAGAGATTATTATCTCCTTCCTTGAGGACAGTCGTTGTCAATCGCGATCAGATAGTCGGATAAATACAGCCCGAGGGCACCCTCTCGCGAGGGTCCAGCTGGGAATTCGTGATTAATGAACCCCTCCATGTGCTACAAGCCTTGACCATGACAGATCGCTTGTCAGCCAGTGGTGCACTAGTGCAGACGCAGGGGGTCTAGGTTCAGAGTGGAAAGTGGAAGGATAAACCCAGGGATGGGTTTCAGCCTATGGCGGAGTAGATACATTCTGCAACTGATTTCCCGAAGTGTACAAGGGGGTGGTGATAAGATGAGGATTGGCATCCTGCAGGAGTTGCCAGGTCTAGACACAGGGTCTCCCTTAGGCGAAGACAAATAACAAGCACCGAAGACGTGCATCATGGAAGCCAAGACAACCGTCGGAGTTCAATTCGACGCTAGCTGGCCTGATACTCGCCTATTTCGGGCATAGTGGTCCCGCCAGTGAGCAAGACCTGAGGAATGGCGTTCGGGGACCTTTTTGCGGTCCTGCAGTCAGCGTATCACAAGCACGCTGGATGGCCCAAGCGGAGGAGCGATAGAGTCATCTGCAGGAGCGAGGAGAACGTGGGTGCTGGATCAATTAACTTGCCGTCCGCGATAGGCCGAGGGGCCGCGGTGGGGACCCGGACTATAGCATGAAGAGGCTTGGTGCTGACAGCTGCTGAGGACAGACGACAAGTGAGAAGGACGCGAGGAACTAACCGGTGGGTCCCTTACACAGTACTAACGGGAAACGGTGGTCCATCCGCCGGAGGATCCGTGAAGAGCAGCGATTGTCGCGGGCTTTCCATTTGGAGCAGACCCCATAACTGGCTGGCTGGCCCTTATCGACCCTTTGGGGGCCAAAACGACACGGAGTGGAAGACTCGTCTGGCTGTTCAGCTGCAGCAGGATATTACCTCCGATTGCTTCTGCAGGCCCTTGCCTCGTGGCTGACCACCACGTGAATCCCTGGTCCTGTTGCATGCTGGCGGTGGGTCAGGAATGACCAGGTCGCATTCTTCCTCAACCCGCCCCTGGACAGCACTACCACGCGGATTGTTTCAGGGCCGGCAGTCTCACTGTTTCCCAAGGCCACAGTAATCTAAGAATTTCAATGGGTGGGACGAACGCCATTCTGCGTTCCGGTGTAACAATGACAGGTGAGTGAACGGCTGGAAAGGGCGGGTCGCAAATACCCATGTGGAGCACTGCAGTTCTCTCCGTTCATCGGGCATGATCGTCCCCACCGTCGGTGGTCGGTCGCGAAGGGGATCAATTCTCCCATTCAATTCGCTGCACGAATGTTGATCGCAGCGATCAAGGAGACTGTTCACTGGCGGTACCAAGGGTAGCCTGATCCCAGCGGTGTCTGTCCCTACTCCTCCGCCCTGTAGTCCTGGTCCAACCTCAACTACTCCGTGTGTGCGACCGATATCCAAGATACCCCAGCTGCATTTCTGAGGATATAGTGCCTGCATCATTCTAGTAGACAATCACATCCACTGTTGTTTTAATGATGTGCCTGTCTGCATTCTGGGATGCTGGACCACGCGTCAAGGACCAACACCGTATGCAAGTGTCAGCTGTGATAAGTCACCAATTCCAGATCTGCGACCGTTCGAGCCGTCTGGGGCACAGAGCGTACTCCGCTGGAATACCACAGCCGCCCTAATGCAGTGCAGGAAGTCAATCCACCACATCCGGAATGGATCATCGGGATGTGTGTGACGTTCCACACGAGATAAAACATGCACCAAAAATAGAGCAGGGCAGCGATGTCTGTCCAGTATCAGGAACACATCCTGGTAGGATACGCGATGCTCCGAGCCATCCTGCCTTTCATGGCTTACCATACCTCCACTTAGTTGTGTGGCCCGAAGGATATCATAACCAGCATCTTCTCATCTCTTCATCGAGCAAATATTTGGGCATGTACCTCAGCTTACCTCAAAATATCCATGGATCAAAGACAACTCCCAGGTCCGTGGCTGTGAAAGGCATCATGTCATCCACAACTCCACAATCGTCAAGGGAAATTTCCGACAAATCACCAAATCCAAGACTGGAGGAAGTAATCACAGACACACTCAGATTGTGCGATGTTCAGTTCCTTATGGACGTAGTCCCATTAAGCAATGGTTTCCAGGCGCGGGGTGAAACCGCTCCAGTCACGGATGAGCGCCGCTCGGGACCCCGTGTATGGGATAGTGTTGCCATTGCGAGCGTATTCTTGTAGCGACTTGATGAGCACACTAGCACTAGGAAAGCCGTACAGGAGGATCTGCTCTTTTATTAGCCAGTTCTCGGCAACCGCTATGAGAAGATTTCCACTGTATGCTTCCGATGCCTTGGCCAAACTGATACGGTCGACAATATCCTCGTACTGACGTCGAGCAGCCCATTACAGTTGTGGGTCGCGCTGGACAAGACGTCGCTGAATTAAAAAACCATTGTAGGCAGCGGGTGCAGACGAGGAAGCGATAGTCGCAATGGACCTCGTGCTTGCGGCACTGCTCGTAGGAAGCCGATTTGCCATTTCGACGTCGGATTATCTCGACCACTGTCCCATGTTCATGGTTGCAGTGAGAAAATGCCTCTCGCGTCGGGAGGGGAACGAACGAACCATCGGATTTGGCCCCTCGGCACACGGCGAACCACCCGATCCAACAACGCCTCCTGGGCAGACCCGCCTGATCCGGCACTTTTCCGGTGTGTAAGTATACAGTTGGCGCGTAAGATTCCCCAGCATCTTAGAGGCTAGGAAGTATGCAGCATCCGAATTGCAGCGTCCACAGGGCTATAACTTTCCATCGGGCACTCCCGAGTGCCCAACTAACACGGGGAGGGTCAATTACATTGAGGGCGGTTTTCTCAGCGCACAGTGGGAACACCACGCGCTGAACCGTGGGATAAATTTCGATCTAATCTACGATTATACGGTTTGCAGCCCTTGCAATCGAATCGCCGTAGTGAAGGAATGTAGCTAACTGGGTCCAGTTCCTCTGCGCCCTGCACCCGAACTTGCGTCCTCAATGGGCCGATCGCATGGCTCTACTCCCGCGACAGGATGGTTTGCTTATCTGTCTGGAATACCCCATGTACAAAGACCCGTCGTGGCCGGGCCTACCCTGGGGAACTTAAGGGCGTTCACTGGGATTTGCTGGCGCGTGGCGGAGACGGGATAACAACTACTAGTATTACCAAAGAGCCGGAAGACACAACGGCAGGTGAGTTGGCTGGGCAGTTCCAACGGGTGCAGTAATTTAACCCCCCTCGGTCATATGGAAACCGGAAAGGTACGGATATGCTGAGCGTCTATGCCCGGCGGTGAAGTCGCCTGATAGTTGGAGGCGAACGGGTCTTGTTTCAGGGTTATAAACTAGATAGCTGCCTGGCTGAGCCCTGCGATGCCCCTTATGTGCGCTGTCTTCCAGTAAATAGCAACATCGGCTGTTTGGGCGTTCGCTGAGACTTTCTGGGAAGATATTATGAGGGATTCAGCTGCTCTTCGTTAAAAGGTTCTGGAGAAAGATTTCAGGATTTGGTAAGTCAAGATAGTTTTTATGACGGAGTCTCGTGTTGTCAATTCATACGTCATTTGCTGCAGACACGCTCTTGATAATTTAATTCCAGTAAATGAGCAAGTTATCATACTCATAATATACACATATCAACATACACATTAGCCGTGAAATTATCGTACAGCATCACGGGAACTGATCATATTTTCCAATCCCCCGACACGGTCCGTCTACCTCAATGCGGTCCACCTGCTGAACCGCCTTACCATCAGCACCGAACCGAAGGACTTTGCCGCCCGTTTGGGACGAAGCATTGACTGGTTCCCAGCCCAGCAACTGCGGCCCGTTCAAAGGATCCTTCAAGAAGGCAAGGATGTGCTCTTGCATGGCCAGGCTGACCTCGGCCTCGAAGGCAGTGCTGTTTCCCAGGTATTCCTGGATGGGATAAGTGCCAAAGTTCATCGGCAGGTCGCTGGCATGGTAAGCACCGAGCCAGCGGAATGGGTTCAGGTTCGGGTACTGTCCGGCATTCTGGTACCGGTAGACCGGAATGTTCTGCTCATTGCGGAGGAGCGTCGAGTTAGCGGTGGGGCACATCCAGTCAGTCAGATCACCCTCCAATACTGCAGCCGGGTCCGGGCCTGCGGTAAGGTTGTTCACGGGATACGTGATCAACGAAGCGTATTCGTTGGCGCAGTTCGAGATGATGGCGGGCCGGCGAGCGATCTTCCCCGCAGCTGAGCGGGCAGAATAATCGCTGAAGATTAGGCGCTCGTCGGGCACAACACTAAAGCTCAGAGCGGGTTCAGTCCCATTGTCGGATACTGGCCAATGAAATTTGAGATTTGCGCGTAGGGAATTCGCCGCATGCACTCCAGCTCAGCCGCGGCGTCACACGGAAAGTCACAGCCAAACTGCTTGGCGACATAGGTGAAGTTGGTCTGCTCGTAATCGGAGAAGCCGAGAGACTTCAGTGCCGTACCAGACTGCATGAAGTACCCACGCACCAGTGGGTTGTCGTAGTAGGCATAAGAGTGGAAGTCGACACTCTGGGAGCCAGCCGACTGGCCCCACTGCACAATCTTGGAGCGGTCACCACCGAACTGCTCGATATTTTCATACACCCATTCCAGGGCTGCTCGCTGATCCATTATACCCAGGTTCTGCTCCTTGAGTCCCCGTGCGTTGGGCCAGCCGAAGATGTTGACCCGATAGTTGATGGTCACGACGATATGTTCCTGGGTCCGCTCAACCCAGTTGGTTGGTTTCTGCCACCCGATGTTGATGCCTCCAGTCGTGAAAGCCCCGCCAGTCATGAAGAATAGCACCGGGAGCTTGGATGCAGCCGTGGCATTAGTTGGTGTCCAGACGGCGAGGTATAAACAGTCTTCAGATGTCGCCTCTCCCACGAGGCCGGAGCTGTATCCTTGATTTCCATTATAAATCTCATCCCCCTCCCCTAGGTATTGGTTCCACAGGGATGCCGTGGATGATACAAACTGCGGGCAGGAAGGCGGATAATGGTACGTAGTATGATGCGTCGTGGAGTTGGGGAGTTTGGCGGGAGGCAACCATCTCCGTGAGGCCACAGGGGGTTCCGCGAAAGCAATCGACTTGAAAATGCGTGTGTTAGGGTACTGATCCTCGACCACACCGGTGTACACTCCGGTACGCGTCCGGACAGTCAAATTCTCACCCCCATCCACAGACGAGTTGTGACATTGTGATGCTAAAACGCCTGGCACAAGGAAGGTCAAGGCCAGAGGTCCCGGTGTGAATCTCATTGTTCCTCTGTAGAATGGCGATGAGAGAGGCAATGGCAAGATTCTCAAGGCTTCCTTTATAGTAGCCGGTGGGTTCCCAGCTTTAACCACCGTCCGTCATCATTTCATCCCGGATATGCTTGATCCCCCCACACCCCCACGAGATTCGGCTTGACGTAGCCATATTCTGGCGGATTGGAGAAGGATTCGGAGCAAGGTCAGTCGGTGCCACCATCGGGCGGGTTGTACTCGACGGACGTTGGGCTGGTTGAGACTAGTCAGTGACGGCGGGGCCCCATAGTCCGGTCAACGCGGGGAATACACGGCACACTGAGTGCCAGGCAACCCGAGTTAAGCGAATAAACTGTGACAAAAAGCCGGGAACTATTGAGGATTGGGCAAATCTGCTCGGGATTCGTTGCCAGTCTCGGAAATTTGGCAGATGCCATCACCCAATGTTCGGAGATATTGAGGCCACTGTGCCGCGGTGGGCCTCGAAAAGATGGAATCTAAAGCAAGTCAAAAGTCAATGACTTCTGTCAATCCCGTGTGCCCATGGCACGGCAATGACTTTAAGCGCAGGATGAATGTGTGGGGAGAGACGATGGCAGCTTGACAGCACGGTGTTCCGTCATCGGGCATGAAATGCTCAATGGCCGGGCTGCTTCGCAGTTTCACCTCTGCTCGTCCGGGGATATGCAGCAGTTACAGCATTATACTGCGCCAGCGGTTGAGTCCAGATCAGCCTTCGAAAAGCTGCGAGGGCATTCTCAGAAGTCGAGGAATGGGCGGCTGAGGAAGCAGAGTGGAGGGAACCGGAAAACCGAATTCCCCACGGGACCTTGGCCAAGTACTGAGATCACGGGAGAACCCTGATGAAGACTAGCGCTAACCCCAGGCGGCACTAGCCTGCTGGAGGGCTGATTCATCATCCGCTCCAATCACATTCCTCCTTCCCAAGTACACTAATCTAAACTGGGAAATGCCTCTTCTCGGCTCTTCATGCCTGAGGCAGACAATAACATCTTGCACACCCACTACATGAATATGATGACATCAAGCTTCGACAAATACTGTCTACGGTCCCTTGAGCCATTTTATAGCCTTGGATCTGTATTAAAGGCTTTAAAGTCTCCAAAGCCACGTCATAAATTGGTTTCCGCAGTTTCAATAGTGATTGTTGCACAATATATATCACTGGTTCTTAGTACATGTGGTTACCCCAAATCTTTGTCGACTGACTTTCTAGTGCTGCTCCAGCAATTAGTTGTGGATTCCTCAACGACAGATATCTCATTTTTGTTCAGCAAGCAAGTAATTGGCATTGCTATCCAAAGCTCAGTGACCGCATGTGGTAGCTCTGGATACCATCCACACCAACAACTATCCCTGAGAAAGCCATGATTGTCTCCCTCGATATGTGACAAGAAAGAATTTGGGTTATCAGAAGCGGTTATTCTAGAGCGGGAAGAAATTCTTCACCTTAGTGAGGCAAAATAAATCCAAGTTATCATGCTATACCTTTTCCCCTCTATGAGTCGAGTTTACGGTGGAGTCCCATGGAACTCCCACTTTATTTATATCTGTTCCTGATGGTGAGCTTATAGAATACTATAAGCTTCCTATGGAGTAAATGAAAAAGAATGGCACCGATACTCTCGGAGAAGACGTCTACAAGATGACCGTTCATCATGTCGAACCTATCTAATCAAAGACATATGCCATCCAGTTCGCAAGATTCTTCTATTGGTATATCGATCTTCATGAGAATGAATCTTAGCAACCGCGCTGAGGAAGCTATGATAGGAAATATCTAGGATACTCTACAAAAGGTCTCACTGGTTCTAAGAACGTAAGAACTATAAGGTCAGTCACGAAGATTACGAATAAATTGCTTGAACTGAAAGAGTAGTAAGTCGTTAGCAATAGAAGGAACGCATGGGACACATCAAAGAATAACATCTAGTGCGAACATCAACACTTCTATTCTCCGTACCAAAGAGAAGATTAGGCACTCACCGCAAGGCCTCAGATCTGAAGTTAAATCGAGTTGATTCCTTGGTAGTATAAGCGTACACCTCGTATTAAGGAAAGGTTTTAATCCAGACCATTGCAAGCTCCCTCCAACCGGTATCGGATCAAGAGGCCAGCGGTATGAGGCCTCTCGATCACCACTAGTAACAGTGTGCTTCAATTCGGAAGGAGCGACTCGTTTTTATGTGTCGTGATCGTAGGCTGACCAATTTTTAGAAAGTGTGATAAGGGAAGATGACACCCAGGAAAAGGTTTCCAGCATATCCGGAGTATAGTTCCACCCCACTATGTCTCGCTTTTTCAATCTGGAAGTAGCAGATACCAGGAATAATGTCCCATGACATATCATTCTTATCGAATATTAAAATTTCTCTCAATCAGAGTCTGCCAATACATTGCCGTTGCGACGACATCCAAATAATCTTGAGTCCTGGTGCGACCCCACTGATAGCCAATATGCCACCACAACCTGCTGAAAGAGACCCCTGGTGCGACTACGCGATACGATGAGGTAATGTAAACAGGTGCTGTTAAAAATAGCATGAAGCAGATTTAGCAAACCCCTCCAGTCCAAAATTGCGTGCTCAGGAAAAGGGCAGCACATCTGCGTGAAGCGAAGCTAGAGGGGCTGTTGGGTAAGTCTGGATCCGATTAATCAGCGAGAACATTAATTTCCACTGTTTGTACTCCTTTAAGATCTTTCTCTCTCTCTGCTTCGGAATAGGGGAAGCCACCCACTCTGCAACCCTCGTGTTCGATCCAGGGGATCAGCTCGACTCGCTAATGGATCGGGATCCACTCGGGCGGACCCATCGGGGATCAGGGCTCACTGCTGACCAGTGACCAAACCCGAGCGACCAGGGCCCAAGGCCAAAAAAGGGTCAAGGAAGCTTGTCGCAAAGCTTGGTTGTGCCACAGGGCTTGGCTGTTGGTTATCCATTCCTCCAAGCAACGAAACAACATCGGAGTGTAAACAAACATCACCTCTGAAGTATAGTATCACCTTATCGCCAGCGTGAATCCCAAGCTAACCAGACTACCCGGTAACGGGGTCTTGCGTGAACGGCGTAGAATTCGCCACCCCTGGCACAGTAGCGGACATGCACCGAGCTTATCACGGATCCCTTCGGAACCCCGTGGCCACTCCTCGATTTAGCGCCATCACGCTCGAGATCTCGCATCTTGATTCGGAAACGAGATCCCCTAGGCGAACCCTAGCTGACTCGCTAGCAGGGACTTGACATCATATTGACTTTTGGGCTCGCTGGTTCGGGACTAGTTCGTCTCAGGGCTGAAAGCTGAGAGCTAAGGAGGAGGGGAAATTGGTGGCGAAGAAATGGCGCAGCATCATAGGGGAAAGAGGGGTTCAGCTGCTCCTGCTACTGGCTTAAAAGCTGGCATTGTCCTGTCTTTCCCCTCTCTTTGCCTCGATATCTGTCTTATCTCCAATTGCCTATATTTTATTCCTCTCAGATACATACACATTCTTCTCTTGCCCCAACTCTTCCTTGAAAATCTTCACAATGGACTCCTACGGCCAGAACAACTTCGGTGGTAACGGTGGTGGTAACGACTTTGGCGGCAACAACTCTGGATTCGGGGGTAACGACTCTGGATTCGGGGGTAACAACTCTGGATACGGAGGTAACAACTCCGGCTTTGGAGGCAACGACTCCAACTACGGCGGTAACAACAACTCCGGCTTCGGTGGTAACAACGACTCCAGCTACGGGGGCAACAATGACTCCGGCTATGGGGGCAACAACGACTCCTACGGCGGCGGTAACAACAACTCTGGATTCGGTGGCAACGACTCTGGATACGGTGGTAACAACAACAACTCCGGGTTCGGAGGAAACAACGATTCCTACGGCGGAAACAACGACTCTAGCTACGGCAACAACAACAACAACAGCTTTGGCGGCTCCAATGACTCTTACGGCTCGGGCAACCAGGGCGGAAACTCTTCTAGTGGCCTCGGTGGCTTGGTGAGCAAGGCCGAAGGTTAGTCTTCCTACCTTGGGTGGCTTTTTCTAGACATTGAATACGATGACTGACAATGAGCTTTGATTAGGCTTCCTGAGCGGCAACAGCAGCGGAAACAACTCCAACTCCAACAACAACCAGGGTGGTAACTCTGGAAGCAACTTCGTGGACTCCATGGTTGACCAGAAGGTCGACCAGTACATTCCTTCCGGCATGGACAGCGCTGTCAACCAGGGCATTAACAACGAGGTTGACCGGTACCTGTAGAGGAATACTTTATGTGAATGGGTTACGGCTGTTTTGAGTAGCATGTGTGATTGTGAATAATACCGAATCTCATAATTCATTATTACTGTGTTGGATTTGTAAATGTCGACGCGGTTTCTCGAGCTTCGAGTCTAGATTGACTGCAGCCAACCATTCCACCTTATCATATTAAAAAGCCACATACCTCATCGCAGAAATAACAAAGAAACAAAAAAAGCCATATGACGACCTCGATCTACTAGCCGCAGGACGAATCAAACCAATGACAGACGCAAATCGCATATGGTGCCATCTTAGCGTGTTTACCCCTCATAGGCGTGTGGCTGAAGCTGAGTACCGCACTAAATTTCCTTCTGCTGCTGCCTATCACCCGTAGACCCGCGCATCGCCATTCTCACAAGCTCAGTTGTCCATTCGATGTATTTCATTCGATCGGAAAAGATACAGATACATAGACAATGAGCCTTTGGTAGAAGGTTGACTTGATGAGGTTCCTTGACAGATGAAAAAGCATGGAAGTATGGTAGAAATGGGATGATGAAGAGGGGCAGAGGCTGCGAGCCACTAGTCTTTGGACTCGGTTGCCTTATTATCGTTCCAGATCCCGAGGAAAAAGCAATTTCGAGACGAGGAAGATAAGTCCGATTGAGTTGATTAATGCCAGTAAGATTCATACGTGGGAACTTACTAGGATGATCAAGACCCAAGGTTTTCTACGAAAACCTTTTCGCTCTTGGACATAATAGCTTTCATTAATTAATCCAGGTACTCCTCCGTGTAGACCTCTCGTACGGGGATTGGCTAGATTGTTGAACCTGTTCGGCGTTAGGGGTATCGGTGACTGCACTAGCAGGACTAGTAGTCCAACCGGCCCTTTTTACATTGATCCACGCAGCATATATAACCCGACAAAGACTTTATATTCACAAACAATGACAAGCTTGATAAGCATTTACAGGCCACTTGGCTGACTATGTTCAATTCACAATTCGCTTGGTTATATACAAAGATCAAACTCAACCTAAACATTGTAGGTGTGGGAGTTGATGTTAATGGTCGACACCGTCCAGGTCTTGCCGTTATCCGAGGTCGTCAGTCCGGACGAGGTGGCCTCATTGATAGCCAGGGTGTTGCCGAAGGTGCTGTCTTCCGCGTTCAGGATGATGGTAGTCTCAAGATATTCTGAATAACCGGTTAATACTCCTCTGTGTAACGATGAAGGATAGGAAGACTTACGGTGAGCTGCCACGGTGCTGTGGCAGGCATCGTCCTGGCATTCGACAGCCGTTCCCCAGCCCTGGGCTTCTCCGGAGCCTGATGGTGCTTAGTATTCGCGAGAAACGAGATGTTAATGAAGAGAACACTTACTGGTTGACAGGGTAGACACGACCTTGCCGTTAATCGAGACTGTCTGGTCGTACTTGCCTGTGCTGTCGTTGTACTTGTCTAATCGGATACGAGTGAGCATGAAGCTGCAAGAAGTGCTGCTGAGATGGTAGGGAAATGACATACAGTGCATGGTCAACTTGTCACCAGCAGAGGCCGGGACTTCCGTGCCACCCAGTTGCGTGCCTGTGATCAAGTCAGTGACGGGCCCCATCATGATCAGAGTATGAGGAGCTACCTTCGAGCGTGCTAGCCCAGGTACACCATTGACCGGAGCTGGCACCACAGTTGCTGCAGATAATTTTAGCAATTGCTATCAATCCTCGCATTCGCCTTTGTCATCAACTTACGCGTTGGGGTCAGAGAACGAGACAGCCAGAGCCTGGATCAGATCTCCGCCACTGGTGCCCATGCCGGGCCAGAGGGCAAGACGATCCTTCTGAGGGCTAGGGGCCTCTGGCAGGACCAAGGTGGTGTTGGCCTCTCGAATCCACGACTGGGTAGGTCCCAGGGAGAAATAGGGCCCAAAGCCGACCGTGCTTTGGCCGTGAGCGGCTCCGATAGCGGCCAGGAAGGCAAGGGCTTCGATTCCACGCATTTTGATTCGGTGATGCTTTTATGAAAGGAGCAATAAAACTGAACCTCGACAGCAGGCTTGGAGTTGATTGTGTCGTTTCTCATGCTGGGTCTACCCCGACTTTATAAGCCCGAATCCTAACGGCAAAGGAAGGCCCTCCGTGCCGTCCAAACCAAGGGGAGGCTTCCACTCCACACCGGAGTGTCACCAAGAACGGTCAGTTGTTCCGTATCCCTTTGGTGTTCTGGATCCCTGTTCTGCAGATATTTTCGGCCCAGAATTGTTTCAAGTCAGTTCGAGATATCCACATCTGGGCGTCCCGCAGACCCTGAGGGATTCTAGCGTGGTCCCAGGCCGGCCCTAGTGTCAATCCCCTACGCTTCGAGGCCCACCAACGTTTCAACAGGGCCCCTGAGGTGTAGATCCTTACCCTGACGGGGGAGAAGGTATTGAACATGTTACTTGGGGATATTGCCCGTCTGTAGGGCAACATGCCATTTTCGCACGAATAGGAAATGAATCTCCGACATCCTAGAGACGATGTTCCTGAATCATTTGCACCGGTAGACAGACCGAGTATGACACCCTCCTGTCGTTGTCCTTATCATATTGCCCATCCACTGAGATGACAAGTTCCCCACAGGGGATCAATATGTCAGAATGACCCCGCTACAGCCCGGCATAATCAAAACCCTGGTACTACTAAATTGCTGGCCAGTTAGGGCTCCTGATTCGTGTTCATGCCTCTGGGTGCTGGGATAGGATCAATAGCGGGCTTACATATGAACCAGGACAAGGCGGAGCATGTAGTACAGAGGGACCAAGTGGGATTTGTATGTAATGATGAAGCGCATTCGTTATTGACTGCACGTGAAGCATGGCGCCCAGTCGCGCAGTACACGATTCCTCGAGCAATCATCCCTTGATGAACCTCCGAGGTGCAAGACAAACCAGGTAATCAATTTAAGTAGAAGTCAATACTACGCGTCTTCCTACAAACACCCCGCACGATCAAAGAGTCCTACGATATAACAGGATTAGTCTCTCATTAGATTATTCTCGCCAAGCCTGTATCTGCAGATATCTCACTGAAAGATCGAGTACAACGTTGTGATTCATCCTGCCCAGAAAGCATTTGCACCTGCGAAAGAAAAAAACCTACCGCAAAGGGTTTAGAGCTGCAGGGCGTTGCCGTGGTACTTCGGTTGCTCAAAGGCTGCCGAGACACTGATTTCATCAGTCCGTTCCGGGAATCCGTCAAAGGACTTGGCATAGGTCGCAATGGAGTGGGCGACGAGCTAGAAACCAGCATATTAGCAACAGAATGACCCGCATAAGGGTAAACCCATCCGGGAGCCGTCCTACCTTGGTATTCCATTCCCACGCAGTCAAGTTCAAATTGGCCACGGTGTCGCAGAGCTGGTGGTAGCACGGGTCATACCATTCACCAGCGACACCCCCAAACATGCTCTCTTCCTCGATCGTCTTAATCCCCTCAGCGCCCGTGGCAATCCCACCACCCGGGATACCGTTACGGATAAAGGCATCGTAGTCGCTGCGTCCATCGAACGGGATGTACGTGTAGTTGAAGCCGTGATCCTCGTAGAAGTCGGTGTATAGATCGCGAAGCTCTTCCGATCCGTTAGGGTTGACGGCATTGGTAGCATTGTATACCTGGTACGCAAAGTTTGGCGAAGCGAGCATGTCGTAGTCCATGAAGAGGCGGATCTTTCTGTTCTCTTCCGGGGTGAGAACCGAAACATAGTAATCGGATCCGAGGAGGCCTTCCTCCTCTGCGGCCCACCAAGCAAAGCGCACACAGTTGTTGACACTGAATTGAGTGAGAAGGGTCGCGAGTTCTAGAAGGGTCAAACTACCAGACCCATCGTCGTTGATACCGGGGCCCTCGGCAACGCTGTCACTGTGGCCACCCAGCATGACACAGTTGTTGGGATCACCATCGGTGGTTTGAGCGATAATGTTCGTGGTATCAATGGACTCAACAATGGCATCCACGTAGGCAATGGCATCAACCTTCTCGCCCTTCTTCAACTGCTCTAGGACCGGGGCTGCATCGGTGTCCGAAATACCAAAGGTGGCGACGTGATCTGGGGTCGGAGTACCTAGCGTTCCACTTAGGTCGCCAGGCTCGTTGTTGTAGACGACAGCAGCGACAGCTCCTGCTTTACCGGCGAGCTCCGACTTGGTTCCAAACGGACAACTTCCCCGACTGATGAATGCAACAGCCCCGGCCAGATTAGAAGGATAGTCCGAGGCCTCGCACCCGAGATTGGATACTGCGACCACGGGACCATAGACCGGTTCTTTATTGCCGGTTGGGGGAGTCAGACCCATTGGCGTAGCGGATTTGGGGACATCGTGGCCAAGGACGAGACGAGACTCGAAGACGTTGCCCGTCACGGCAGGGAAGGACTGATTGGAGACAGTATAGTAATCACCGAGCTCGAGAAGGGTCGAATAGATATAGTCGAGAGTACCCAGGTGACCTAAGGAAGGTAAGAAAGAGAGCGCAAGTCAACCAGAGTAGGTATACCTTTGCTACCAATGACGCGGGTGGGATGGTTATATTCATGTTCTCCCAGCTCCGCAATCTTGTACAGTTGCCGGGCCCGGCTCAGCAGATTCTCAGCCTTGACCTGTTCTTGCAGCAAAGGGGAGCTAATCAGGGGCTTGTCGCCCGTGACAGGGGCCTGCGAGTGGGAATTGGAGCTTTGCAGCAGGGGCAGTTGCAGAGCACCCACCTGGCCCAGGAGCATTGGGACCAGAGGTAGCGTCGCGGAGTCAATACGCATGATGGGCGAGGAAGAATAGACGACGAAGGATAGATGAGGAGGATAGGTGATCGAGGACTCCGCCAGAGAAGGAGAAGGAGCCTGGAAAGAGGAGGCTGGGGAGAAGGGGAGAGGCAGAGGAGAGTTAGCAATGACTGGTTGGAACTTAAATACGACCGGAGCTGGAACTCAAGGAAGGGGAGCTGCCAGGAACCGGTCAGCTGATAACGATAAGATAGCCCCGGAGAGGCGGGCACCGGACCTGCTCGATCGGGATTAGCGGCAGTCGCGTCATCTCCATCCCGAGGATCTTGATCAGCATCCCTCCTCCACACGCCAGGTTCGCGCCAGTACCCCTGTGATCGGGACCATTCTGTTGCAAGTGCCATGCCTCCAAGCTCATACTCGATTGAAAAACATTCGCTAATTCTTTGAATCATAGAGAATTCCAGGAATCGTGTCCTTTGCCTTCCCCACGCCCTCCCGTGAAGTCCGACGGCAAGCACCGAGCTTCCGCTTCTCAACTGGGCGGGTTCCTTCTCTGGACGAATTTGGACACTCCAGCAAGATGTAGATCCGTTCTCGCAAGGCGAAATTTTCCCGATCGGAGATGCCACATAGCTAGGTGCTCGTTGCCGGCTGAGCTACGTTGGATGATGAGCAGCTTCAGTGATCGGGCCATGCAGCCCCATCCATACGAGAGTAGAGGGCGGTCCGGTTGGCTGATACCCGTGTCCCATTAGGAACAGGAATCGGTGTAGTCCACGTCGGCGTATGACCCGGGTGCGCATCCCTGTTGCACCACTCACGGATGCTTGTGGCATAGTTGCGGTACACGGTCAGGGGTTCCCTTCTCTGAGAAATACTCTGTCTATCAACGAGGGGAAAGACGCTGCTACTATCCTGCATATGCCGCGTATTCGAACAGGGCTGCCCCTGGGGGTCCAGGCCTCCCGCCCAAAGACGGCTCGCTCGACCTATAGCAGATGCCGTGAGCCTGCTTCGTACGAGCTCCATTGCCTTCTCCCAAAAGGCACATTGGGGTCGCTCCTCGTGACAGATGAATGGCTATTCCAGCCAGACTGACCAATAAGTGTCCTGCCACTCAGTCATTATCATAATGCCTCGCGATGTTCATGGCTAGCTAGGGCGAAGACCCACCAATGCAACCCCTCAGGCCTCCATCGGTCGTTTACGTCGTGCGCCGTTGTATACCTGTCCTCTTGCCAGCCTTGATTCTAATATCTCGGCCACAATTGCTGCTGCATCAATGGCTTGCTCTTCACGAGGGCTCGTAAAAGCGTCGCGTCTCTGTAATTCAATACTAAGATATGCCATGTCTTAACCATGGTAATTCCGGTAAGGTGAAATCCCAACTGCAGCTCCTGTTCACCTGGACGTCGCTGCTATCAGCCAGACACGGTTGGGTGTGATGGTCTCCTTCCAGCATCGGGGAGGATAAAATGTGCCGGTTCCATCACCGGATGGTGAACCCAAATTCTTACGGATCGTGTTACGTCACTTTGGCCTCATCCGAATTTTAAGCAAAGCTGTTTGCGGTGATGTCCCATGCCCAGATCTACCGTTCTTAAGACTTCTTCTACAGGCTATCCTGCACAGTACTGTTTCCCCCTGGTGATGAGGACCATTCGATATGGTTTACGCAGAATGGATCATGATGTCATTCCTAATCATGGCATACCCTATTTCCCATAGAGAAGCCAGCTAAGGGTGTTTCATCCTCTCACATGGTATAATCTGGAGAGTCTTACAACGAGATGTCGGACGAGGAGGCCCAGGACACTCGTCAGCCCACAACTCCGATATGTATTGCGATATGCAACTTCTCCTCGCAGTGGTTTCTCATACCACAAGGTACGGGTATCATTGCTGTTATTCTTCATCAATTGGACTATCATTTCGATGGTCTGGAGATCATCTCTGAGGTGGTCTGGGTGTATACAATCATACTGCTAGCGCTAGGCGTCTCTATCTACCTTGCACGAGTCTTCATGTACCCGCGTTGTGTCGCGCGGGCACTCCGGACAAGTATGGTGGAAACATCCTGCCTTGCCAGCATCCCTATCACCCTTACCACCATTATTCAGATGATCGCTTTGACTATCGCTCAGCAATGGGGTGCAGGATGGCCGATAGCCTCGTACGTCCTGTGGTGGGTCAACACAGCCATGGCTGTAGTTGCCGTCATGGGCATACCATACATCTTTATCAACCTCCATTCCCCGGGAGTCAAAGCCGTTGTGCCATCCGTCCTGCTTCCATTGATCTCTACTTTGACCTCTGCAGCAGGTGGGGGCATCGTGTGCGAGTATAGCGGCGTCAGCGCCCGACTGCAAGTTCCACTTGTCATCGTAGCATACCTCGAAATCGGTATCAGCATCCCTCTGGCCATGGCCTTTGACGATGTCTTTGTCGCCCGTCTGTTCGAACGCGAATTTCTGCCTATGAGTCAGGTCTACCAAGACATGATTCTCTGTGGTCCGTTTGGACAAGCCAGCTTCGCGCTGCTGATTCTCGGCCAAGTGGTGCGCTCCGGGGCATTTGCGCAGTACGATCGGGGGACCTTCCTGTCAGCTGAAGCAGCGGTTCCAATCGGCTACGCCAGTCAGTTCGCCGGGCTGCTGTCCTGGGGGTACGGGACCTTTTGGTGGGGCTATGCCATCATAAGTATTGTGCATACAGCTTTTAAGCAACCAGGAGGCTGGCGGAAGACGCGCTATTCTCTTTCAGCATGGTCTTTGGTATTCCCATGGGTGAGCAGGGCTTCTATAAAATCATCTTAAATATAGCTATCATCTAATGGCATCTCTAGGGCGTTTATACCAATGCGGCAGTGGAGCTCGGGAAGGTCATGGACTCACCCGCGTTCAGGGTGTGGTCGACGGTGCTGCTTGTCTTGCTGCTCATTATATGGATTGTGAACCACATCTTCACCATCAAAGGTCTTATTACAGGGCAACTCCTGTCGCTCCAGCATGGATGGCGTGTAGGTCACTACCGGGCCGGTGAAGTTGACAAACAAGTATAAGCGACCAGCTCGAAATCATCCATTTTCTTACGAATTACATCGGGCTCAAGGTCTACCGCTCGTTTGCAGGTTACCACAGGTTTCACCTTCACCGTGCTGCACATCCTGCCTATATTAGGGCCTGTACTTTCGTTTTTCATTTCTCATTGATATACCGGACCGGCAATGCTTTCGTTGCCTTTGTTGTACCCAGATTACCAGGCGCTTTTAGAAGAATACATCGCATCAGAACCTTCGGTTCAATCAAAAGTATTATTCGCCGCCTCAAACGCATCTGCCTCATTTTGACCCGACACGCCCTTCTTCATCCTAGCGCCATCGGTAAAAGACCATTGATCAGCGACAGGGTTACCATTCTCGTCCACTGTGGTCTCGAACCACTCCTCTGGGCCCCAATTAGAAGTTAGATCTGCTGCTTGGGATCGCACACCAGCCGAGTGCGACGCATCCTGCAATCGTTGCGAGGTCCTTTGATCCTGGGTGGTATTGCGCAGGCGTCGACTCTGCTCCTCGTCTTGGGGGTAGCGGATCCCGATATCAGTCTTTGTGTGCGGCATTTTGGTGCTTGTGAATGGGTCTATTGGTGTTAGCTTTATAGTCTGAGTAGTTGAGTCGGCGTTGGAAGAACATACAATGTTTTCAGCGGTCGTCTGTTATCAAATCGATTGGTGATCATTAGAAGACCCAAGTTTACCAGCTGCTCTGCCATTATTATATGCTCTACTCTCGCCGGTTACTGTTCGTATCCTGACGTTAAAAGTACTTAACCCCATGACGCAGTTCGCATCGCCACCATCGAGCTCTCTGATGCAGACAGTCACAAAAAGTGAGATACACCTCGTCCTGCAAACCATGATGGAGGACATGCATTTTTAATGGCTAATGTGGGTCGAATTAGACTTCGCACAAAGGCATTATCCTGCTTACTTTAGCTTTCATCCGAAGTCGAGGTTTCATCAACTGACGTGGATGATATCAGGGTAAAGCTTCATGATCTTGGTTTATTGTGGCATGCTTGCCAACATTCTTAGCATTTGGATTGTAGTTTATTGCGATGTTGCGTGGTGCTTAACATCTAGTGTATCTGAAGTTGGGTAAAGGATCATGTATTTATCACATGTTCAAATTCAATTAATGATTTGTCAAAGAGATGTAATATGTAAGACTACTTGAAGTACATATTGAAACGAGAAACCTTACCACTTACCTGTATTGCTTAAATACTAGGATGGTGGAAATGATAGGAGTTCCGACAAGTTCCGACACATCAGCTGCCGCGACACTCTTCTTCGAGAAACGGCCACCCAGACCTCTTTCACTCGCCAAATCAACAGGTCTAGTAGTGAGTAATTTGTTGAGTTTCATGCTCTGTATCAGATAAAAGAAAGTAATTCCCCTAGTGTGAACTAGTTACGCTCCACAGCCTAGGGGTCGGGTGGAATCTTTCTTGATTACCTCGACATGGTATCTGACGCTGAGAATGCACACTTTCCCAGCTTTACACGGATGGAAGTGGATGCAGATCGAATTGGTAAAGGGTAAAGGGAAAACTGGAGAAACTTATTATATAGATGGCTAGATCATACAACACAAACCGAAGGCAGAGGGCGAAAAGGGTGATGAAGAATACAAAGTGGGAAGGAAAGATAACAATAAAATGGTCGTGACACATGAGCAGGGCGAAGGAAGATCATCGCAGGCCATACATAAATCATGCAGATCATATCCATGAAGCCAGAACAACGTCCCAGGCCTCTTCACTTGCCGCCAAACCCGGGGATCGCACTCCCCACACTCTTCGCACCACTAGCAAGGGAGGACCCGGCCGATTGCACTCCTGACGACAGACCCTGGCCTGCACGTTTGGAGCTATCGACAACAGGATCCGTCACCCCTCCCAGAGGTCCTCCGTAAGAGCCATTCTCGTCTTTTCCTCCCCTCTCAGCGCGATTGAAGCCCTCCTTCGAAGCCATGTTCCCAACGGGAGCCAGCAGACCGTTTTCGCCTAGTTGGTTCCCGACCACCTGATTCACGTCGTCCTGAAGTTGATCGACTTGTTTTACGCCGGTGACCTTCGTTTTGGAGAGGTTATCTGTGGGAGTCAGCTAACGCGCCAGATAATAGCAGGTGGAAAGTGCCTTACCCTTGGTTACGTAGGAGGCCTTGTTGTCGCCTTTGCCGAACCACTTAAGGTACTGGTCCTCTAACCAGGGCATCCACTTCTCGTATTGGTCATTGTAGGCTTCCTGGACCCATTCCGTGAACGACTGCTTGTTGCGTTGTTCGGTGGGAAGGTTGTTGTATAGCTGCCGCTGCTCTTCTTCGGTGTGGGTGAGATTATCGGTGGTTTGCTTGATGGAATCCATTGCGGCTCTTGATTCTAGACGTGGTGGACGATAAGGTATTTTGGTCAAGAAGGATGATATGCTGATGGAGAAGGCTTCCGAACACTTTCCCTCTCCCCGGGGTCAGATATAGATGGATGTGGAAATGACATGACGTATGTGGATATGCCTAATGCAGGGAGTCCACGCGGCAGAACTCAGAGTAGACGTCAGGCCTTGGCAAATGGCGTTGAGCGTGGTCCATGTTCAGTGGCCTGGAGAGAGAAGGACGGATTGCGAGGGTGCGCCGCGAGGTCCAGGTAGTGACGTCATCTGACCGACGTCGCCGTGGGGAAGTTCATAAAGATGGATGCATGCATAGCTTATGTAATTTAATGTGATTGATGCACTTTCACGGTTATTTTCGACGGAATTCTGTTTTCCCACCAATCGGCAATATTTGTGATCTATAGTAGCAGGCACTTGTCCTCAAGGATAACGATACCCCAATGAAAGGACAAGGTGCAAGTCGAGTAGAGACCCGTCATCTGGCTATGTGGAAATGGAGTTCTGAATCGCAGTGATTCCCAGAAGGTCCTCTCTAGCCTTGGTGATCGGCAATGTACCCACTCGCTTATACGTACATAGTAGCTCGACATGACCGATGTCCAGTTTTCTTATCAAGTTCAGCAGTTGGACCGGCGCTGTCAATTGCGTGGCCTTGTGCTTGTGAGCCCAAACGAAACATTTTACTGTGGATGGGCCACCGGAGTTGAGTAGAATGAAAAAGAATCAGTAGACAAGTTGAAAAAAAAGTCCGAATATATTAAAAGCCAGACTGGAACAATGTGAAGTACGGAGTAGTACATTGACAGATACCAAGCTGCGTGAGCAACAAGTAGGATTCCACTGCATGGGTGGCTGGCAGTTCACAGTAGGCGGCGGCACATGATCAATAGCCGGTGCCTCACCGTAGGGGGAGAAGTGAGGTAGCTCCCCTTCAGAAAGCTCGCCTCAACTACAGAACATCAACAACCCACAACGCACAGCTTTCCTTAATCCTACTCGGATCAGTTATAATGAAGATAACTCACTGTTTGTCTAATGGTTTTACAGTCATTCTCGCTTAGTACATATCAACGCTGACCCATCAAAGCAATGCAGTTCATCACGCCATCTCATCATGTGTCGACACAATCACCTTTTCAGGCTCATTGATGCTCTTTTGCCGATGTCGCTCAAGCTCCTCCCCGAAACGATCAGGAATCTGGTTAGTCCTCCAGGGCCTCAGCTTGGTCTCGAACATCATGTCAATATCCTCGAGCGACCGGCGAGCCGTCTCCGGGTAGAAGAAGAAGACATGGAAAGTCATAACGGTGCAGAATACCCCGAAGATAATGTAGGTCTTCCACTGGATGTTGGTAAAGGCTGGTGCGACGAAGTATGCCAACGCAAAGTTGAAGATCCAGTTCCCGGCGGCTGACAGACCAACACCCTTGGCACGATACTTCAGGGGGTAGACTTCCGATGCGTAAACCCACGCCACAGGGGCCTATAACATGTCTATGTCAGCATTTGTTTGTCTGGATCGTTTCGAGGGGCGGGAGCCAGCATACCCAGGTGAAACCGTACACAGCGACGAAAATGTACGAGACGGCGATGACACCCTTGCCTGGTGGGCCAGTGATTGACCACTTCAGGTTTGCATTACCATCGACCGAGTCAACGTGGTGGCCTCGTGTGGCCATGAGGGCCGCAATAGTAAAGTGGCAGGCCATACAGAGAACTGATCCAGTAAGGAGCAAAACCCGCCGACCGATGCGATCAACAAAAGGCAGGATGGCCCCAGTGGTGACCAGGAAGATCACATATTGAATAGCCGATGAATATAGGGTGGTGTTTCCAGACTAGAGGATATTGTGAGTCTCAGACACTGCAAGGGGTGGCGAAATAGACTTACCATTCCAGCCATGTTAAAGATGTACACGACGTAGTACATGGCGACATTGCCTCCCAGCAACTGTTGCCAGACTTGGGCGCTGACACCGCACAGGGTTCGCTGCCACATTTTGGGCCCGAACAATGAGAGGAATGTAACATCCTTGGCCTCCTGGGCGATCCGTGCTGCTTCCTGAACCTCTTCAAATTCCACCTGAACCACAGGGTCGTTGCGGTCACCCTTGGCATGAAGCATGGCCAAAACGTCAAGAGCCTCCTCCCAGCGCTCCTTACTTGCCAACCAACGCGGGGATTCGGGGAAGAACTGTAGCGCAGCAAGCAGGATCAACGCTGGGATACCCTGGACACCCCATGAAACACGGAAGGAAGCAGCTCCCGCCAGTCCCTTTCCACATCCGTAGGAAATGAGATACATGATGAGCATACCCCATTCAATAGCCCACTGTTGGATACCGACGATACGACCGCGGATACGGGCAGGCGCCAATTCGGCTAGATAGACGCAGACCTGGGAAGAGGTGATACCGACTAACGGACCTGTTAGCATGTAGCCGATCAGGGGGGAAGTTGGGGGTTATACCAGCAAGACCGCTGATCACTCGCCCAGCCACCAGATGAGCTACATTCTGGGCGCTACATTGAACGGCAGCGCCAATGACCCAGATACAACACGCGATCATGAGAGAGTAACGACGTCCGATGCGGTCCGATAGGAAACCGGCAGCAAGAGCACCCGCAAAGGAGCCAGCCGACATGGACGCGGTAATCTAGTGAACCCATGAGGTGATCAGCCCTTCTTCGCCTGTGATGATTCAAAAAGCAAGGGATTACTTACGCCACCTTGCAAGTCGGAGTCGGGAGAATGAAAGTACTCCAGGTACTGGTCAGTGCCAATCCAGGCACTCATGGAACTGACATCGAAGCCGAACAAGGCACCACCAATGGTGCCGAAGGAGGCCAGGACTGTGTATCGCGGTCAGCGCGAGTCAAGGGCTGTCACCAGGCCTAGACATACCGTAGATATTTGAAATGCGATACATGATGTCCAGCAGTCACACCGAATTGCCCTCAATGACTGGACTGCAACCGGGTTAGGAGGCGGAGAACCGGTCTCGGGATACGGGCTACATTTATAGAGGACCATTGCCTAGCTCCCGAAGCTGCATCTCGTCGGCGACATGAACTTGGCTTCATCGCCGTGGCGTCACAAGCGGACCGGGTGCGGCGGTGAGTGGTGCGAGACACGCATGGCCTAGCCGGCTGGAAGAAGAAAGGATCGCCGGCCGTAATGCGGAGGTCCGGGGATTCATGATGGAGCACGAATCAGAGGATCCGGGGACGGCAGAGCTCCGCGTCCCGAGTGGAGGGCTTCGGGGCCCCAGATCCAGTCGGGTCATTCTTGCACGGAGATTTTCCCTGTTCGTGCCTGCCGTCCGGATGAATCCCATTTTAACCGAGGTCGGCTAGATGTCGCCTAGCCAGCTGGCAGAGGGGTCCAATCCTGGAGACCCCAGGCGGAGGAAACTTTACCACATGCCCTCGTCATCGGGTTTGCTCCATGGGGTTATGACAGGTGAGCCTTACCGGGGCCACATGCCTTGCCACGAACGAGGTACATACCGGGCCGGGAAGGAGCACGGCAACCTTGACATAGAACGTTGTCGGACCGGGATGCGGAGCTTGGTCCTCCAGCCATTGCAACTAACGCTCGGCTATCCTCGTGGCAGCTAGCCACGATGCGGTTTCCTTTCGCTCGGTACTCCTGTTACTATGTGGTAATTTTGCTGGCTTCTGATGTGACCAGTAGCTCAAGAGGTTGTCCGCAATTTTCCGGGAGGACATGCCTTTCTCCCAGCGTTACTGGACTAATAAATGACAGCGTTCCACTCCTCGTACCCCACTGCAGTTGGTTGGGGGTCCTTGAGACCAATCAGCAAGCATATGGTTCAAGCTGCATCATGGTCCTAGCTTCCCTTCAGTTGAGCTCGATAGGTTTACCGATCCCAGTACGATGAGGTCATGGAGCCCGCTACTCCTTCCCCAGCTGTGTCCATATGACTACTAGCGCCCTGTCAACTGGCAGGAAGGAGCGCTAGCGGAACCGAAGCAATATGTTGGGGAAGATGTCCACCTGACAATTCTGTTCAATCACCCGTGAATCAATCGCTCATGCTGGCGCTTCTGAGTTCCCCAGATTGTTCCGTTGCTAGAATCCAAATACGGAGTACATAGCACGCTATGACCCTGGAGCCAAATTAATGGACAAGGCATCGACAGGGCTGATGGGACCGACCTGGTACACCTGTTTGAACTCGGAGCCAATGTCGCTCCTACTGCAATGGTTGTCGCGTTATCATTAAGTACAAGGTTGAAGTGCCGCGGTTGTTTACTGCGACGACAAAAACATATTTTATGATGCAGTACTAATTCGATGCAGCGGCGATGAGTAGATGACATGTTTGAAGAGTGTGAGACAATCCTTACCAGAGCGTCTCCACACCTCTGTCATGTTTTTCATTCATATGCCGCAGCAGGTTGCAACTTCAAGGTTTGAGTGACGATTGACCTCTTAGTCAGTTCAAAGGGCTTTTGTGCGTCATCGAGACGAATGATTTGGACGGACCTCCAATTGCTCGTGTCCTCAGGACTGCAGCAACTAGCGGAATATTGCAATCCTCTTTGCAATTCAAAGTACATCTGGGGGATTAATCATGCATAGCAATATAAAAATCGCTACTGGTCATGGCTAGTCCGCCTTCCCGATCATCGAGCGTTATTATGGCTCCAAGCAACATTTTTCAAGGGGTGTAGTAGAGGAATCGAGCTGTGAGCTGACCACGAGGGTCATTCATGTTTACCGTTATATCGTGCCATAAAGATATGAAACATCGGATGCTACTATGACCACGAAGATCTCTCACCGAAGAGATATGGGTGTAAGCACATCAATTTGATGCATGTTTTCTTGGATATGGGGACTTGCGGTCAATGCGACGCGCATCGTCTTGGTCCATCAATTAGCTCCTCAGACAACGAGTGCATATAGCAGAGCATGCCTGACGAAGAACTCCTTGCGTTCGATAGTCGGTTCTTTTCCCACTGGCTCTGGGTTAGCCTTCTGCCATATATGTCTCGGCCTCGGGGTCTGACCGTCATCCAGGGTGGGAAAAAGCGATGGGAAAGGCCCTAGCCTGTTTGGGTCTCTGAAGGGCGTAGAGCATGACTCACCACTGCTTACGCTATATCTCAGGGCCGAAGACAATCTTCTTCCCCACGCTGCGTCGTGTCCATATGATATATGGCTCTCTTCATGTCCAGCAGACTTTCGACTAGGGGTGTCTATCCAAAAGTCGATTCGGTGGTCAGAATTATTGGAATGAAGAACAACAGCATTTCCGAGGTTTAATCCAAAGATGCTGTCATTTCTTTCGATCAGTTGCTTTGGAGCCTATACCCAATACCGACTGCTTTATGAGACCACATCATGCCAACAAAGCATCCAGGCCATTAGACATTGACTTCAACCCTGGTTCCCCGGCAATTTGTTGGCAACGACACTTGACACTTATTCGCCATGTATGGCATGACGGTGACACAGGAAGAAGCATGCATGCAGTACCCCGATGAAGAAAGTCAATACATCGCTTACCCCACCAATATCCACGGAGGGAGAGCTTAGAAAACAACAATGTGTCCGGGATGATTAGGTATAATGTACCTAGGCCTTCGACAGGATGGCGATGATCATGGACTGATCAGCACTGGACAACACGTCCACTTCATCTTTATGCTGATCACCTTTACTACTGTCAGCGGTGAAGGAAAGCCGCCGTCTGCAGGTGTCAGCTCAAGCCGAGGATCAGACGCAAGGGACGATGCCTGGTAGCAGTCTCCAGATTGAGCTTGTCGCTGCCCCGGAGAGGCTGAGACATTCCAACTGAGCATCGAACCAGCGGTGAACCGAGGCAAACCTTGTTGGGCTCAGTAACATTGAACCAGGAAAATAAACTGCTGTGTCTGAGTTCTCGAGAATCCATTTGGCTCAGAGTGAAGAGCAAGGTTCCATACGGTCACCCCAGTTGCATTAGGTCTGGAAACGGTCAGAACGTGGCAGACGGCTGTCAAATGAACAGATGCGCCCGTACAAAAGGGGCCCGGACTAATGTAAGGAGACCATCGACAGATTGATCGCATCAGGGATGGGTGTCAGGGAACCGCACGACGGACAAGCTATTGACGGAGAGGATCGGTCATGCTGCATTCCCGTCCGTTGGATCGAGTTGCCACGTGCCACACAGTCGGGTAGCAGGTTGCAATGTTAGGTAGGATATGATGGAGGCTGAATTTATCCAAATGAATGGCAGGACTAGGGCGCAGATCCTAATCAACCAGCAAGTCGTCAGCCGGCGATGAAATCACTCCACTCCAATGACGAATTTGTACAACTCCCGCCACCTCTCCCATGAATGGCAAGGATAATACCAAGATGCTCGCCTGATTCTCCGTGACTAACCGCAGCTTCCCGACGCGTGTGTGACGCCAATCGTCCGGGGGGGGAAGCCAATGATCAGACTGTGCGACATCCCAGATAGCCGGCTGCGGGCGGTGCAGGACATCCCTAGGCGATAGCTTAAGCCCAGAAGCCAAGCTATAATTAATTTAGCTTTTCCTCTGGTTGGCTAGCGTGCACCCGCGGTGCCACGATACGCGTCAGATTACCCCGACTGGAGAGATAACGACCACCACCCAGAGATAACCTCCCGATAGCGGATCCCTCGCCCCTGGACAACCTCGTTCATCTTCATCCCCTTGTGCCTGTCCGGAGTACGTCCATGTACTCCGCATCATGAGTTAGGCCCGGACTACACTGGCCTCCCCCGGCTGGTGCCAGCTTTATTGCCCATGTACCGCCGATCCGTCGGATCGCCACAATGTCCCAGATGCAAGGGATCTGGCACAACATCCTTGCGTCGCCCACGAGGACATGACATGAGGTGGCCTTCATCGGTAGACTTGGCGTTTCTGGGCCTTCGCTCGCATTGGTCGTACCGTTCGTCCGGCCGTCAACCCTGGCGCAAGCCTTTTCGATGATAATGTAACCTTGTGTGCACTGGGGTAACCGCGAGGCGCACTCGGCGAGGTATCATTTGTGGCAAGTTAGGCCAGACGATAACACGGCGCCCCCGATTGCCCAGCACACTCTGGGAGGATGCATATCAGCTGATAGCACAGACCGTATGGTTCTGATAACGAGTCCGGGGGACGGCTGCAATTGGCGGCCGGGGAAATGGCTATCAGTAACACTACTTCGGATGATGGCGCCAGTTGAACTTCCAGAAGGGCTCTGCTCCTAGGCCGGACGAACTGGTGCAGGATGCCAATCAAGCATGTCGCAGACCGATATGACTGGAGCTATCTGGGGGTTATCTTTATCTCTACCTGACAAGAGCCAAGCCCACTAATGGCCTGACGCAAGGCCTCTTATCTGCGAAAGAGATCGGTCTCTGCAGGCTGTAATCTGATTGGGGGATTCCGCTGTCGCAATGCGTCGCACGGCTGTCGTAGGACTGTTATAATGTCCTTGGACCCAGCCGTTGTCAGCCAAGCTCGATTCTTGACTCTTCTTTGTTGCCTTTTCAGTACTCCATCTATACTTATCGACCATCCCTCACGATGGCCGAACCATCCCCCATGGCGGCCTACGAGACCTCCAGTCATGATGCCGAGAAGAAAGGCGAGCCCGAGTCGGGTTGGGCCTCTGTTGATGTCGACTATGGTGCCGAAACCGATCTGAAGCGGAGTTTGTCCACCAGACACCTGACCATGATTGCGCTGGGATCATCTATTGGTATGGGGTTGTGGCTGGGGAGTGGTGAATCCCTGGAGAATGGTGGCCCGGCAGCCATCTTCATCGGCTACCTACTGAGTGGCACGATGATCTGGTCGGTCAGTCACTCGATCGGCGAGATGGCTGTCATGTACCCTCTACCGTCTGCCTTCACCCAGTGGACAGAGATCTTTATCGACCGGTCGGCGGCATTTGCCCTGGGTTGGGCGTATTGGTTTTCCTACTTTATCACGATTGCAAACGAGCTTCAGGTAGGCATGCAGTACATCGCTGGCTGTTCTATGCTGACCTCTTAGGGTATCGTCACGGTGCTGAACTTCTGGACGGACAAGGTGCCCATCGCGGCGTGGATTACAATCTTCTGGGTGGTGATTATCTTCATTAACGTCTTCGCGGTGCGGTTCTTTGGTGAAGTCGAGGTCATTGCCTCCTCCATCAAATTCGGCTGGATTTTCGTGGTTATCATCTCCTTGATTGGTCAGTAGCATCTATTCCTGTCACTCGGGTCAGACTGACAGTCCGGTAGTGGTTTCGGCTGGAGGTGCCCCCAAGGAGGGGCCGATTGGATTCCGTTACTGGAACTCGATGCCATTCACCAATGGCTTCAAGGGATTCCTGTCCGTCATGCCCACGTGTATTTTCGCCATGTCCGGATCGGAGAACTCGGCTCTGGTGGCCGCGGAGACAGACAACCCTCGCAAGGCGGTGCCACGCGCCGTGAGCTCCATCTGGCTGCGCCTGTCCCTGTTCTACATCCTGGGTTCGCTGATGATCACCATCACGGTGTCTCCCAAGGACCCCAACCTCTTCGGCGGCTCGGGCGTCAACGCGTCGCCTTTCGTCATTGCCTACCGCAACGCAGGTCTCGCACCGTTGGCGCACATCATGAACGCCGTCATCTTCATCTCGGTGCTCTCAACCGGTAGTATATCAGCCTACGGTGGTTCGCGCACCCTAATGGGTCTGACCCACCTGAGAATGGCCCCCAAGGTTAGTCCCCCTGCCCATCTCCCCGCCTCATCCACCCACTGACCCCGATCCCACGCTTTCCCTAGATCTTCGGCAAAGCCGACAAGGCCGGTCGCCCTGTGGCCGGGTTAGTGATCACGCTCGTCATCGGCGGCGGTCTCGCCTACCTGAACGTCAACAACAAAGGCTCGACCGTCTTCAGCTGGTTCTCAAACCTGACCTCCCTATTCACGCTCTTCGGATGGGGCACCATCTGCCTATCCCACCTACGCATGCGCTACGCATGGAAAATCCAAGGCCGCTCCGTCGAAGACCTACCCTGGCGGTCCTGGACGTACCCCTACGGCGCCATCTGGGGTCTGTTCTGGTGCATCATTCTCATCATCGCCGAATTCTACCTCAGTTTATGGCCTCTCGGCGGTAACCCCACGGCCAAGGGCTTCTTCGCGAACTACGTGTCGGTCGTGGCGATCTTGGTGCTGTATGTTGCTGCTCGGTGCTATTACCGTGGTCGTTGGTGGGTGGACGCTAGTACGATTGACTTGGATGGGCCCAGACGGTTCTATGCCGATACGGCGGATGAGGAGGCCAAACCGGCCAAGACAGGCTTTAAGAAGTATGCGTCCATGGTGGTGTCGGCGGTGTTGGAGTGATACAGTGTAGTGCAGCGTAGTGTAGTATAGTCTAGTAGGACTTTGTGATATCCATTTGTTTTATTGTTATGACACTTTCTTTAAAAAGACTACTGCGTAGATTACGAATCCTCTAAGGAAACCAGAAATAGTAGCCACAGCTACTACCCACCACATCCTGCTAGAGGGATAAAGTTGAAGCTTTCCCCCACCTGGCAATATTGAATGGGACTGCGATGAAAGGTCTCCATCAAAGTCTTCTTATTATTCTAGTAGGAAAACAGGGAAATCTCCACGATCGCGAGCGCAGCCCATGTAACTGGATTAACCATCCCACGGCATAGCAATCTGAGTACTACTATGTTCCGTCATCCATAGACACATCAGGTTCGTCCGGTTCCTTGCCGTCGTGGAGATTCAGTGTCCGGAAAAATGATCTCCACGTACTACTGGTCCCTGGACCAGCCCTGTTCAGCGTGGATATATGAACCTGAAGAGCAGAAACCTCTGAACATGCTCCTTTGCATAGGTTGCATAGTCTGGAGGCTTTGTGACTCGCTGGAGGGTTGGGGGCGGAAATGGAGGATGTTCAGCGTGCGAAGTAGTGGGCTGGGGATGAGGTTATACCAGTTGAGAAGGATGATCTTGAGATGGCTTACGAGACGTTGGAGTTCTGTATTCCGAGTAACATGATGAAAATATACACCAAAAGGCGCTATTATCATGATACTTACGACATTGAGGGGAGTCTATATATTGGAGCTACTAGTACTGGGTACTAAAACACATAACTACTACTAGCATCCATCGAACAATCAATTGATGTAGAATTGTATATTCGGACTCGACAACGTGGTATTTCCACGTAGAACAATATAACTATCTCCCACTTCATTCATACACCCTCCTCCAAAAAATGTCCAATATCTCACTGCCCAAGAAATATCCCTGTGTGGCAGTGTGCTGAACCGCGCGGGGGCAATCGGGACGGGGAAGGATGGATGGATGCTGATAAGGGGGCTCCCGGCCCCGCCCATGGTCCACTTCCCCTCCCTCCCACTCTCGTCGGTCAGGCACCAGATAGTGGGGGGGTCGAATTCAGGGGTGATTATTGTTCCTGATGTGTCGGGGGTGTCTCTTCTCGGATGTGGAGGATGGAGAGGACGGGGATGGCGGATGCGACCGTGGGATGTTGAGAGAGGGTTGCGGGTGTGATTTGTGGTGGTCTTTGTTAGACGGGGTGGGGATGGCGGGGTGACATTGTGACTTGCGAAAATGGACATGGTCGGACGGAGCGAAGAAGGGAGCAGATAGCAGCTATGGTAGAGGATGATGGCTCAGATCGAAGTAGATGGCTTATTGTGTATTTGACGAGATTGAGGAGTCCGCTCGGGGCGATTGTGCGGTCGCAGATGTACGGAGGGTACGAGGACAGGGTATCTATCAATTCATCGCTGTCAATAGTCTATCTATCAGTCTTGCGACACTAAATCTCTTGGAATGGGTAGAATTCCCAGGTTCTTTTGCCAGGGGCCCTGGTTGGAATGGTCGTGATGGTCACGCGACCGGCGTGATGCTGAAAAAATTCCACGGCACCGTCGACGGCTACCGTCCGCCGTACCTAAGGGACAAGGCGATCGCGAGGAACCATCTGGCTGAGAGATTATGCTCCGTCCTCAGAAACCTGCTATTATCGAGTATCGACCATCTCGCTGGCAAGACCAGCCACCCAACGTCGGGCTGCATGGAATCGACCAACAAGTGCCTGAAGTTATCCGCCTGAGGCAGGATGCCAGCAGTGCACTCCACTCGCTCTGCTCGCTTCACTCCGGCTCTGCACTTACGACTTTGCCGAAGACCAAGATGATGACGTTGTGCTCCATTGCAAAGGCGACGACAGGTGATACTCAGAGTCTGTCAGATTGACTGACAGACAGTGTCAGACTCAAGGCGAGGAGACGACCGCCCGCAGCGGGGAGACCCATCATATGAATAATGATTTGGGCATGGTCGGATGAGGCGAGCGCGCCTGTGGCTGCCCAGTGGCTAAATGGGCTGCAGGACCCAGGGATGCGTTGGCCGGGGAAGTGATAGGCTGCCGAGACGCCAGATCAGCAACCATCGCGGAAGCAATCCCAGCCCTGCAGCTGCCTGGTGATGCCCCTCAACTACCCCCCCTGGCCAGGGCGTCCCTGGCTGGCCCCTGCTCTTCGTTTCAGGTTGCGTGTTTCACCAGGGCCGATTCGCAACACTTGGAATGTCCATATCCTCATCTTCAGCATCACGGAAGCTCCACTGCCAGAGCCCCCCCCCCCCCGATGACAGGATGTTTTGGCTGGAGTTGGGCTGCCCAAGTGGCGGTGAATGGCTTCACTTCCGACCAACTGGGAAAGGACCAACCATGGCTAGCACCGGCCAAACTACCTGTCGCCCCGTCATAGGCAGGCCTCTCTGATTTCGTCCATCAGCCGGACTGCTTCACTCGGGGATTTCTGCTGCCCAGCCTGCACCTGTGGTTAAATAACCATGGCAAGCCGCTCCAGGAACTTTTCCAACACCCCTCCACAACTCCTATCTGCTACGTTGAATGAACAAGTCCTTTTCCCTACACCCCTTCATGCTCCCGATCGTCGGGCCCTTTCTCACACGACTGTTTCTCTACCCATTTCGCAGCATGGACTGCTCGATGACCCGGCCGTCATCGACGTCGCGGTTCCCTTTCTTCCCCTTTTCGCTGTGGTCCTCCAAGCGACCGCAGCAGTCGTCCGCAACACAGACCCCCGCGCAGACATCGCCACGCATCATGGCGCAAACACAGACTCAAGTACAGGCTCCCCCGCCATCACAACCAGAGCCCGAAACCCCACCCCCGCCACAACCAGAGACCCCCCGCATGCCGGCGCCGGCGCCGCCTCAGGCCACGGCGGAGGAACTGGCCGAGCGCGATCACCAGAATCGCGAGACGGCCCGGCAAGAGGCTGTTAATGAGCTGGACAGCCTGGTTGGCCACGACAATGTCAAGCGCCAGCTGCATGGCGTCCAGACGTGGGTGCAAATCTGCCGTCGCCATGGCCGCGACCCCAAGAACGAGTGGTACAACATCGCCTTGCTGGGAAATCCCGGCACCGGCAAGACCACTGTCGCGCGGATCTACGCGAAGATGCTCTACGCCATGGGCATCTGTGACTCGCATACCGTCTGCGAGACCACTGGCGCCGACCTGGCCAGCCGGGGGCCGAACGGTGTGCAGCAGTTGCTGCGCAACATGACCGACGCGAAAGCCCCGGTGCAAACGGCTGGGGTGCTCATCGTCGACCACCCTCATACTCTGATTGACGCGCCCCCGACGCCGGCGACCGAGCAGGCTCTCGAAGACATTCGCCACGCCATGGAGCGCAACATTGGCCGCATTATTGTGGTCTTCACCGGCGGTGCCGACGAGATGACGGGCTTCCTGCGGGAGACCCCGGCACTCCAGCAACGCATCTGCAGCTCGCTGCGATTCCACGACTTTGACCGTCAGGACCTGGTACAGCTGCTGGCCCGCCGCATTGTGACCGAATACAACGGTCGCATGCAGGTCGAGGGTGGCCTTGAGGGCACCTACATGCAGGCTGCTGCCCGCCGGCTGGTCCGGGGGCGTGCCGCCAAGGGCTTCACCAACGCTCACGCCGTGCGCGAGATGGTCAAGACCATTGCCCAGCGTCAGGCCCTGTGCCTGACAGATCAGCAGGACAGCGGCATGGACGAGGTGGACTACTTTTTCTTCTCCAAGGATGACGTGCTCGGACCGAGCCCGGCAGTGACCAAGTCGGAGAGTGCAGCGTGGGAAGCCATGCAGACGCTCATCGGCCAGGATGCTGTCAAGGCGTCGGTCGCCGAGGTCTTTGACACGGCCGAGGAGAACTACTACCGCGAGATCCGCAACCAGCGCCGGCTGCCGCTGCGGATTAACCGCATTTTTGCTGGACCGCCGGGGACGGGCAAGAGTACGGCTATCCGACTGTATGCCCAGATCTTGGTGGACTTGGGACTGCTGAGTGCTGGCGAGGGTAAGTACATCCTATGATATATGTTGCCAGGTATACTGACGTTTCTAGTCCGTGTCAAGCCGTTGTCGGCTCTCTGCGACCTGTCGGAGGATCAGCTCCGCGAAACGGTGGAATCGACGACCGGCCACGTCCTCGTGGTCGACGTCGACACGGATCGCCAGGAACGCCCGACCGTGCCGGACGCAGTGGTCGACATGCTGGCGGCCGCCCGCGACAACCACTGCACCATCCTGGTCGGCACCCACGACACCATCAGCCAATTCCTCCACCGCGTCGGTAGCAAAGCTCGGGGCTTTGAGACGCATCTGGTGCGCTTCTCTCCCTTGACGCGCGACCACATGGAGGAGCTTTTCCAGAGCAAGCTCGACGAGCAGGATCTCGACGCCACGCCCGAGGCCTTTCAGGCGGCCATGGACACCCTGGATAACGCGCGCATGCGCAAAGACTTTGACAACGCCCGCGCGGTCGACCACCTTCTGGCCGCGGCGGTCTACCACTTTGAGCGCCGGTCGCGCGCCGGTCCCAACACACAGCCGGCCGAACGACTGCTCGAGGGCCGCGACTTTAACCCCGAGCTCGTTGGCGGTACGACGGCGCTGGTGTTTCGCGAGGAGCTGCGCCATTCGATCGTGCCGGACGACATCATCTCCATCCTGAAGCGGTACCACAACGAGATGAAGGCCGCCTGGATGCAGGGGCTGGATCCGGGTGCCCGCATGCCAGGAACATTCGTTTTCAAGGGTGGACCAGGTATGTTAATTCCTGTAGTCCCTCGTTCTGGATGACACTAACGATTGTAGGAACCGGTAAGAAGACGGTGGCCCGCCAGCTGGGCACCCTGTACTACAAGATGGGCGCCCTCAGCGACGGAGAGTTGGTGCCATGCTCGGTCGCCGACCTGCTGGCACCGCACATCTACCCGACCTCGGTCCGGTCGCGCACGCAACTGGAGCGGAGCAAGGGCAAGGTGCTCTTCATCGAAGACGCGCACCGCCTGGCGGAGAACGAGTCGACCACGCAGGCCGTGGACGAGCTCATCTACCTCCTGCCCAAGTTCGCCGACGAGATGGTGGTGATTCTGGCCGGTCCGGCCCAGGAAATGGACCAGCTACTGGCCAACCGCCCGCGCTTGTCGGCCATGTTCCAGGAAGAGATTGTCTTCCGCAACCCGACACCGCGGGAATGCCTGCGACTGCTGGACCGCAAATTGACGGAGCAGCAGTTGCAGGGCCCCCGGCTCTACCTGACCGACCCGCGCACGCCCAGCCATCGGGAATTCACGCGGGCCATCCAGATCCTGTCGATGTTCCCCTGCTGGAGCAACGCGCGGGACGTGGAGGTGCTGGCACGGTGGATGGTGGCGGCCTGCATCCGGGATCTGCCGCTGGACGGCAGCGTGAGTGCATTGCCCGCGATGCAGCTGACCGAGGAGCAGGCCATGAGCTGCATGGTGCGGTTGTTTAATCTGAAGCGTGACCGGCTGCGGTTCAACCAGGACCCGAAGGCGCGGGCGTTGCCACGGGTGTTGTCGCAGCCACGATGCACAGATCGGACGGGCGTGAAGTTTCCTGTCTGATCTACCTTATAAGAAGGAATGAATGATGTATAGTATCAGATTGGATGGCAGATTGATTGCATGTTCTGACCACAGTCACTCATTAAACTTACTTTCCTTTGTCACTCTCTTATGTTGTTGTCATCGCATCCTTGATGCTCTTATGTTATGGATGCTACATGGACGGATTACGGGACGTCTTGCATGATGGGCGGAATATGGATGTTTTTGATTTATTGATTGCTACTATCTATTGACTTTGCATGGATATTTTGGGTTCGTTATCATCACATACTGGATATGTGTTCGCCTACATAACTGGATGTTGGTTTATATCATGGATGTTGCGTATTATATATATTAATGAACAACGGACCATCAAGCGATGGAATATACCATCCTTGTATTACAATGGAATATATTGAAACAAGCCACAAAATGAAGGCAGCATAACGAATACTCAGTATTGTCACGACCAGTTCTCCTCAGTAATACGACTAGTCATCGTACCACTCCCTTGCAGTAATACTAAATGGTAGATTGAGGGCTAGTAACACCCATTGCCGTACCACAACCCATAATAACTGACAGTCTGGATGCGGGGCACATTTACGAGGTCGAAAAGTTACAAGTCGGAAACTCTGGTAATATAATTGGACAAGATTCTCTGCTCGAATGATTCAAGTAAATGACATTCTACAACCAAGGAACGCACATAGCTGAGATATCAAGACATGTGATGTGGCGTTAAGTAGAGAGTTATAGGCATGGACCTCCCCCCCCCTTCTCGCCGCCCAGCTTGACCTACATCCAAACAGACCCCGATCAACATATATCAAAACAAAAACAAACAGTCCCCATATTCCAATTTCCTACTCTGTCAACCTAAGTGAATTTAACACACACTTCCATCCCGAAGTATCTACTACTTACTATCTACTATCTACAAATAACTATCCATCCATCCTCACCCTTCACTCGCAATCCATGGCCCTGAAACCAACAACAACAACAACAACAACAACAACCACCACCACCACCACCCTCCTCACCCTCCTCATCCTGACCCTCACCCTCCCCACCCCCATCTCCGCCAGCCCCACAGCCTACGGAATCTGCCAAGCTGGCTGCGCCGCCGTCGTAACGGCCTGCTATTCCGCGGCGGGATTCACCTGGGGTGCGACGCTGGGAGCCACCGCTCCTCCGACCATCCTGGCGTGTAATTCGGCGTTTGGGACGTGTCAGGCCGCTTGTGCGGTTACGTTGTTGATTCCGACGTTGTGATTGTGGATGAGAGGGGGGAGAGGGGAGAGGGAGGGGGGGATGTTGGTTTTGGATGTTATGTTGGATGGTTGATGATGATGATGCGGATGATTGATGGGATGTGTGAGGGGTTGGGGGTGGAGTGACTGATGATGATGATGACCATGTTTTATGGGGCGCTTTTTGGTTTGCGTGGGTTTTGTTTGGTAATTCATGGTATTGGGTGTTGGTTAGTGGATGGGTGGGGTATGGGTTTGGGCTCGTTAGGAGTAGTCGATTTGAGAAGGTTGGGTTGGAATAGAGGATGGGATGTGAGGAGGAAGGGACATCCACCTTCATTAATCAGGTCTAGTTTTGTTGGTGATCTCGTGGGTTGTCTTCTGCTTAGCATTGGTATATATGGTCTGTTGCCCTTTTCGCGGGATTTATATATCTTGATTACAACCGCGCCTGCTCTCCCACCGTCTGGCTCAACGTCCCCCCCACTGTGCCCCATTTTGCATCCACCTGTCTACCGTTAGCACCATCTTCATCAACATAGAAACAGGAGGCGGAGGGGGGGGGACCTACATCAGCAATATGATCATACCCCAACAACCTCGGTGCAAGGCCCGGATCCCTCCACGCCAACGCCTCCCCCTCTGGCGTCGGCACCATGCGCATTTTCCGATCGCGCTCTTCCTGCTCAGGCCCATCGTGCAGATGATATAAATACTGCTGCGTGTTTCCTCGTTCCACGACCATTTTCGTGCGCTGTTTGCGACATTTTTCAAAAACCGCCAGAGCGTGCCGTTTGGCGGCGAGAAACTCGGGGGAGGTTTTGGATGTGGTGGGTGTGTTGGGGAGGCGGGAGAGGCATTCGCCGAGGACGGCGCCGTCTTCGAAGGCCATTCCGGCTCTGTTGGGTGTTAGATCTGAGCACGGGGGAATAGGTGGGGGTTGGGGATACCCAGAAGCGAGATAGGGGAGAGTAGCGTGGACCGAGTCACCCAGCATGACCCATGCGCCGGAGGGATGCGTCCAGTCGTAGTCGCCGAAGCGGATGCAGAGACGCCATTTGTGCACCGATTGGCAGAGTTTGAGGAGTTTTTGGATGCTTCGTTGGTTAGTATCCATGTGGAGGCAGCAGATAGGTAAGGCTCACCGGGGATCCCATCCCTCGAATAAGGAACACATCTCCTGGACATTGCCCTCGACTGTCGAGGCGAGGGATTCCTCGGGGATATCATCGGGGACTAGCAGGACCATATTGAAGAGCTCTCCATGACGGAGGACGTAGTTCACTATCACTCATTAGCCCATTTCCTCCCAGGAAGAGAAGAGGGGTGCAACCAGCATGTTTATCCGGTCCCAACCAATAATTGACCTGCGGATCAGTGACAAACTCCCTCAACTCGGGATCCTTCAACATCTCCTCCGTCGACAACAACACCCGGTAGGCCAAATCGCCCGTCTTGACCGGCGGATCCTCCCTCCCCAGCATCACCTCGGTCAATTTCCCAAACACCCCATCCGCACTCACCACCAGATCCCCCGTCCATTCGCGTCCATCACTGGCCACCGCCGTCGCTAGGCCCCCATCTTCCTGGACCCGAATATCCACAACTTTAGCACCGCAGGTTATCTCCGCTCCGAGTTCCTTTGCACGCTCTAGCAGACAGCGCTGGAGATCTGCGCGGTGAAAATCGCGATACCAGGTGCCCGGGTAGGATTGTGCGGATTCTTGAAAATCCATCGAGGAGATGGGGGTGCCTTTCCAGGTGATGAAGTTGCAAAAGCGGGGATGGGTCATGTGCGGGGTGAGCGCGGCTTCGAGACCCCAGTGCTGGAGCACCCGCGAGCTGTTGGGGAGGACTTGGATACCGGCGCCGACTTCGCGGATCTCATGCGTCGCTTCGAGGACGTGGACATCGTGGCCGGCGAGGAGACAGGCAATAGTCGTCCCTAGACCGGCGAGACCAGCACCGATGACGAGGATCTGAGACTTAGCGTGGTTGAAGTATAAGATGGAAGAGAGGGGGAATACCTGCATCCGACAGTTGTCGGGACGCGAGAGCTTCTCTTTGATGTGGATTTTGGGAGCCATGGTGGGTGGGTGTGCTTGCTGTGATCTAGCTTCTCCTGGAAAGAGCAATCATATAAAACAATCGATGAACAACTACATCGTGACAGAGATGGGGCTGATAAGCAGACGTGCCTGATGGCAGGGGTTGGGACAAGGATGGGGGTGTCGGGCATCTCCCCGCATCGCCGTATCTCATCGCCGTATCTTATCGCCGCCACTTGACGCCGTACGACGAGAGGAATAAGTACCGCGGCACGATTACGGTCGGGATCATCAGCATCCACATCTCCTCATCCAGAACCATCATGTCTCGAGTAAGCTCATCTCTACGGGCGATAGGCATCAGACTAACGATGTAGTTCTCCCTCCAAGGCCGAACAGCCCTCGTCACGGGCGGCGCCCGCGGCTGCGGCCTGGCCTTTGCGCGGGGCCTCGCCCAAGCCGGCGCCGACGTCGCCATCTTCGATGTTATTCCTCCAGAGGAAGGGTTTCACACTATTGAAAAGGAATACGGAGTGCGGACGGCATATTACAAGTTCCGTCGCCACAGACTCCACTATTTACACGTCTAACGATGGCAGAGTCGACGTCTCCTCCCCCGAATCCCTCGCCGCCGGCTTCACCTCCTTCCAAACCGACTTCTCCAACGCTCTCGACATCTGCGTCCCCTGCGCGGGTATCAACCGACATCAGACCTTCCTCGACTTCAAATTCGAAGACCACCACGACCTGCTCAAAATCAATGTCTTAGGACTCTTCCACACGGCCCAGCTGGCGGCCCGGCAGATGATTGCCAATAAGACCCAGCATGGGAGTATTGTGCTGGTGGCGAGTATGGCGAGTCACATTGCGGTAAAGAGTCAGCTGTGCAGTGCATACTGTGGATCCAAGGGAGCGGTCAGGGCCATGTGTCCGGCGATTGCAAAAGAGTTGGCGGAATATGTATGTTCATCCCTTTGCTTTTGGTGGCATGGATGGCTAATGAAATAGGGCATCCGCGTGAACTCGATTTCACCAGGTTATGTGAGGACGGAAATGACGGCTGCAGTGAGTCCTCCATAAATTGGCCCATCAGTAGTTGTATGGTAGCTAATAGGCAGTTCCCCCATCTGATCGAGGAGTGGAAATCGGCGGCGATGAACGGCCGCATCGCCGAGCCGGAGGATATCATGGGGGCGTGTGTGTTTCTGGCCAGCGACGCCAGTTCCTACATGACAGGGCAGGATGTGGTCGTGGATGGGGGGGTAACCAAGTGGTAGTCCTTTGTAATCAACGAAATTCATACTATCGTAATCAATCAATTTCTAAGCTATGTGCAATCAACAAGCGTCGTGTATCGAGTAACTGGAGTTGGGGGTCAAAAGTGGGGGAGCTGCAGCTCCAGCTCCCCTCCGGCCAGATGGCCGACCTCCCTTCACTTAACTATAACACCATCCCAGCAAACATGGAGGGACCATCACACAACCCCATCCAAACCCACACACAAACAGCAACTATGGCCCCCAGTGCGGATAACGAGGGCTTTCCTACCACCGTCCCCACCACGACCGTCGTGGTGGTCGGCGCTGGTCCATCGGGGCTGATGCTGGCGTGCGACTCCCATTTCTCCCCGCAACCCACCCAATTTAAGGCGTTAACCATGGCCCAGATCGAATCTCCTCCGCTACGGCACGCGCGTCATCCTCCTCGACGATCGTCCCGACCGCACCACCACCGGCAAAGCAGATGGTCTGCAGCCGAAGACTATTGAAACGCTGAAGCAACTCCGTTTGGCGGATGAGCTTATCAGGAATGGAGCGAAGGTTCATGATATCTCTTTCTGGGTACACTCACTTATTCCTTTTAAATCTTTGATCAATATTGGCGACTAAGAAGATAATGTGTAGGACTCCACCCCCACCCACCCCCTCCGCCGCACCGGCCGCCAACTCCACTACCCCGACCACCTGGTCGGCGCATCCGACCCATACATTCTGCTCGCGCATCAGGGCATGCTTGAGGACGTGTTGATCGATGACATCGAGGCGCGAGGTGGTCGCGTGCAGCGGAACAGTCCCTTCGTATCGGTGAATAAGCCCCCGTCGGGAGAGTTAGAGGTCGTGTACGAGGACATCAGTACAAAAAGCAAGAAGACCATTCACACAAAGTATCTAGTTGGATGTGATGGGGCACGGTCAAAGGTTCGGACATTTATACCCGATGCGCAGTTGGAGGGCGAGATGACGAATGCCTCGTGGGGGGTGTTGGATGGTTTGTTCCGTCACTTCCCTTTCCTCGGTGGGGTGGTGGCTAAGAGTGACAGGTGTGATTGATACCGACTTTCCCGATCTATGGAGTAAGGTGGCTGTTAGGTCGCACACGGCGGGTTCGATTCTTTGGATTCCTCGTGAGCGCGGCATGACTCGGCTGTATGTCGAGTTGAGCTCGACCGATGGGGAAAAGGTCGATCGGGCTAAGGCGACGCCTGAGTATGTGATTGCGAGGGCGAGGGAAGCTATGAGTCCGTTCAGATTGGAGTGGAAGTCTATTGGTATCCTCCATCCCTACATCTCTTCGGCAGTGGTATGATATACTAATGAAGTAGAATGGTTTGGCAACTACGTCGTCGGCCAACGAGTGGCGCGCAATTTCTCCGACCCGGAGAATCAGATCTTCATTGCTGGTGATGTTCGTCCTCCATCCCTTTTTTCAGGTAAACATACTAACAATATAGGCCGGCCACTGCCACTCCGCTCTGGCTGCCCAAGGCGCCAACACCAGTATGCACGACAGCTTCAACCTGGCGTGGAAGCTGAACCTCGTCTCCCGGGGCCTCGCTCATCCATCCTTATTATCCAGCTACGGCGAGGAACGCCGCAAGATCGCCAACGATCTGATTGCTTTCGACGCAGAACATGTGGCCGCGTTCGAGAAAGGCGAGGCGGCATTAGCACGGAACTTTGATGAGAATATCCGGTTCATCTCAGGCGTAGGGGCAGAGTATACCCCTGGGTTATTGACTAAATCTGGCAAAAGAAGTGGTGGGGTGAAAGCAGGCTCGTTGATGCTTCCGGCCAAGGTGACACGGTATATTGATGCCAATCCGGTGGATGTGCAACTGGATGTGCCGATGTTGGGACAGTTCCGGGTGTATTTGTTTGTTCCGGATGTCAATGCAGGCAAAGGGTTTCTGGATGGGTTCTGTGAGGGGGTCAGCACGGCCCTGAGGGAGATTGGTGAGAAAGCAGCAGAGTCCTATGCGGAGGGGCCACGCGGCCTCGCCGAGAGTGATGAGTATGTTCAGCCAGATCGGTATACGACGATGTCGCAGGTGGTCACGTATGGCCTGGTGACGCAGTCGTCGAAGAGCACATTTGAACTGGCGGATCTGCCCGAGGTGCTGCAGCGCAGTCGCTGGACAGTGTATCTGGATGATGTGGAGGGGTGCACGGCGAAGTGGATGGGGCAGCTGGAAGAGCAGCAGGCTGGCGTGGTGGTGGTTCGGCCAGATGGATATATCGGCCAGACGGCGACATGGACGCTGCCAGAGGGGGCGGCGGCCGCCCAGTGGGTAGGGGAGTATTTCACTTTCTGTACATAGATGATAGAGGAATGGACAGCTAGATCTTCCTGTTTGCGCTTGTAGGGACTGCATACTGTGTAGGCCGGTGACCACGTGCCTGATCAGCTGATTGACCGAAGTGAAGAGGTGACCGGTCACATTCGTCCATTCTCTCATTGCATCCTTCAAGGCAATACAAGAGGGACGTTACCCCTAATGCAGCTACCTCTTAAGCGTGAGTCAACCCTCAAGGCGGAGACCTCGATTAAGACAACATATATACTAGCTAGCATCATCAACAGGCATGTCTCATGACATCTGCACATCACGCAACAGCAACAAAAAATCCCTTCTCTCCCTCCTTGCCCACCACCCGACTCCTCTCCAACAACTCATCCCCCACCGCCAACCGCAACCTCTCCGCCGTCGCCGGACTATGCAACACCAGCTCCCCTTCTACCCCATTATCCTTCCTCGCACTCCTCAACGCATCCCTCAGCGCAAACAATACCGTGGACCCCAAGAACAACGGCGGCTCTCCAATCCCCTTACTACTCTGAATACTCCTCAAATGGCCCCACTCCACGCCTTGCAGGAAACTCACATTGAACTCCTGCGGGATGTCACTAAACCCGGGGATTTTATATGTCCCTGGACCTCGGGTTGCGAGCTGTCCATTGCGCGTCCAGAGGGTTTCTTCCATGGTGAAGAGACCTTGGCCTTGCACGAAGGCGCCTTCGATCTGCCCGTAGTCGATGGCGGGGTTGATGGAGCACCCGACGTCCATTTTGATGTCGGTACGGAGGACCGTGTGGTCTCCTGTTAGGAGATCCAATTCGACTTCGGTGCAGGCGACGCCCTATTCTCATTAGCTCATTACACATCCGCCTCCGGGCATAAGGGGAGGTACCTGTGTGAAGTAATAATACATCGGCTTCACTGTCGCGGGGTCATAATTTCCCCATTTGTAGCCCACCTTGGGCATCTTCCAGAACCCGCTGGCTGCGAGGTTGACTCGGTCGCGATATGCGGCGTGCGCGATTGTTGCCATGTCTGCATCTTTGCCGAACTGTTCTCGATACGGACGCAGTCTCTCATTCAGCTGGTCGCATGCATTCTTGATCGCCATACCGTTGAGATCGCTTCCGGAGGAGGCAGCTGTCGGTGACGCGTTGGCAGTTTGATAGGACGAGGTATCCTGCGTGAAGATACTCTCCGGAGGTACGCTGAGCTCTTGTGCAGCGACCTGTACCATTTTCGTGTACAATCCCTGGCCCATTTCCGTGCCGCCGTGGTTGAGTAGCACTGACCCGTCGGTGTAGATCTTCACTGATGCACCGGCCTGGTTGAGATGCAGGGCTGTAGCGAAGGAGATACCGAATTTGGTCGGGATCAGACAGATGCCTCGTTTGCGGTAGCGGTGGGTGTTGTTGAAGCGAGTGATTTCGGCCCTGCGCTCGTCGTAGCGGGCCTCCTTTCGTACCTGTTCGAGCAGCATGGGTACGTGCCAATCCTGGTCGATGGGCTGCAGGAACGGGGTGAGTTGACCTTGCTGATACAAGTTCTTCAATCGCAGCGTGTCCACGTCAATGCCTAATCCCTCAGCCACCGCATTCATATAGCTCTCGGCGATGAACATGGCCTGCGGTCCACCGAATCCTCGGAAGGCCGTGTTGCTGTGCGTATTTGTCTTGCACACCCATCCGCGAATATGCACGTTGGGGAAGTTATAGCAGTTCTCTAGATGCGTGCAGCAGCGGTCCATCACGGCGCTGCTCATATCAAGCGAGAAGCCCGCGTTGTTGTATACGTCGGCATCTAGGGCCATGAGGGTGCCGTCGTTCATGACTCCCACCTTCCAGCGACATTGGAAGGGGTGTCGTTGCCCGCTGGTCATCATGTCTTCGTCCCGGTTGAGCATGGCGCGGACGGGTCGGCGGGTCTTCTTCGCTGCGATGGCCAGAAGACAGGCGAGTGGAGTGCTTCGCGATTCTTTGCCCCCGAAGGCGCCGCCCATCCGTTTGACTCGGACGTTGATTCGGTTCGCGGGGACAGCGGTGACCATGCTGACGAATTCTTGACATTCGAGGCTGGGAACATTAGTGCTGATTGTTAGGCTGTGTAGGGGAACATACGTATTCTGCGTCGACGACCATACATCCATCGATCCATCCTCAGGATGCGGTACTACCAACGCGGCATTTGTCTCGAGGTAAAAGTGCTCCTGGCCGCCCATACGGATGGTTCCGCTGAACACGCGGTCGCATTTGTCAAACACATCCCTCATCTTCTCCGGAGGCGCCCCCTTGCGCAGCTCCTTACCATGCGGGAAGAAGCTCTTTGCCGCGATGGCTTCATCGATGGTTAGAATCGGGGGGAGATCCTCGTAGACAACCTGCACGGCGCGGGCTGCTGCTTGTGCCTGGAGCGCTGTCTCTGCATAGACGAGGCCAATGGGCTGACCGTGAGAGGTGACCTTGTCGACGGCGAAGAAAGGCTCATTATGCACGATCGGACCCCAGACGTTCTTGTCTGGCGGGATGCTGGTGTGGTCGATGTATCCGACCGCGCGGCCTGGCTCTAGAGCAGGCGTCCAGTCGACCGAGATGATCTTGGCATGGGCGCGCTGTGACAGCACTATGGCGCCGTAGAGTTCTCGGTGCTGCGGCGGCATGTCGTCGACATATTCGGCTTCACCTGTGGTGTGTTTCAGGCCTGAGAGGTGCGGCATCTGCTTTCCCACCACACGTTGCTCGTGCGGATTGTAGTTGTCGCGCGTGCCGTGGGAGATTTGACGGTGAATTTCTTGCGTCACGTCGGGGTCTGCTGAAGCTAGCTGAAAGTCGGCCAACACTTCGTTCCAAAAGCGGAAAAAGAGAGACAGCGCGAGGGTCCGGCGGTAGGTCGCCATTCCACCTGGGACCGAGAAGGGGAGGTTGAAGTCCTCGAGGATGGCATCAAGAGTGGCATCGAGGACGGCCTTGACGCCCCATTTCTTGCCGTGCAGGGCGCTCTGCGCGTGTCGCGCGAGCAGGGTGATAGGCGCCATGCCACCGTAGGCGAGGGAGACCTCGGTGACCGTGTTGTCTGGAGCCAGACGCACGCGGAATGCAGCGGTCACGATGGCGATATCGTCGTCTTTGCGCTTGGATTGCTTGTAGGATTTGGTAATCTCACGGACGCCAGGTGGCGGCAAAGGAACTCGGATCTGGGTGATGATGCTGCCGCGGGGCAACGCGGTCTTGCGATAGCCCAAGAACATGTCCGACATGAGTATCGAAGTTTCCTCGGTCCGCGTTCGGGCCACCACGGTGGCGTTGACAGCCAAGAGCACCGGGTTCATGTCAGAGATGGGCGAGGCAGTCGCAATGTTGCCTGCCAGCGAGGCGGCGTTGCGGATCTGACGACCCGCAAAGTAGCGCAGCACCTTGGCTGTCGCCGAGATGACGGAGCCGCGAGGGCCGAGACTGGGGAGAAGTCGGTCGCATTCGGTTTCGATGTCGCTGAGCGAGGTGTTGCCTCCGATGACTACCTCCGTGATGGTGCCGTTTTTCTCTACCGGTGTGACGTGTGACAGCTCGTCAAGGTCGCCAACAAACACAGAGACAGCAAACTCGGCACCTTTGAAGCGGATGTCTACCTGGACCTCGCTGGCACCGCCGACTAACGTGGCTGATGGGCAGCGGGCTAGGATGTCCAGCGTCTGCGCGAGGGTCACTGGGCGCAGCCAGGCTTTGGTATCATCGGTGTAGCAGAGCAACTGCGGACTGAGCTTGGCCAGACCAGGAGGAAAGATGAGCTCGGTGTTGGGGGTGTACGGGCGGAATGCAATTTGAGGAACAGCGGTTTCTTTCACATCCTTGTCGACCTCTGTATCCGGAGTAGATACACTGGTGCGCGAGCTAGCCCGGTCCGACGCCGACGAGCAGGACGACCCGGGAGTATCTCTGCAACATCCTCCAGGACGCCCACAGGACGGCGGCCGGGACGTCTCCGACTCGGACTCCACTGTATCCTCCGTAGGTGATCGCGTGCGCACGGCCAGACGAGCCCGGAGATCCTCCTGGACAAAGGTCTTGGCGGCCTGCAGAATGGGCTTATACCCGGTGCAGCGACAGAGGTTTCCATCCAGATGTCCCTTCATCTCGATATCATCCTCGGACAGGTTGAAGTCACCCGTGTCCGGATCGTAGGCATTGCGCACGAGGGCATACAGCGACATGACAATGCCGGGGGTGCAGAATCCGCATCTACCTCGTCAGAACCCGATCCCGACCCAGAACCAGACACTTACTGCGACCCATGGAGCTTAGCCAATCTCTCCTGTAGTGGATGCGGGTGATCGATATTGCCGAGACCTTCCACCGTGATGACATGTTTTCCGGCCACTGGGCTGTCAGTCAGGCCTCCCATGGATCGGGAACGTACCTCCAATGAGCGGATACAGGCAGGCGTTGACGGCGCGGTGGCGAATGTGCCGACCGTCTCGGGTTTGTAGGACCACCGTACAGGCACCGCACCCTCCCTCGCCGCAGCCCAGCTTGGTGCCTTTTAGGCCATGTTGGGAGCGGATAAAATCCAGTAAGGTCCAGTGGGGGTTGGGGTTGGGAAGAGCGACGGGGGTGCCGTTGAGATAGAAGGAGAGGGTGGATGTCGCATTGCCTGTGGCGAGGAACTCTTGTAGCGCGGTCGGAAGGACCATGATGGCCTTAGGATGTGAACATAGTACTGATGAGATGAGAGATGGGGAGGTTGACGAGGTTACGAAGTTACGAGGTTGACGAGGGGCAGATGAGTGCGCTGGCACACGTGCAGCTGGAGCTGCACCTCTCGTCATACTGCAGCTCGGAAGTGGAGGGTGGCACCAAGGGTGGGGGATTACCGATCCTGAGATTACGATACGGGCGATAGCAGCTATCAGCTCCATCCTTACAAGAGTGGATGAGATGTTCACATACCCATGCTATCGTCAATGGCTATATCTATCCGCCAATTTCCTTGTATATTGAACCAATTAACCAACAATTCATTCTGCACTAATCATGGGCTCCATCACCAACTCCGATCCCCTCTTCCAGCCTCTCCAGCTAGGAGCTCTATCCCTCTCCCACCGGGTAGTACAAGCCCCATGCACCCGGATGCGGGCGACCAAAGAATCCGACGGGGTGTATGTCCCCAATGACTTAATGGTAGAATACTACAGCCAACGGGCCACCCCGGGGGGCCTTCTGATCACCGAAGCCACCCCAATCAGCCGCTACGTATGCCCCCCCAAGCTCCCCCCCCCGCCAAAAAAATCCAACTAACCCTAAGTAATGAATCAGGCCGCCGGCTACCCCAACGTCCCCGGCATTTTCACCCCCTCGCAAACCACCGCCTGGAAGACCATAACCTCCGCCGTACACGCCAAAGGCGGGCTCATCGTGTGCCAACTCTGGCACGTCGGGCGCGCGACCGTCCCCTCCCTCCTGGACAACCACCCCGTCCTCGCCCCCAGCACCATCCCCATCACCGGCCCCGCCCTAACCGGAACCCCCTACGCCCTTCACCCGCCCCGCGCCATGACCATCCCTGAAATCCACACCGTCGTGGCCGACTACGCCGCGGCGGCCCAACGCGCTATCGCTGCTGGCTTCGACGGAGTGGAAATCCACGCCGCGAACGGATACCTCCTCGACCAGTTTTTGCACGATAATGTGAATACCCGGGACGATGAATACGGGGGGAGTGTAGCGAAGCGAGCGCGGATTGTGCTGGAGACCATCGCAGCAGTGAGTAGCGCGATTGGTGCGGACCGGGTGGGGGTGCGGTTGTCACCGTATAATTATTTCCAGGATACGAGGGATTCGGATCCCCAGAGGCACTGGGTGGAGGTTTGTCAGTTGATTGCGGGGATGGAGGGGGGGGTCAGGCCGGCGTATGTGCATATGGTGGAGCCGCGGTTTGATGAGGTGTTGGATGAGAGTGCGAAGATGGCGTCGTTGCCGGGGTCGAAGCCCGGGTTGGATGTGTTTCGGGCGGTGTTGAAGGAGGCCGGGGTGGGGTTTATTGCGGCGGGGGGGTTTGATGGGGTGAATGCTAAACTGAAGGTGGGTGGGGGGGGAGCGGACGCGGTGGCGTTTGGGAGGTGGTTTATTGCGAACCCGGATTTGCCGAGACGGTTGGCGGAGGGGTGGGAGTTGGGGAGGTATGATCGGGGGACGTTTTATGGGGCGGAACCGGCGGAGAGGGGGTATACGGATTATCCGGTTTATAAGGAATAGAGCTGAGGAGGATGATGGATTTGGATGTATACATGCAAGATGGACCGATATGCAGACAGACATACAAAAGCAAAAGCAGACCAAGAATCACCCCAACCCCACCAACACCTTCATCGCATCATGCACCACCGCCCACCGTACCGTGGCCAACTGGCCCGCCATCATCCGCACCAAGCCAGTTGTATCAAACCGCCCTTCGAGCGCCCTCAACTCGCCTAACCCTCCACACGTCGTCATGGCCACGATCAAACTCGCCAGATCGGTGCCCCCGTCCCCTCCACCATGGCTTCTTCCACCGCCCCCTCCGCTAGTAAGAGTATGGATACCCCCATGAAACGCCCACACCACCAACGTCCCCAAATACAAACACCAGGGAAAGTGAAACGCGTCCATCTGCTCCCATTCATGGAGACTCATTACCGCGTCGTGGAGGAGTCCGGCCGCGTGTTTGACCGCGATGACCACACTATCCCCGCCACCTCCAGCATCCCGATCCGTATTCTGTATCCACCTCCCCACGACCCCCCGGGAACGCAGCACATCCCCCTCCGTCACCCCCCGTCCCAGAACCCTCCCCGCCCCCGCCGCAATCTGCAAATCCAACACCTCCACCCGCAGCGCCACATGCGCCACATGATACAGCGCATTCGCGGCCATTTTAACCCCCAGGAACCGATCCCCGGACTGCATCGCCCCGGGGAATAACTTCATAGCCAGACAGTCCGCATCGAAGTCCACTTTCCAGCGATCGTACGACCGGGCCATGCGGTGCGTCCAGATGCCGACTTTGTCGGGCGAGGTGGAGCGGAGAGTCGTTTGGTCGCGGCGTTTGAGGTCGGCGGAGATGGACATGAGGCCGTGGAGGAGGAGGGTGCGGGAGAGGGGGTTCAACGATTTGCATCTTGATCTGGGGGTGGGGGATGGGGTGATGTAGGTTTTTAGGACGGGGAGAAATAGAGCGGGGGGTTGGGGGGATATGGAGAGGGAATTGGCCCATGCTTCTGCGGTGGGTGCGTCCCATGATGCAGGGGGGCAAGGGAGGCCGGACCGGATCTCAAACGCAGACATGCATAAGGATTGCGAGAAGAGGACCGCGTGCTGGGTATCCCACATGAAGCAGTGCATGGCGACGCGCTTTTTTTGTTCATTTTGCATGGCGGTGTGCCATGCGGCGGTTAGGGTTTCTCCCGATTGAGACGGAGATGGGGGGTGGGATTGGCGAATGGAACAGCAATCACTCCGACGAATCAGTTTAATCAACACGCAATGAAACAGTTGTGCGCGTTCACGCTGTTTCGGCCCCGCGCGCATCTTCCCGAAACAGTCGATCAGGAGCATTGCTTGCAGAATCCACAGGTCGGGTTGTGGGGAAAAGTCGGCGTGGCAGAACAGGTGGTTGCGGAGGGAGTCGTGGATTCCTACCGCCAGTTGGTGCGCTTCGCGACTGCTGTAGGTGGCGCCCATGGAGACGATGGCGGCGAGGAGGACGGGGGGCGTGGTTGGTGGGTGGAAGGTGGGTTGGTGGATCAGGGGATAGGTGGTGTTGAAACGGGTGAAGAAGAGGTCGCTGTAGGATTGGAGGGAGGGGAGAGAGAGGAGGGGGGAGTCCAGGGGGGTGGGGTGGCCGTCGATGCCCAGGGGGGAATTTTGGGAAACCAGCGTGAGGATGCCGTGGCGGGCGGAGTCGGTCAGGACGGGGAGGTGAGGAGATGGGTTGGATTGTAGCAGAGAGGGCCCGTCCATCCAGTCTAGGTTGATGTTGTCCGGAGGGTCGGGGATAAAGTCGCCGCGTTCGACAAATGAAGCAGCCTCCAGTAGTACTGAGGAGCCGTCGCGGTCGAAGATGGGCTTAGGGTTGTCGATGGGAAGAGGGTCGGCAAAACTGACCATCTCAGGTCCCAACGGAAGGTCAAACGGCTGAAACGCATCGTCGAGGGAGGCCACGTCGAACAGCCAGTTGTAGTTGTGAGTGGCCGCAAAAGGCATGTTGAAGTCGGTGGCTGTAGCAGATTAGATGAGAGCAGGTAGTTAGTTGGTGTGGGGGTGTACCGGTATCTAGATTAAACAGATCGCCCATCCCATCCAGTCCCAAGCTCCAAGAGCCATCGGCAGCATCAAATTGTCCCGGGATGGGCTCGACATAGGGCTCGAACGGGCCGCTGGGCATCATCGGGGCCAGCAACGGGTCCGGCTCATCCAGCGACAAACAGGACGGATCACTAGCCGACGTCGGTGGCGACACAGGAGCATAGTCTTGGGCACTGGTAACGGAAATGGACGAGGAAGACGCCGAGGAGGAGGGCATGGCACTGGCGCGAGATTGTCGCTTCGGAGGACGAGTGATGATCGTGCCATCGCCAGCTCGGCGGGTGCGTTTCCTCGTCTCTAACACTCCTAATCCTGGCCCTCCCGCCTCCTCATCGCGTTTGGCATGGCGCATCAGATGGCGACCTGGTGGTCAGCTGGGTACCCGTTGAGACAGACGTGGTCACCTACTCAGCAAATCCGGTCGACGGAAATGCACCGAGCACCGCTCACAGGTATACCCATCCCGGGCAGCTTCATGGTTAAGGGCATGGCGACGCAGATGCTCAGCACGCGTAAAAGCCTTGCCGCAACTGGGCCAATCACACACGTGCGACTTCATGGGGATCATTTGTCAAACAATATGCAGTGTAGGGGTCAACCTCATATTTATTATCGCCGGCCGAAGCCGGCAGATAAGCTGGGGAAGCACCCGCGAATGACCTGCTGCGGGGAACTTTTATCTATGGACCGACATTATTAATCGGTCTATCGCCAATGGATACGATATCTGATACAAGCTACAGAAAGTACCGCCAGTTCGGATCATCCTCGCCCTCTCCCAATTGGCGCGTGTCCACTTCGCCCGGACGCACTCGTCGGCCTTGTAGCCGATCACGCCGGCCATTTTCCCGACGCATCCACCAGCCCAGCCCGGTCACCGTCACGATGGCCACCCCGTTGCAGCAGCAGGTTGCCACCAGAGTGGGGATATACCTAATGGTCAGAATGCCCCCTATGCATCATGAATGAGGAGGACTTACTTTGGAGCATACTCGGTGCGAAAGGTCGCCGCGCTTAAGATTCCCGCAAGATTGCCCAGCCCGACAAAGAAGCCCGTGTTGGCGGCGCGCGAGTTTTCGTGCATGTTGTTGTTGTTGTGCCACGCATGGACCAGGGCCGATGGGATATACGCTCCGGCTGCCATGAGGAAGCAGGCAAAATACGCGACGCCTTTATGGTTGAGGACGTCGATGGTCGCGAGGATGAGCATGCCGACCAAAGACACCACCAGCGAGAACACGATATGGAACGTCCGCTCCCGGAAGTAGTCGGACGATTTAGCGACACAAAGCAGTACGACGGCACCGACGAGATTGGGAGCGACCGTCCAGAGGTTCGTCTTGACCGTCGAGAAGCCCAGCCGTTCAACAATCTGTTTGTCAGTATGCATCCGCGTAGAGGACCGCAACTTACCAGTGGGAAAAAGTTCATCGCGGTCGCATATGCTACCGGATAGGTGAATGTGATGATGCACCAGATCGGAAACTTCCAGTCCTTCCACGTCTCAAATGCCGCCTTCAAATCCAGTCCAGTGTCGACTTCGGATGAAGTATCGCGGAGCTGGCGGGCTGTCGCTGCGGCCCGCTCCCGCTCATTAAGGAACCACGCCGTCCGGGGATTCCCAGGCAGCCAGAAGAAGCAGACAATGCCTGTCACAAAGGTCATGGAACCCTCGATGATAAACAGCCACTGCCATCCCTTCACAGCCGGGTCGTTGATCTGGAAGACCCCAAACGAGATGAGCCCGCTAAAGGCCGAGGCCAGCACGGAAAACGACTGCACGATGGCCAGCCGGAAGCCCATCTCGCCGCGGGTGTAGAACAGCGTCAGGTAAAACGCCGCTCCGGCAAAGAAACCGGCCTCAAACACTCTGTTTCGTTAGATGGGACTGAATCGGTGGCAGAAACTTACCCCAGGATCATGCGCACGGCAATCATGCTGCCAAAGTCTTTGACGGCACATTGACAGAGGGCGAGAATGCCCCAGACCACGGTCACTGACCATTAGCCATGTCCGAGTAAGTGGGATTGACTTACTGAAGGACAATGTAAGGCGTCCCCCGTATCGCTTGAGCAGCAGATTCCATGGCAGGTCGCACAGTCCGAACGGGATATAGAATAGCAGCACCATCAACGAGTAGTCGTTTCCCACCAGATGGATATCTTGGTCGAGGCCATCGGTTTTTGCATTGGCCAAATTGCTCTGCTTCATTAGCAAGGTCTAGCAGCTTTCGGGGAACATACTCGGTCCATGCAGTCAAAAAAGTACATCTACTCAGTCAGTATTGTCAGCATCATGGGTCACAGGGTCAACTCACCAGGCACAGCAGTGGCAGCACATAAAGGTCCACCTTGCGCACTATTCAGTCAGTACACGTCTGAGAGCGAGGTGGCTACCGACCATAAGATCGTTCTGCATCACCGTCAATGTAGGTACTCTCCCCAACCTTGGCGGATTCAGCCGAAACGGCCACTGCTTTTTCCACCTGATCGATCGCCATGGTGTCTGGATTGACTCCGATGCAGCTGGTCCCTGGTCGGCTGATATAGACATTGATCTGCCGTGTAACCTGCAAGGGGTCTCACATTTCCTGTTTTGGGCCAGCCGAGCTGACGTAGAGTATTCTCGGCTGCCACTGGCCAGGCCATGAAGATACCCCAATCGTGCATTCTCCGCATTCCTTATCACCGATCGCAGATCTCCATCTGCCCCCACCCTTGTCTATCGTGATCAAAGATGGAGGCCGGACTTCTGTCCGATATTTGTTGCGAAGTTGCCCCTCATCGCAGGGATGCGGAATATATTCACTGCGAACCACGATACCAGAACATTACCACAACAAGCATCATCATCATGGCTCCCAGTGCGCCCCCAATTCTCGATTTCTCTTCCTTCTACGGTGAGGATAGTGCGGCCAAGGCCCAGCTGGTCGAAGCAGTGCGCAATTCGTGCCTCTACAATGGTTTCTTCCAGATCACCGGCCATCGCGTGCCGCTTGAATTGCAGCGACGAGTGATGCGCTGCGCTCAGCGCTTCTTTGACCTCCCACTCGAAGAGAAGCTCAAGATTGACAAAAGTGAGTGCCCCCATCGCCACGACGGTCTTTACTAATGGCATAGACCGCAACACCTTCAACCGTGGCTACGAACTCCTCCGCTCGCAGATGCTCGAAGTCGGCACCGGTCCGGAGCTCAAAGAAGGCTTGTACATCGGCCAGGAAATCCCCGAAGACCATCCCTACTACATCCAGAAGAAGCTCAACAGCGGACCGAACCAATGGCCCCCGACCGTGGAAGACAAGGAGGAGTTTCAGCGCACCTCGATGGAATACTACAATGCCGTGTTTGATCTGGCCAAAGATGTGCTAGCCCTGCTGGCACTCACCCTGGACGTAACCGAGGACTACTTCGACCCGCTCACCGACGGCGCCGTCGCGACCATGCGCATGCTACACTACCCCGCCCAGCCCAAGGACGCCGACGAGAAGCTAAACCGGGGCATTGGCGCACACACCGACTTTGGATGCATCACGCTGCTGCTGCAGGACGAGGTCGATGGCCTGCAGGTTCTGGATGCTCCCACCGGCGAATGGCTAGATGTAAGTACTGCCACCAGTCACCACTGCAGCATCTAACCTGCCCAGGTCCAACCCGTCCCTGGGGCCTACGTGGTCAATCTCGGCAATCTCTTCATGCGCATGGCCAACGACCAATACAAATCGAATATCCACCGCGTGATCAACAAGTCTGGTCGCGAGCGCTACTCCATTCCTTTCTTCTTCAGCGGAAACCCGGACTATCTGTGTGAGTGTCTGCCGAATTGCCGTGCGGAAGGCGAGGACCCCAAGTATCCGCCCATCACGGTGGAGGATATGGTGACGGCGTCGTATAAAGAGAGCTACGGTCGGGCGGAGCAGTATAAGCGGGAGATGGAAACTGCCAAGATGAAGATGGAAACGGTGCCGACTGCGGCGGCAGTGGGGGCTTAGTGTAGTCGCTGTATGCTAGTTACGTGCATAACATGATTCAGCTCAGTATTCACCTATAAATTCAGTCATTATACCCGTATAATTATGCCCGATAGGATCACAGGTCCATGCTCTCCTGCATGTCACCGATAGCACCCGGGATAACCTCAGAAGTGGAGGTCCAAACACGCGATAGCGTCCCCCACCCTTGGCCATCGATAAGATTGCCTGTATCAGATTGTCAGCCGTCAGACACCTCCATAACCCTAGGTGGAGATAGTATTTGATCACGGTCTGGATACCACTCATGCACCAACAGTCACACAATGGACGACATTCAACAAGAGCAGAAGCGGGATGTCTCCCAGGAGTATGCCAATAGCATCGTTGGTGAAGAGAAGGGGGTCGTCATTGACGACCCTGCCGTGGAGCAGTTCTATGGCTCTTCGACGACTGAGGCCTACCGGCTCAAGTCGGAACTCGTGGGGAAGTGCATGGAGGAGATCGGGATGGGGCGGTATGCCTCCTCCATCCAAAGTGAGAGTGTATACTGATGATACAGGTTTCAATGGAAGCTATTTATTGTGACTGGATTTGGATGGATTGTGGATAATGTTGGTACTCTTCCGAGATCATCATGACTCGACTAATCATGCAGTTCGCCTCCCAAGGCATCAGTAGCGTTCAACCCGCCATCAAACTCGAATTCCCCGGCATCGTGCAGGTCAGTTACAGCTCTGTGGCATACTATACCGGGTTGATCCTCGGCGCGTCATTCTGGGGCATTTCCAGTGACTTGATCGGCCGGAAGCCGGCATTCAATTCAACTCTTCTGCTGGCGGGCATATTTCTCTGTGGTGCGGCGGGCACTATGAACTTTGTGGCATTCAGTGCCATGTGGGTGGTCATTGGGACGGCGGCGGGTGGTAATGTCCCGGTGGATTCGATGATATTTTTGGAATTTGTGCCTGGAAGGTGAGTAATCGTTCCCTGGGTGCTGCAGTGTGCTAATTGTCAGTCATCAATATCTCCTCACGGCCTTGTCAGCGTGGTGGAATCTAGGACAGTTGATCGTCTCGCTACTGGCCTGGGTCTTCCTGGCCAACTTTGCCTGTCCGAGTGATTCCACGCCGGGGACGTGTCATCGGAGCGAGAACATGGGGTGGTATGCATGCCTCCACCCTTTTCAGGTCATATTTTCACACTGTCCAGGAGATACACACTCATCACGCTGGGTGCCCTCTCCCTCGCATTCACCTGCATCCGATGGTTCATCTTCAAGCTCCCTGAAACCCCCCGCTACCTTCTCTCCCAAGGCAAAGACCAAGCCGCCGTCGACGCAGTCAACTACGTTGCCCGGGAGAACAGCAAACCCGAACCCTTGACCATCGGGATGTTCCAAGAAATCGACGCCCGACTCGGCATCACATCGTGTGAATCCAACGGCCCCGGTCTCACCACCAAACAAATCATCCAAGAGAACATGAAAGACTTTCGCTCGACGCACTATCAAGCCCTGTTTGCCACTCACAAACTAGGCCTCCACACCACCATCATCTGGGCCATCTGGCTAACCATCGGTGCCCACCCCCCACCCCTAATACCCCCATACCTCCATCTTCCTATCTACTAACAGGTACAGGAATCGCCTACCCTTTGTACTTCAACTTCCTCCCCTCCTACCTGGCCACCAAGTTCTCCTCCGACTCTTCGCTTACCACCACCTACCGCGACTACTGCATCGAATCCGCCGTGGGCGTCGTGGGCCCGATATCCGCTGCCTACCTCGTCACCACGTTCTTCGGCCGTCGCTGGATGATGGGAATTTCCTCTATCATCACCGGCGTGTTCCTCTTCGCATACGTAGGGGTTAATAACCCGACCTCGAGTTTAGCATTCGCTTGTATCACCGGCATGTTAGGGAATTTCGGTACCCCCCC